TCTCCATTTCTCTTCTTTGCTCTATGACAGTGTAACATCTCTTGTGGCCTATCTTTGTTTTGTATTTCAAGAGGTCTGGGGGAAAGGGAGTGAAAGTTTCCCCTAAGCAGGAGTCAGCAAATGGGCATTAGTCATCAAATTAATGCTGTAGAGCACCGTTAATTATAATATGTTGGGGGTTAATATTCAAGCTAAACTTAATGGAACAAGATTGTTCTGCCCCTTCCAAGCTACCTTGTGACCTGAGGTTGTCTGCTGGACCTTCAGCCATCAGTATGAAGGATGATGTTCACTTTGCCCTTCTTTTGTAGCAACATGTAAAACCCACCAAGGAAAGCTTGCTAATTCTTTCTGAGTCCCTAAGACTTGCCTTGCGTTTCTTGGGAATCATCAACTTAAACATCTTGTTAATCTCATTATATATCATTTTCCAATAGCCCTTAGCTTTTTTACAAGTCCATCACATATGAAAAAAATGTCATTTTGCACTCCCAACACATACTTGAATTAGTTTTGTACATTTTGGCTAACTTAATTGGCTAACTTAATAGGGAAGTAGGAGTGTATGTGGGAGCAATGTGATTGTCTCTGGGGTGTCTTTCTGATGGGAGAGAAGCTTCAATGCATTTTTGGTGACTTTAACACATATCTTTTCAAGATCACAAAACCCATGTTTCCATCTTTCTCTCCAAAGTCCCATATCTGTTTTGTGTGTATAGTAGCAACTCTGTTTTCAACAGAGTTTTGACAGGGAAATTAAAGTAAAAAGAAGTAAGAGATGGTGCAAACCAAGATGGACATGGACAGTCAGCAATCATTGCTCAAGAGGCAGCTCTACGTAGTACAGCTTCTGTGGACCCGGCGTCTTCTTTTCTTCCCTGTTCATTGTTGCCAGAAAATGATCCTTATAAATGCTTTGATTAGTTTGCTTAATGCGTTTCATTCTGGGTTGATGTTGTAGATACTAAATCTCTATCTCTGTTTCGAATAATGCCAGCTCATGGGATCCACTCTTTTCTCCAACACTACAAAGGAATTTCTATTACTGTATAAATTCAGCTTCAAGTCTGATGGATAGATCCTAAATTTTGTGATCTAAAGTAATGGGGTGTTTTGGATACACTGTACTTGGGGGCCTTATCCTCCCTCCTCCCGTGGAAGTACAGGAAGAGCTCTTGCCTCATCAAATGTAGCCTTGGGTTCTTCCCATCTCTGTTCTCTAATCATCTCTCTCAAAACTGTATCATTTTATACCCTGCCCTCTGTTCTCCAAGCCACCAGTGCTCAGTTCTTTTGAGGTTCACTCACCAGCAGCAAGAAACACTGGCAAGGTTCTACTTGTGACATGCATAAGCCCTCAACAGTTATGAAGTTTGCTTATACCAGAGGTAGGGAGACCATGTGTCCTACTTTGCATAGGACAGTTCTCTGTTTGCAGAAATCCTCTGTGCTGTACAAGTGCTAATGTCAAGCCTAGCCTCCCACCCTGCTCTCCCTTCTTATTGTTCTTTATCTTTCAAGTACTGTAGAGCTGGACTGTCTCCTCCAAGTCTGGTTTAAAGATAATAATCAGAAGGCAGAGCGAGGGGGGGGAGGGGGCTTAAAGTTGTCCATCAGGAATTGCCATGTGGGCTACAGACTGAGAAGGCACACCAGCCACTTGGTCAAACTATGGGTTTTTGTGAGGATAAAACAGGAAGACAGGGAGAAACCAAATATGCAACCTTGAACTCCTAAGATGAAAAGCAAGATGTAAATGTAACCATAAATAAATTAGATTCAATGAATCTCTTAAAAGTCAAGCAACGTGTTTTAAAACACAAGCCTTTTGCTTCTCTGCACTGCAGTTTTCCACTGTTTGGGGGGGTTAAGAAAAGAAGGGGAAAATGAGGGCATTGATAACACTTAGCAGTCTTATGAATGCATGGTGAAAATTAATGCATTGCAAAGCACTTGAAAAAGAAAAGTGTGAAATATTACTGGTAATATTACCTTATTTTTATGCAAGTTTTCTTGGTGATTAAAAAAACAGAGGGAGGGAGCAGCAGGAGGTTGGAGAGAAATTATGGGATATGCTATTAAAAGCAAAACCATGTCCAAATAGAACATTTTTTTCCACAGTTTTTCATATGGCACTGGCAGCTCTTAATACTGTATGAGGCTGTGAATACTGTATGAAGCTACAGTTCAGTGGGGAGTCAAACCTTTAAATGTTTCATGCCAACAGCTGCACCTCTCTCCCTGGACTCCTTCCTTGCCTTGCCTGCGTACATGCTCAGAAAGCGGAGCACACTTACGTCTGGGTACAGCACAGTCATTAGCATTATTTCATAAGGATCCCATCCTTCTTCAAAGCTGAAGGGAGCTCTGGCACTGTGAATCAGAGGCCAGCGATTTCTCTGGGTGACATTGGGCAATCACTTTCTCTTGGCCTAGCCTACCTCACAGGGTGGTTGTGGTGACAGAAAGAGTAGGGGGAGAACCATGTAAGCCCCTAGAGCTTCTTGGAGGAAGCATGGGATACAAATGTAATAAAATTAATGCATATCCACCAACTGAATGGATTGTAGCAACAGCAGGTGGGCCCACTGAGTGCACTGTGTCCAAGCCCCCGCTGCCTTGTTTGTTCACTGGAATCTGCTATTTAGATGATTTCATAGAGTTCCTGCTTGATTGTTACGGCTGAGCACATTTTGTTTGTCACATACGCATCTCTCACCCCTTTCCTCCAAGGTGCCTGGCAACATAAATGGTTATTTCTCAGATTTTATCCTGTGAAGTAGTTCACCTGAGGAACAGGATGCTGCCTTATGTCAAGTGTAAACAGCTCAGTCCTGTTTACACCCGGAGTAAGGAACCTGTGGTCCTCATCTACACAGACTAGCAGCAGCAGTTTCCAGTGGTTTGGGGCAGGAGCCTTTTCTACCAGCCCTACCTGGAGATGGGACCTTCTTAATGGGAAGCATGTGCTCTGCCGTGCAGCTTCCGTCTCTCTGTTGAGGCGCCAGGTCACTCGGGGGGTTTGAATCAGGTTCATGGCTGAATCTGGGTTTCTCAAGTCCTACCTAGGCACTCTTAACCGCCATTCATTTATGTCAATTCAACGTCAACTTTTAACCTATGTTTTTAAAATGGAACTGAGGTGAATTAACATTACCTGCAAATTGAGACGGGCAGCAAGCCCCACCCCCAACTGCTGAAGGCAGGGGACTTGGCGCAGACAACGGGCCCCCACAGACTCTGCCGGGCTCTGCCTCACCTTCCCCCATTTAATAGGGGGAGTGGACTTCTGCTTTTCCGGCTTGAGGTTTTAAATCTTATCCTGAGATTTAGTATTGTGTTCCTCACATGCCCCTGCTGCTATTTTGTTTCTCCTGCTGAAGGCACACATCTAATACAAATGCAATTTTGGAACTAAAAATGCTATTTATAGATAACCTTGGTTTCAAATGTTAAGCCAGACAGCCATTGAAGCAGGATCTGGTCTTAGTGAACAAACATTCCTGATAGCCTAGCCTATACAATAAAAAGAATATAGCTCCTCTAACTTACGCAAATCTTTTGAGTTACAACCTACAGTTGTGGTCAAAGTGCACCACAACAGCACTGCCTCTTCATTACATAAGCCGTGTTTCAGGCGTTGTTTGAGACGTGCCAGAAAGAATCTGAGGTGTGTTTGCCAGACACATTGGGAAATGGCAGGTCACAGCCAGGTCCACTGTCCCCCTGATTTGAGCTGTGAGCTTCATATTATTCCAGCCATGTGACACAGCACTTGACTGTTGCTTTGGTTATGGTTAAAAACCTTAAATCCTGTGACTCTAATTTTACTTACCCTCAGATTTATTTAGCAAATATATCAGTTTGAAGGCACAGTGCATGTGTACGTCCTCCTGCTTATTTGAATACTAACCAAAGAACTCAAAGTAATGATTTATTTTCCTCACAACGTATGAAGCAAATTAGCCATATGAGGTAAATTAAGCCAAAGAGACTTGCTCAGAGCCACTACCTTACTCTGGCATTGAGAGATGGTATAACTCCCCTTGTGTTTTGATACAGGGCTTTTGGCAAGCCTGTGGGGGTTCCAGCCATGTATCTGGGTCCCAGAAAGAGGGGAAAGTAGGAGGTCACCTCCACGCTTATTTAAACACCTGTACCCCAGGACTCTGTACTAGACTAGATGACATAGGAATGCCCAATATTTTCAAATGGCTCTAGTATGCACAACTGGACCCTGCCACAAAAGGTTGCAGTGTGAAGCATTCTTGCTGAGCATTTTAGTCAGCCATGCCCACCCCCACAACAGCTCATTTCACCATCCTCCACCCAGCCAGTCACATTCTATGATCAGGTGCAGTCCTAATAACTGGACTGTTTTATTTGTTTGTTTGTTTTTATTGGAACATAATGTACAGTATAAATATACCTGGCCTACCCAGATGCTGAGAAAGTTGAGGTAATAGTATTTTAACTTTTGTATGTTTTAATATAGGCTTGTAAAATTTTCTTGATTTCATTGTCTTATCTTTGGGGTTATTTACAACCAATTGGTGTATAACCCCCACTTCATTATAGAAACCTCCAAGCCTCCCTCCAGTTGAATATACTTTCTGGCTACTTTGTGTGTGTGGTAAAAATGGGTTATTTCCCTTCATATCACCCTTGAATGTTCCCATATACGAAGTTAAAACTCCCTGCAAACAGACAATGAGCAGATCATGGATGGAGAAAACTGTACATCAGGTCTCCACTGCTGCTATTTCAGCTTTCTAATCTGAATTTGCTATTTCCTTGTACTCTGATCATATTTGCTGAAAACTGTGTATCAGATATCCTTAAAACTCTCCTCTTAGAGTTGCTCAATGCTGAGCCAAAGAAGTTAAAAACAACATCTCCATAGTGGAAAACTTGCATACTGCCAACAGCTGTCTGTGTGTATCAGGTATCAGGACTGCCAGGCCTAGTTCTGGACAGCTTAGAAACAGTTGCTATGGCAACTAAATAGAGAGAAGAGGACGTGGAAGAAAAAACACCTTGTGCTACTTTACAACAGAGTGCACAGAAAGAAAGCTGTGTACAAAGTAAACATAAAAGAGGTTCTCTTTAGGTGCTTCAACTGTATGAAAAGCTAGGTTATGCTTAACAGTGGCCTCAGTCAAGACACCCTAGCAACAACAGTGCTAAAGAAGGCAGACGGCAACACCAAAGTAGGATACTAATTTATATGTATATGTGCACATTTAGATTATATTTCTAGTTAAGTTACAATGTTTCTATCTACCAGGTGACCTTTGTGCCTGCTAGGTGTGCTTTAGAGACCCTACTGCATCTTCCCCTTCTTAGGGTTCATTATCTTTTCCTGGTCCTGAACTGGGCAGCCCTTCCAACAGAGGATGACCCTGTCCAAAGTAGTCCAGCTGATCATCCTGACTTATAAACAAACTGTGGTTTACAGCTGCTTTCTTTTTCAGTCCAGTCCAAAAGTGCAGAAAACTTTGTTTTTGCACAAATAGAGTTTATACCTAGTACTGGCCCCAATCTGCTTTCTGGGCCCACTATCAATGTGCTTTAGTAAGTGGCATCTACATCCAATGCACACTGGATTCTGGATTTCTGAAAAGTTAGTATTTTGGAAGAAAGTTGCAGAATAGATTATGATATATAAAGGTGATTTGAGGACTGGACAAAACTCTTCCTTTTTTATGGGTTGTGTCCAATGCTAGTCCTATTCAGAGTAAACTGACTTAAATCCATGGACTTAAGTTACTTGTGTCCAGAAGATCTCCTCTGAGTAGGACTAGCACTGGCTACAAACCTATGTCCCAACATTTGGAAACCTCCCACATACAATTTTTGTTTTTCAACCACAAACACAGTGTGAACTTTACCTGTTTTATCAAATACAGCAGAGTGTACCCACTGGGACCAGTATGATGACAATCCAGTAAACTCAATTTAAGAGGTCATTTTGAGTATTCTGTCATGCTAAACAAACCATTAGCTGATACAGACCACCATGTCTTAGAGACTCTCCAGTTTCATAGAGAAGGAAATGCCATCTCTCAATGTTGGGGAGATAAGCTACTTCAAAGGCAGTTCTCACGTCATCTGCATATCTCCTTCTTCTGCTTTCAGACTGTTGAGAAGAGGAGGAGGAAGTGGAAGAGATGGAATCCAGAGGCAAAGCCCACCTCAGACTGAAGACCAAGATGAACAATGCCTTGTGAGTACATAGATTGGTTTCAATTTATCTTGGCCATATTATTATTATTATTATTATTATTATTATTATCATCATCATCATCAACAACAGCAACAAAACAATAATGTTATTATTATTTTATTATTTATACCCCGCCCCTCTGGCTGGGTTTCCCCATACTACATATATATGCTACATAAGTGAATGACCTATGTTAGACTCTCAAACTGTGCTTCAGAACATTTTCCTTATTATTTAGAAACTGTGTCTTGCTTTTCAAGTTCACTGCCACAGAATTGCAACCCTGTGCACCTGTATAAATGCTCCCCTCCCAGCTAGATGAATTGAACTTTTCAACTCCAGGGCTGTATTCAGAGAGCTTTATGTAGTGCAAACTTAACTGTGCTGAGTTAATGTTACAGCTTGGAAGGAGGAATGTAGGTGGGTCAGATCATGGTCAAGATAGCAAGCACCCTATATATTCAAAGGTGAAAGGAGCTGAATGTCTGATCTTGAAGTGTGCACTGATTTCCTTTCCACCAAGACAGTCCCTTGCCCTTTGTGAACAGAATGTGAACTTTACCTCTAGGGGATTGTTCTTAAACTGCAGTCTCACCAAGCTGACTCAGAGTTGTCTGTCAAATGCTGACAGGGGTCTGGCAGCAAATACACCAAGCTCTCAAGAGATCAGCCAGACTAAATAGGGGCTTTGTAAGGTTTCCTACAAGCCTCTGCGCTAAAGCATCCAGAGAGAATTGGAAAAAGTGGGTAGAACGTTTAAAACATTTGCTTTTATGTATTAAAACCTTTATACCCTGCCCTTCTGGTGCAAAGCACCTCTCAGGGCACCTTACAACAACAATTAAAATTACAACTTTAGAGTGTTTAATTGGTAGCTATTTAAAGTCAAGCATACAATCCAAGGGCTTCTGGGTATTATACTGTAGCAGCTGTGCCAAAAACACACAGCTGAGGTTAAGCAGGGACATTGAGGGATTTGGAATATGTTGACTGTGTACTGGAGTTTACAAAAAGCCACAAAGGGTTTTAGTTAAGAGTGTGTAGCAAAGATGGTGAACCTCAGATCCAGGGGCTAAATGTGGCCCTCTAAGCCTTTTGATCCAACCCTCAGGATTCTCCTCAGATCTGATCCCCTCACCAGTCACACATTTTATTGGGCCAGCTTTACGCTATCCTTGAGGGGTTTTGCCTGGCTGGAATGTCTGCCCAGCCTAGTACAAAGCACCAGAGCAGTGTAATGGAGCGCATTTCTAGTGCTGGCATAAAGAATTCTGGGTAATGTGTAACACTGAGGCTGGGCAGAGCCAGTGAGATTTGGGGAGGCAAAGGACTCAGCTATACAGGGGCAAATAAAAAGTATTAAGTGAGTTTTAATATACAATGTGACACTAGATGGCAATGGTGAGCCTTATGGAAAATTCAATGTATTTTTAAAAACCCTTTTTAAAAAAGCATTTTCAGAATGGTTTTTATATGTGTGTAGATTCCACCAAAGCAAAGAAGGTGGAAGGACTTAGTAAGATGACTGATAAATGCATACCCTAGTATCTTGTTATATAGGGTATCTCATTATAGCTTAGTTAGTTAGAGTGTGGTGCTAATAGCACCAAGGTGGCAGGTTTGATCTCCATAAGGGACAGCTGCATATTTCTGCATTGCAGGGGGTTGGACTAGATGATCATCAGGGTCCCTTCCAACTCTATAATTCTTTGATAAAAACTCTCTGTGCAGCTCCCAACCAGTAAAAACAACACATATCTGAACCTGCAACAACAAAATTAAAGCAGCAGAATGGTAAAGCAACAGGAGTTGGAGAATAAAAGAAAAGAAAGGATAGATAAAATCAGATATGACTGATGTTTAAAAAGCTCTAGGAAGAATAAAAGATACCAAAATGGCATTAAGCATAGGCACCATCCAGATCTCCCTAGGCAGAACAATTCAAAGCCAGGAAGCTGCAACTGAAAAGGCCTCTCACCTGTTCCTTCAGACCAAGGGCCTCCATCAATGCTATCAACACAGGAACAGCTACATGCAGTATTATTATTATTAATTGGATTTATATACCGCAGTAGAGACTAGTCCATGAGGGCGAACAGGGCCCTGCCCCACCAACCTCAGCCTGCCAGCCACAACCAGACCATACATTTAAAGTACCCTGATACTGCTTTAACAGTCATGGCTTCACCCCAAAGAATCCTGGGAACAGTAGTTCATTAACAGTGCTGAAAGTAAGTCAGGAGACACACACGCACCCTGAGCTACAATTCCCAGTTCTTGGGGTCTGCCTCAGGTGGCAAAATGTCTTGGGCCGGCCCTGTCACCAGACATATGTGCAACTGTGGCAAGGCTTTCCCTTGGTCCAGAAGGGAGCTGCCACAACAGCCTCAACTGGGGGCAGGCGGCCACCAACTTGGGGAGGCTGTAGAGAAGAACTGGAAATTTTAATGGCAAATAAGGCTACCAACAGCTGCTAACTATGACTGCTATGCTCTGCCTCCATAGTCAGAGGCAGTAATGCTTCTGAAGACCAGTTATAGGAAACCACAAGCTCCATGGTCAGACAAGCCCACAGTACTTTGTCTTGTTGGGATTGCACTTCAATTAGGAAACTGTGATTGTTAATCTGGGGAAAGTTAGCAAACTGGATGGTAAATAATGCATTTCTTAATGCATTACAGATGAATCAGATAATTTCTAGAAGCTTTCTCTCTAGGGTTGCCTGAAATTCTGCCCTCCCTCAACACACCTCCCTGTTTGACCTGTGGTTGTTGCAGTGCTCAGGACAAAGCAACACAGAATCTTGCATTTGAGTTTGGAGTTATCTGCCTGGAACAAGGACGATTAACAAGCAGGGCAGATGGGGAATCTTTGGGGATAAGATCAAGAGGCTTATATCAGGGATACATGGAAACAGAGAACAAACTGCATTTTAATTACAGCTGTGATAAAAGCAGAAGGCAGCGTGGGGGGAGGGGAATTCAGCCCCTGCTTTTGGTCAAATCCAGCTTTTGACTTGGAGCTGAAACTGCATTGGTGACGTGTGTGTGTGTGTTCCCTTTCAGCTCAGCCAAATGCCAGCTTCTTCAGAACCCCCAAGAAACTGTAGGGTGGATTGTAGTTTTTAAGCAGTTTGGAGAGGTGGTAGATAAGTGCCCGTTACATAGGGCCAAATGAGAGGATACACCATTTACACAACTGGAAGTTCTGTAAATAGCTTTTGGGGAGAAATATATATTTCCGATAAAGGTAAAGGTATCCCTGACCATTGGATCCAGTCGCAGATGACTCTGGGGTTGCGGCGCTCATCTTGCTCTATAGGCCGAGGGAGCCGGCGTTGGTCCGCAGACAGTTTTTTCTGGGTCATGTGGCCAGCATGACTAAGCTGCTTCTGGCGAAACCAGAGCAGTGCATGGAAACGCCGTTTGCCTTCCCACCAGAGTGGTACCTATTTATCTACTTGCACTTTGACGTGCTTTCAAACTGCTAGGTGGGTAGGAGCTGGGACCGAGCAACGGGAGCTCACCCCATCATGGGGGTTCGAATCGCTGACCTTCTGATCAGCAAGCCCTAGGCTCTGTGGTTTAGACCACAGTGCCACCCATGTCCCTTTTCCGTTACAGGGGACCTAATCTGGAACCTGCTCCTGGCATGGATGGGTGGGGTAGAGTGGTTTTAACTCATTGCCCCCTGCAGAAGTGCAGATTGAGATTGGGTCTCAGATACTTATTTACTTTTTCAAAGCTGTTCACACAACTGCTAACTGCATGTCGGTTGGTTTGGGCCTCTGAGACAGTTTGGCTAGAACATGAATGGCCAGACTGGGCCATATCTGGGCTTCTGTATCTTTAATAAATATGTGGCCAAGGGAATTTTGGCAGGCTCTACAAGAGCTGTACCTGTGGGAATTCCCCTGTTATGCGGCTGTTAGAACATGGGCTATACCTGGGCAAAGGGAAAAGTGAAGGGGGGAAAGCTCTTGCTCCACTAACACACTGATGTTTGTTTTTATGTTTATAGATTCATGGGATGTCTATTTTAAAACAGAAGTATCTCACACATTCCAACTCTACCTGTTTATTGCTGGGGACAATCTGATCCTTGATAAATCACAGTCCCTATGTTGGCATTGGGGGTTAGGGAGAATGCCTTTTCAAAATGCTCGCAAACCCCTTTGAACTAGACATCCCAGCTTCTTTGAAGGGGACATAGCTCAGTAGCAGTGTGCCTGCTTTGCATGCAAAATGCCCTTGTTATTCCTGGCACCTGCAGTTCAAAGGAGCAGGTAGCAAGTGATATGAAAGATTCTTCTCTGTCCAAGATTCTGAGGAGTCCCTGCCAATCAGAGTAGGGAGTGGCAGACTAGCTGGGCAATTGGTACAATCTGGTATAAGGCACCTTCCCATGTTCTGCTGCTTCATAGGCAGAGGCATAGGTGGCATTGTGGGTTAAACCACAGAGCCTAGGACTTGCTGATCAGAAGGTCGGTGGTTCAAAGGTCTCAGTGGTACTGAGAGAGCTTTTAGTTTTGGAAATTCAATCATTGCCTATAGGGCTGAGAGAGACCAAGAGCAGCAATATATTTTGAATCATTTGCTTCCCTGTTTTCCCCTAAGCCCAGTTCCTCCTCTTATACCCCTTGGCTTCCTTTTTCTCTTCCAATATTTAGGTTGCCTCATTGTGATTTTTTTCTACACATTTCAAACATGAGCCCAACCCCTGCCAAGGAATGGTGATCCAATATTATTCTGCAGCCAGGATGATGTAATTTAACAAAAATTGCATAATTCCTTTCTACTTGCTACGTTTAAAGCCCTGTCCCTGCCCTTCATTACCTTCAGACATTATATGATTGTGGAGAAGCAGGAAGTGCACAGCACTTTCTTCTTGTTGTGTGGCTTGTGCCAGGCTTTCAAAGGAACTTGAGAGGCAGAGGAACACAAACTGGGTCCACATGTACAGTGTGGGCATCTCCCACATGCAAATGCCTTTTGGCAACATTCCACTGGCTGGTAAAAACAGAAAGTGCAGCTCACGTTTTGCTTGCTCTCAAGAGTCATGTTATTAATGGCGGTAGGTCATGCACATTCACATTTTGTAATATAAGAATAGAACTATATTAATGTTGATAACCACTATGTTCCTAAGAATCTCCCATCTATTTACTGGCTAGGCCAACACCTGCAGGGTAAGACATTTTGCTGCTTGAAGTGAAGAGCAACATGGCAGCAATTCTCAATCCCATGTGCAAAACCTGAGCAACAGGACAGTGTTGTCTACTGCACTTGAGGGCAGCAGATTAGCTTTGGAGACACAGAGCAGGGGGCATGGGACAAAGCAGTCTGCCTGCTTCCCACCATCTGCTGCCCGAGGCAGGCATCTCACTCTACCTAATGGTTGGGCCAGCGCTGCAGACTTGTTCAGTAGAGATGCCAACTTTCCACCCACCCCTTTCTAGCTGTGCTTCAAATTGCAGCCTGATGATGTGCAGATTAGCAGATGGCAGTGTTTATCTCTCTGCTGTGAAAAGCTTCTCCTGCTGATTTCTGCACATCTGCCACTACAACAAGCCCAAGAGCAGGCCAGAATGATTGGGGGCTAGTTTGGTTTCAGGGAGGGGTTGTTTCTGGTCAGCTGGGAATCCCACTTCTTAGTGTCAGAGATGGCACCTTCAGGTAGTTCTCTAAATTCTTGAGTTTGGTATACCCAGAGTTAAGTGTTGTAGAAAATGGATTGCTTTGGTGCAGAATGTGCATTTTCTGCCGCCTATCATGGGCAACGGGGACTAAACTGGGTGAGCATGTAGAACCAGAGGCTTAATCTAGGATGTATCGGTGTGGAGAGGGACAATTATTTCACCCTGCTAGGCCTGGACCCTTGATGGAGGCCCACCTGGCCAACCCCTGTGCAAAACTCTGCTTTGTGGAGCTAAAAGAGCATAGCTGGAATAGCTGTAACTCCGTTTTCTTCAATAGCAGTATTTCCTCCTCCTCGCCTTATTACACTCCTCGGCGCCTCCTACTGGGAAAAGAAAGAGGGGAAATGGCAGCCCCCGGCTCTGGTGTTGTCCTCTAGCAGGTTAACATGGAGCGGGAATTGTTTTGACCCAAGTCACAATTGTGCTATTGTTTTGCACCAGGCAGGGGGCCAGTCCGGAATGAGGCTAGCGGCGAAAGCTGCCAGGAACTCTTTATGCCACAATTAAGCACCTGCTACGAAAGGAGTAAAATCAGCCAAATCATGCGGCTGGCAAGCGAGCTTTTATGCGTCCCTTCCCCCGTGACCCTGTCGGAGAAGGAAGCTAAAACCTGCGTCTCAGCTGCCTGCCGATTTCATTCCAGCCCAATGCAGGGAAATAAACAGCTTGGGGCTTGAAGCCGGTGGCCTCGGTGCTGGCGGGCTTGGCTGGGGAGCCGGCACTCTGAACCCAAGGCAGCCCTCCGGGACCCCCGCCCCCGTCCAGGAAGCCCAGGTTTCTTCTGCTATGGAGAGAGAGATCCCCGTCTTACGAGTCCGGTGAGGAAGGGAGCCGGGGGCTGGCGGGGAGGGAGGGGAGGGGGGCGCGGGGCCGAGGCCTCCCCAGGCGGAGCGGGGCTGGTGTGGCGGGAGCGAGCGAGCGAGGGAGGGAGATGCTGCCGGAGCGCTGACGCGCATTGACGCGCCTTTGCATCAGCGCCGGCCCTTGGAGCGGCTCGGAAGGGCCGCGGCTCCGCTGATCCTAACAGGAAGAGAGCAGGGACAAGTTTATTTTGGTTATGCATGGAGGGGAGGGCAGGAGGGGGGAAACGAGCCTTGAGTGAGGACAATGAGGGATCACATGATCTCAAGATGCTGGATCGCAGCAGCTGGTCTTGGCTGCGGCGGAGCTGGGGCGCTGATCCGCCTCCCATTGGTCAGGCTCCAGTGATGACTCGAGATTTTCGTCTCTGTCCTCATCCTGCGGGGAGGAGGGGGCGGGAAGGGCAGCAAAGCAACGCCGGGGTGGAAGGAGTCGAGTGGGGCGGACAGAGCTTTTTCGGGGGGTGGGGGGTGTAGAGTGCTGCAAGAGAACCCGTCCAGCTGGGCTGGGTGCTTGAGGCCAGGACGCGCAGGGGAGCAGAGTAGACTGGTCCAGACTTTTGCTAGAGGTGAAGTACAGTGAGGGTGCTCGTTAGCCCACATACATTCTGTGGACTTGTGGGGAGAGACCGTAGCTGAGTGGCAGCGCAGAGTGCCCCAGGTTCAGCCCGATTCCCAGGCATCTCCAGGTGAAAAGGGAGCAGGTGATGGATTGAGAGAGAGATCTGCAAGAGACACTGAAGTCCTGTTAACTGCCAGGGTTGATGAAATCTGGTATAAGGCCATGGGGGTGAGATAAAGCTGTCTGGGCCAGGCCCTGGTAAAAGAAGGCCAGCCTTGCAAAATACAACCATGCACTCCGTTTGTGCAAAGGAACCAACCAGACATATATTTTGCTTTTGAATCTTGTGTGGTTCTGTTGCATTGGGAAGGAAGGAATATGTGCCAGTTGTTCCTCTGTCTGACATCCCTAGAGCCCAAGGCTACTGCAGGCAGAAACTTAGTGGTCTTGTTTTGTCAGTGCCCAGAGGAGACATAAGAAGGGGCAGAGAGAGAAAAGTCACTCCTGCAGCTTCCTTGAAAAGAAATTGTATCTCAGATCTGCATAACTTGGCATGCAATTAGCTTCAGATGACAATACTGGCCCTGATCCACTTACTATGTGACTTGCAATTGTTTGAAAGTACACACCCTTCTTTGCAATGGCCATAGTATGGGAGGGGGAGCTGGTGTCTCTGTAGAGCTGAAGGCAAAATCCTGGGATGTGGAGTGTTCATTCTCCACTGAGCTCAATAAGTTTTTTGAGTGCTCTCTGGTGTGCATTATGATAGAACCTTTAGTATGAAGTCAAACTGACTGGGAAAATATGAAGAATGGGTAGGTACAAACTAGATACCAGAAACATCCGTTAGAAAAAGTGAAGAGGGCATTGGGAAGGCTTGAGAGAAGCATTTTTACTGGACACTGTCAAGCTAAGGCATAAAAACCTTTCCCCCTTTCATAGGTACTCAGTATCAGGGACAGCAAACAGGCAAGGATGTGGATAGATGAGGGGATGGGCAGGTTAAGAATGATGAAGAAACAATAAATGGATATACTGTAAAGAAAACTGGCTTGTTTATGTATCTGATTGTATAATGCAAGGGTAACAATTACATAAGGAGCTGGAAGAAAGCAGGAAACTGCCTATACCTACCGAATATGCTTGATTTCATCTCAGGTCTGAAGTTGCCCACCTGTCCCTTTTTACCATTGCACTATCTCTATTCGAGGGCTGTTTTTGTTTTTGCCATATTCATCTTGATCTACCTGCGACCTTGTCTAGACCATTTGGGAACATCTAACATCTAGGCTGGATGTTTCCAACTCCCCTCGCCTTCCCAGGGTATCCATGTCAATAGCAGAACTAGGCTTTTCTAAGTCCCAGCAGCCCCCTTGGGACGCTCCAGCCCTACATGCCTGAGCTTGGGGAAGGGCTTTTGCTATTGTATAATTCTGCCCCCCCCCCCAATTTAACAGAGCTTGATGTTAGGTAACTGTGGTACACAAAGCTTTTCTTCTTATTGTTTTTGCCCTGCTCGCTCCTAAAGAGCCTCTGCTGCCTTCCCCATAAATTGGGGCGGAGAGTGATGAGAAAGGGATGAATGGCCCAAGATGTATAGAAGGGGAAAGGTGCGCGGGGGGGGGGGGGAGAGAGAAATGTACAGGGTTGAGGGACGTTGCAGCGGGGCGGAAAGCACAGAGGGGAAGTGTGTGGTAGGAGCGGCTGCCCGAGCTGCATCCCTCCTCCTCCCGCCCCCCGCAGCCCGTGGCCAGAGCCCCCTCCCCGGAAGGCCCGGCCGGCCGCCGCGCCGCCTGCCCCCTCTTTTGCTCGCTTTCGGCCAATGAGCGGCGGCGGGGCTGCGGGGCGGAGCTTGCGCGGCGCTCCCGGGAGGGGGCTCTCCTTTTTTTGTGAATGAAAATAGGCGGTGGGCGAGTCTCGGCGCAGGACTGCAGTTCGCGCCCCGCTGCCGCCCGCCGCTCAGTCGCCCCGCGGCCGCCAGGGAGGAGGGCGGAGCGTCGCCGGCCGAGGAGGGGGCGCCCAGCTTGGCGAGGGGTTCCATGCGGCTCGGCGCAGCCGGCCTGGGGCGAGGAAGATGCCGCGCGAAGGGGCGCACCCGCTCGGGGGCCGACGCGGACTGTTCTGTCAGAGCATCTGAGCCGGAGAAATTTAGCATCCCGCCCAGCGGTCGGCACGGCAGAGCAGGATCCGAGCCGGGCGCTCGTGCCCGCCACCATCATGTCTCCGGGGAAGAGGTCGGCTCTTTCCGCTGCAAATTGCCCCTTCATATGTGTTGGCGTAAGTACAGCGACCACCGCGGGACTCCCTCGGCCCCCCTTCAGTTATTGCAGGCGCGGGAGCGGAGGGTCAGGCCAGGGTCGAGGGTCCGCTTTGCAAGTAGGGTCAATAGTGCCGATTTTAGGTGGGGTCGGTGAAAGCGCAAGGGGAGCTGCGTTTCCGCCAGTCTCGCTAAGCCCGGGCGTGCGCTGGTGAGAGATGCTAGGCGCGCACAGATTGCACGAGCCTCTCCGAAGAGCATCGCGTACTCCTGGCGCTGTTCTTGGGGAAATGGCTTCAAACCCAGAGGCACGCCTGGAGAGCGGCTTCTCTTCGACGCTGCGTGCTTGCCTTGGGTCTCTGTGGGTGGTTGCTGCACTGCCAAAAAGGGAAACAAACAAACGGAGTGGTCGCGCTGCTCTGGCGGGACTGGGGTGGGATTTGCAAAAAAGGAAAACAAAGCAAACCCGGGCAGGGTGGAGAGAGCTGTGTTCTGCTCCAAGGGCAGGCTTGGCCAGGATATCTTTCATTGCATAAACCTTTTCGCAGTGTGTGGAGAGCTGTGTGCGTATCGGGTTTCTCTCTTCCTTCACACAAGCCAGCTGCTCGCGCAGCCTCCTGTACTTTGATGTGCTTGTAATGTGGAAGAAATGTGCAGTGTGCTTAGAGAGTGTGTGTGTGCACGCGCGCATATGGGTAGACATAAATAAACACGTATTTGCGCCCCACTCCGCTTCGTTTGCGAAAGCATCGCTCCTATTAAGCTTTACCTCTTCAATCTTCATTAGCATAATTTTGCAGAGTAGGCACTGGTCGTAATCTGCAGAGTTCTTTGCCCATGCCTCCCTTCCTGGTCTCTGGGGGGATGTTCAAGCCCTCCCACCCTTCTTCCTCTACAACCCCCCTCCCGGAAATGCTCCGTAACCAAGGGATATTTTTACTAATTATTTTTGTTGCGCTATTTCTCCCGGTCCCCCATTTTGTGTTTTGTGAAATGAGATTGAGTGGGGTGGGGGCACATTTAGCCTGTCGGTTGCTAGGAAACAGGTTAGGCTCCCTGAGAGATTCTCTAGTTTCCTTGGCAACCGCAGACTGGGGCAGCTTGCAAGGAACACAATTCTACTCTCTCCGAGAGATAGCGGGGCAGATTTGATGGCAAGGAACTGAGGACATGTCACCAAGAGTGGACGGGGTGAGGGACAGAAAAAGGGGGCACATAGTGGAATCAAATGAGCAGGAGTGACTAGTTGTCGTCGAAAGACTGTCATTGAAATAAGAGGGGGTTGAGATAAAGGAGATAAGAGGGAGTTGGCAAAGGAGATAAGGCCAGAGAGCGTGTGTGGCAGGAGATGTGCTGGGAGGGAGGGGAGCATCTGGATGTGGTGGCGATTACAGAGCCTAAGTGCAGGTCCTAGAGAACAAAAGCAACTAATGGATTTTGTGCACTCAGACAAAAGAGCTACAGAAATAGACAGGGGCTGAAATGGAGAGGAAGAAAGACTTGTTTGATTATCTCTCCTGCTGGTGTTGGGATCCTTGGAGAGAGGGTTTCTTTTTAGGGGAGGGGAGTGGAATCATAACAGCAAGGAAGGAGAGGGGGGAGGAAAGAGGAGAGGCACAAAACAACAGTGATAGGATTTGTCTGGGCAAGGATTGTCCCCCCCCAAATGTCACATGGGTGCTAGTTTGCTGACCGCCTCCACAGCTGCTGCTGCTGCAGCAGGAGTTTCACATGGCACTTGCCTTCAGTTGCCTTTATTCCACCTCCCCACGTGTCTTGCACACTCATTTTGAAATCCGCTCCCACTAGGAGTGAGTTCTTTTAACTGTTAACAGACCCAAGAAGCTGACTGTCACAGAGGGAGAGCTTGCTGCTAACTCTTGCTTGGGTGAAATGGGTTTGGGGTTCAACACATCCTGTTTTGTGCTTAAGAAATAAGCTATGAGGCCAAAGCCCACAAGGAGATTTGGGCGTACATGAAAATCTATTCTGCCTCTTGGTTGTGATCACAGGCTCTCCAAAGAGAGGCAGCCACTATTCGCACATCAAACAGGAACTGGCCCAATTCTTTCCCTGTTCTAAAATTTGCTCTTTGTTTCAGCAGACTGCATATTTCTGAAGCATATGAGTAACATCTTTATAATACCTATTTATTACTTTCTCCTCCTTTTCTCCAAGGAGTTCAAGGCAGTATGTATGGTTGTTCTGATCAGATTTATTGCATTTCTATGCTGCTATTCATTCAAATGAATTTCAAAGTGGCTTACAAACAATAAATAACAATAGCGTTATAGAATAGGGGGACGTGGGTGGCGCTGTGGGTAAAACCTCAGCGCCTAGGACTTGCCGATCGCATGGTCGGCGGTTCGAATCCCCGCGGCGGGGTGCGCTCCTGTTGCTCGGTCCCAGCGCCTGCCAACCTAGCAGTTCGAAAGCACCCCCAGGTGCAAGTAGATAAATAGGGACTGCTTACCAGCGGGAAGGTAAACGGCGTTCCGTGTGCTGCGCTGGCTCACCAGATGCAGCTTGTCACGCTGGCCACATCTGCGGACAGCGCTGGCCCCCGGCCTATAGAGTGAGATGAGCGCACAACCCTAGAGTCTGTCAAGACTGGCCCGTACGGGCAGGGGTACCTTTACCTTTACCTTATGCTGCTATTCATTCAAATGAATTTCAAAGTGGCTTGCAAACAATAAATAACAATAGCATTATAGAATATAATAGAACACCACAAATATAGAATAGTGCAACCCAGGGTCACCCAGTAAGCATGTTAGCTGCATAAGGTTTTGAATCTGGGTCTGCCCGGTCCTAGTCCAACACTGCAACCGCTATACTATTTTTGGTTGATACAGTTGCACAGCACAATTTCCTAGCTCTCTTGCTCTTTTCCCCATGGAAGGCTGGATTCTCCAATTCACCGAGAAGCCCTATAAAGGCGTAGTTGAAGAGCTGAGGGTTCTCAGTGCCTCTGGGGCTGAGAATCACAACACAATGTTATGCAAGTATACTCCAAAATAAATCCCACTATATTCAATGAGGACCTTGTCTCAGGGAATTGTGTTTGGCTGCAGGATGAGGAGGTGGTGGCTGTCCACCTCTTATTGGAATGCAAACTCCCATGAGCCTCAGACAGCATGGCCAATGCTAAGGCATGATGGGAGCTGCAGTCCAGCAACATCTGGAGAGCCACAGGTTGCCCATCCCTACCTTTAAACCTCAGTCAGCTTTCACTCCATTGTTGCATGAAGACAAACTGCCCTTGTTGTCCAACCTCCTCCTACCCTGGCAGGGTTGCATATCAGGAACTTTAAAGATGAAAGACTCACAGTGTGTCCACAATGGCAGCATATGTTTTTTGTGTTTTTTTTGGCTAGGCATGTCTTGTGTGTTCACATTTTTATCACAAGTGCTGTTTTGTTGTTCTTGTTAGCATCAACAGGTACCTGAGACTCAGATATTTTAGACCTGTTTCTGGGTGGTGCATTGGCTACCCTCTGTCTTTTCAGCGCTCACTGGCTGAGAAATGAATTGCATCCTTTTAACTGTACTGTATTTTTTTCCCCTTGCCCCTTTAACCATTTGGTAATTATCTTTTATAATAATAGTAAGATCACTTTGCCGCACAATAAATGTACGCTTCTTTCTCCATGTACAACACAAAGTCCTCTCACATCTTTTATGGGGCTGTGCTTCTGCTGTGAATATACCTTAATTCCCTCTTCATGAGAAGATGTTACACTCCCCCAGATAGCCCATTCATTGCTATTAGTGGTGTTGTGTGGGATGCAGTTCTATGTGTGGCAAGGGCCTCTGTTGACTGTAGCTTGTAATAGCCATGGTAAAGGTAAAGGTACCCCTGACCATTAGGTCCAGTCGTGGACGGCTCTGGGGTTGCGGCGCTCATCTCGCTTTACTGGCCGAAGGAGCCGGCGTACAGCTTCCGGTTCATGTGACCAGCATGACTAAGCCGCTTCTGGCGAACCAGAGCAGTGCACGGAAACGCTGCTTATCTTCCCGCCAGAGCGGTACCTATTTATCTACTTGCACTTTCACATGCTTTTGAACTGCTAGGTGGGCAGGAGCTGAGGCTGAACAACTGGAGCTCACCCCGGTCCAGGGGTTCTAACTACCAACCTTCTGATCGTCAAGTCCTAGGCTCTGTGGTTTAACCCACAGCGCCACCCACATCCCTTAATATCCGTGGTAGCAGAGAGCAATAAGAATACCTGGGCAAGGAAGCACTTCTGTTGTTAGATGAGTGGAAGTTCTGGTCCTGGAGTTCTTGAAGGCAGCATAAGGCAGGAAGAAACCCTTGCATTAAGTAAGTTAATCAAATGTGTCAGGCCACAGTTACCTCTCCAGCTCCCCAAATTAGCTCATCTACATGAGATGCTGAAGAAGTTGTCTTATTCTCACAAATTTGATAAATGGTGAAAAATTGTTTTTGAACAAGAATATTAATTGTGTGAATAATTGTCGCCTATGTGCTGTACGGGTTGCACAACCATCTACATGAGATGGCAGCAGTTAACAGCAAATTTGATCAGTCCATGTGCATCAAAGACCCTCAGCTATGTGCCAGGCATTAGGACTGCATACAAACCATACATTTATAAAGCATGTTTCCTCTCTTTACCCAAAAAAAGAATAATGGGTATCATGTTTGTTAAGGGTCCTTGGGTTTACAGCTCTGTGAAGGGAAAACTCCAGTTTCCAGGACTCTGGTGGAGGGGTGGATACCATGGGCATAGCAGCAGCTTTATAATTATAATTATTTGATCAGAAATGTCAGAATCATGGAATAGTAATGTTGGAAGGGACCATGAGGGTCATCTCGTCCAACCCCCAGCAGTGCAGGAATCTTTTTGCCCAAAGTGGGACTTGAAGCCACAACCCCGAGATTAAGAAATATCCCCCAAAAGTAATGCCATGATTTTAAAACGTATTTCCACTGATCAGGTTGTTGGGGTGGAGGTTGTTGCAGTATGACTTGGAACTGATGAAACTGGGCTGAACTATCCAAGCCTTTCCAGAGGCTTTTACCTGTCCGGCCCCTTAGTTAGAAGACTCACAGGCTTCTGCATGCAGGATCTGATTCTCTGCCAAGGGGAGTTGGCAGCACCCCAGTAAAACTAACAGCCACTCTGATTTATGCAGGCTGGATTGCTGAGTGGTGGTGCTCAGCCTTTCTGTGCAGAAGCCTGCTATGCACTTCACCTCCAAAGTCCCCCTGATGCAATGGAGGTTGAAGGATTACCAGTGCTGGCACCATTTAGCCTTTCCTTAAGAACTTTCCGCGTTGTAAATGAGAGGAAAGTACATTGAAAAATCCTCTTTGTACTTTTAGGATAGATGAAGCTGCACCTCTTTAATGTGGATTTTTGTTGTCATTGCTGTTTATTGGGGTTTTATATCTTTCTTTTTTCTCTTTCTTTCTTTCTTTCCTTTCTTTCCTTTCTTTCCTTTCTTTCTTTCTTTCTTTCTTTCTTTCTTTCTTTCTTTCTTTCTTTCTTTTCCCAGGTCCTAGCCTAACACACTAAGCACTACACTGTACTGGCTCTTTGTCCCCCCCTTCATTCTCACTTCTGTACCAACCTTATATTGAAAACACACCAAGAAACTGACTGCATTTGAGGAGAGCACCTCCTCCTCATGCCAGTGTTTTAAATACCCCATCCTGAGCTATGGTGTCGTAATACTGTTTTGAGTAAGACACGGCTTCATTGCATATCTGGACTTCATGTCTGGCAAAATACTCTGCTGAGGATTCATGTCTCTAATGACTACAAACTGGCTGTTTGGTTGTGGGCTCCTGTTTTCAGGGTCTGTGTGTCCATACCTGCTACCAAAGGTCTGTAGTTCAAAGCTTGAGTAACCATTTTGCATGCAGAATGTCATACGTTCAGTTTTTGGCATCTCCAGGTAGGAATGGGGAAAACCTCTGTTAGTCAGTGTTGACAATACTGCTCAACTTGGTATAAGGTAGCTTCCTATGTTCCTAAAGGATACTGCTAAATATCCATACACTCCCATGGTGGTGTCCCTGCTTACAACAACCTGTGTTGGGTCATTCTTCTGTGCTATGATTATCCCCAGTTGGGATAGCCTTACTGTGAACTTCCCTATCATAGAAAACAAGGAATGAAAAAGTCCAGATGGGAGCCTGAGTCTTGCTGCTTTTTACTCTACTGGAAACACTGTAAGATATGCCATCCCAAATGGCAGTTGTTGCAGCCGCTTGGGCAGACAGGCAGGAGCTTGGCTGCTCTGCAGCTGCCCTGTTATGCCCCAAAGGCTGCTTCTATTATGCAAGTGCATGCACACACACACACACACGTGTGTGTGTGTGTGTGTGTGTGAGAGAGAGAGAGAGAGAGAGAGAGAGACTTGTGCAAGCACACATGGTTGTGGAGCGGGGGGGGGGATGGTGCTGTGGGTGGAGAGAAGGAAGGGATAAATTCCATGATCAGTCAGGTGGATCTGGAAGTTTCTTTAACCATTGCTGGAAAGGGATGGACCGGTGGCTGGGGGAATCTTACATGAACAGGCATGAGAGATAAAAAGGAGGAAGCAGAGGCAGCTAGAATCAAGTTGGCAGGGCCTGTGGTCTTATCTGAGGCTAAAGATGCATGCTTCAGAAAGATTACATTTTAAAGGGACCCTGCTTTGGATGGAGAGGGGTAGAGCTGCCTGGGCTCCAGACCCCTCATGCAGGCTCTTGCTTGTTGCTCTCTGGGTTCAGTGTGGGTTGCATCAGTCTGGAGGGGGCAGCTGTCCAAGTCTTCTGCATCTTGGGAGGTTTGTCATGGGGGTGGGGAGGAGATCCCTTCTTGTTTGTGAGGGACAACCAGGTTGGGGAGCTGGTGCTTGGGGCATGACTCCCTGCTAGAGGAGATTATTTTGGACACATTTCTGGAGCAGGCCATTCTGTTCAGCTGATGTCTGGAGGGACACAAATTCGGACAATGTGGGAATCCTGCTGAATTGGATTTGGGTGAGGTGAGCTTGGCAGAGGAGAAGACCAGGGTTGCTTGTTTTGTACCAGTCTCTACCAAGCCAAAGTGAATTGCTAGAGTGGCCAGGTGGTCCAGTAGCCTCTGCTCATCCTCCTGCCATCAGAAACCAGAAGAATTCAGGGCTGCATACTGGCTTACCTATATCCCATGTGCATTAAAAAGGAAATATCCAGTAGGTGTTATGTCTCAGACATCAAATTTTAATATACTTGTTTGAGTTAATTTCTTTCATTGTTTCCTTGTGTTACTTCATATTTATAAGCTTTTGTTTTGTGTTGGTTGGTTGGACGACATAAACAAACCTAAATTTTTTATTTTGCTCTGAACTCCAGTTTCTGCTTTAGTAAATTTTGCCCATGGCAAGATTGGAGGATAAGGCTATCGATGGCTCCTAGACATGACACAGTCAGAGGCAGTAATGTTTCCGAATGCCAGTTGCTAGGAAGTCCAGAAGGGGAGAGGGCTCTTGCGCCCAGACCCTCCTTGAGGGTTTCCCCCAGGCATATTGGTGGGCCACTGTGAGAACAGGATAGACTAGATGGCCTGATCCAGAAGGCTGCCTCCCTCCCTCCCGGGTGCTGTTTGTTTTGGACTTTACATCCATTTGTGGAATCTGCTCTTGCTGCACTGTTTTCTCAGTGTGGAATTATTCTGTTTATGAATTGGTACGGAGCAAGGGAGGACAGAATGAAGCACAGCCCTGCAACCCATTGTGAAACAGTGAGTTGGTCAGACTGCTACTGCTGGGTAGTCTTTGTTGTAGGGCGCTGTAACAGTCAGTAACATGGCATTCCTGGGAGAGTTTCCTACCTTATTTTAAACTCATGGACAGCTAGCCTGAGAAAGAACCCAAACCATGTAAGTATTTCAGAGTCTGGGGGTAATTCCAGACTGTTGCTATTTTGGGGGTAGGAACTACCAATCCTGCAATTTTCTCTGGCAAAACCAGTCTGCTTTCTTCAGAATTAGAAATCATTCAATAAGGAAAGTAAGAGGAAAATGCACTGGAAAGTGTGGGGAAACTATTGCTTGATATACCATATTTTTTGCTCTATAAGACTCACTTTTTCCCTCCTAAAAAGTAAGGGGAAATGTGTGTGCGTCTTAAGGAGCGAATGCAGGCTGCGCAGCTATCCCAGAAGCCAGAACAGCAAGAGGGTTCGCTGCTTTCACGGCACAGCGATCCCCCTTGCTGTTCTGGTTTTTGAGATTCAGAATATTTTTTTTCTTGTTTTCCTCCTCCAAAAACTAGGTGCGTCTTGTGGTCTGGTGCGTCTTATAGGGCGAAAAATACGGTAATACCACATTTGCAAAGTTGTACCACCTCGTCCTAGACTGTGCAAACAAATCAAGATGAATGCTCAATAAACTTTTTCTCCGGTTCTGTTTTTTCTGTGTTCCTTTCTACAGGTCCCAGTTAATGGATTCTGACATGGATTATGAAAGGCCAAACGTAGAAACTATCAAGTGTGTTGTGGTTGGGGACAACGCAGTGGGCAAGACCAGGCTCATTTGTGCCCGTGCTTGTAATGCCACACTGACTCAGTACCAGCTTCTTGCTACCCATGTGCCCACAGTCTGGGCCATTGACCAGTATCGTGTTTGCCAGGAGGTGAGTGGTATCTTTGTCAATGGATAAATCACCTGGGAAATCTCACTGGTGGAAAATCAATACCTGGGCTTATAAGTGACACAAGCAACTGCTTTATACTGAGTCAGACCAACAATCCCTCTAGCCCAGTATTGTCTGCACTGACTGGCAGTGGCCCTCCAGGGTTTATCCTAACCCCCTAGAGATGCCAGGGATGGAACACTGAATTTTCTGCATGCAAAGCAGATGTTCTACCATTGAGCCACGACCCTTTCCCACCTCCTCACTTTAATCTGGTTAATCCTGGGTTTGAGGAGAATCAGATTCCCTCCAGTGATCAACAGTAATTCTGGGCAAAACATTTTTCCCTGCTCTGTTTTTCTGTGAGGAAGTTTCCATTTTGAAAATAATAATAATAATAATAATCATAAAATGAATTGGCTCAAGTAATTAATACAGTGCTGATCAAATTGGGCAGCTTCAAAGTTGAGCCCCCTTCCCCCAATTTCTGTCCATACAGAGCTTGTGTATATATATAATAAACAGAAATGGATATCTCATTTTTGACATGCCAAAATTAGTAAGCCTTCATTTTTTCCCATCTGAAATTTAAACAATGTAAGGGAAGGGCATGTGGTTGAATAGTTGTGTCCATACTGTGAGAGTGCAAGCCTACTTAGTCTCATTGCTTTTAGTAAGCTTACTCCCAGGTAAGTGAATGTAGTATTGCAGCCTAAATTAGGTATATTAAATTTATTTTGCCCTAATCAAATCTTCCATTCAGATATGTACTTCTGATGGGTGGAGTGGGGGAAGCTTTTGAGATTGTGCTCCCAATCAAATTAAATAATTGAAAAGATTTCTGGGGAGGGGGGTGAAATGTGGAGGAAAAAAAATATTCAGCCCTTTCCTGAAATCCTGCATCACTGATTATCAGACTAAAAAGCTACTGGGCATTGCAGTCCTCCTAGTCCTTTCTATTCATTTGAAGTATGTAATCTTTTTGCCTTCTCTCAGGTATTGGAGCGCTCTCGAGATGTGGTAGATGATGTTAGTGTGTCCTTGAGGCTTTGGGATACCTTTGGAGACCATCACAAGGACAGGCGCTTTGCTTATGGAAGGTCAATATTGATTATCTGGTGCAGTGCTAATGATGAACATGGAGCAGACGTTCAGTCTTGGCTTAGAAGCTCACTGGGTGGTCAAGTGCAAGCAAACATGTCTCAGTCTGGTCTACCTTGCAGGATGGTTGTGTCCTGCAAAGGAGCCAGTTTCGCCCCTCCTGGAGGGGTGTCCTTCATGGGACCCGCTATACCTTTTCCCATACGGTTGTCTGTCATTGCTGTGAGAAAAGCTTTGTGCTTCTTGTGGTGAGACAAAACCTGCTCCCACCCCTCACTTATGCTTTAAAGACCTGGCAATCACTGACAGAATCCTTCAGGGTGGAGACGGGGTATGTAATGTATAAGGGAAACAAAAGGGGAAGCCAGGCCTGATCTCTGACCTGATGGATATGTAAAGTGAGCAACAACATGCTTGAAATCCATTACACAAAATTAAAACAATAATCTAAACAAGTGAAACTCAAACCTAATCCATCAACAGGAACACCAATGCTAAGGAGTAGAGAGCTCAGCCAAGGTAATAGTCTCAACTCTACTTAGAGATAAAAAGAATTATAATCACACAAAGGCCTTCAGAGCAAATGTCAAGAGGCCTTTGCAAAGTGTTGCAAGTTGGAAATGACAGAGGAGACTGAACCTCCCTAGGAAAAGAGTTCCCATGGATTTGGTGCAAATTTTAAAAAGGCCCTGTCTCAAGAAACCACACCCTGGATTCCAGGCAGTTAGGGGACCTGGAACAGGGTGTTGGAGGAAGATCTTAATATGAGGCTAGATTGATATAGCAGGTGATTTCATATTATACTCCACTGGTGGGGAGTGGAATGTCCTAGCAATATACCAGCCCTTCCTCAAAATACACACTATGTGTTGATATGTAGTAGCAGGCATCTCAGATGGAACAAGTGGAAGATGGGTGGTTACCGAGCCTAAAATATACATAAAAGCCCACTCTTAGGGTTTTGCTATCATGGAGCACTTAACCAAGAAATGAAACCTAAGTGGACATATGCAGATGAAGGGGTGAGGGCTATGCAAATAGGACCAGGCACATTTTTCAGTGACTCCAACCAAGTTATCTGGGACAGAGTAAATGCTCTTTTATCTGAGACAACCCCTTGCCATAAACACGGGGGGCTGTTGGGACAGGAAGCAGCTTTAGCCTTTTCCCCAATGTTGTCCCCAGGTTCCTCCCTTAATTTGCTGATACTTAAATTAATGCTTGCCACACACTCCTATGAGAGCAAATAGAATTCTCCATGGGGGGGCAATGTACCACTATGGTGGTAGTGGTAACAATGAGCACAGGGTACACATAGACCCATTCCAAACACACACACACAATACACACACACACACACACACAGACAAACACTTGCAAAGACAGCACTGGATTTGCACCAAAACCTTGGGGAAAGTTGGGGTGTGCATTGCACCTGGAGAGACTGGGTGTCATCCTGCAGGGTGCATGCTTGCACCAAGAGGTGCTGACTAATGTAAAGAGAGGGCTTGCAGAGACCAAAGTGATAACTAACTCTTGCCTCCTCTCTGTCCACAGATCTGACGTTGTAGTATTATGCTTCTCCATTGCTAATCCCAACTCCTTACACCATGTGAAGACCATGTGGTACCCAGAGATCAAGCACTTCTGCCCCCGAGCTCCTGTCATCCTTGTAGGCTGCCAGCTTGACCTTCGCTATGCTGACCTAGAAGCAGTAAATCGAGCTAGGCGACCTTTAGCCAGGTAGGATGGCTTTGGTGGGCTGGGGAAGCTAAACTGTGGTTGGGCATCACAGGTGCCACGTTTCATAGACGACAGGACAGGGAGTTTGTGGCATTCCCGGGCTAGAGCACGAAGACTCATGCACTTGCCTATGGCACAATGTCAGGTCTGTCCTCCAGTGCTACACTGTTACCTGCTCCCTGGCTCGGCAACACGGAAGACAAAGGTGGGGATGCTAGATTTAGATTTGACTTGTGGCATCATTGTCAGAAAGGTTAGCCATCGCTAGTTAGGCCATGGAAGCTGGTCCTTTAGGGCAGGCTTCCTCAACCTTGGCCCTCCAGATGTTTTGAGACTACAGTTCCCATAATCCCTGACCACTGGTCCTGCTAGCTAGGGATCATGGGAGTTGTAGGCCAAAAACATCTGGAGGACCAAGGTTGAGGAAGCCTGCTTTAGGGCAAATGGGATCCTGTCCCACCAACCTCCGCCAGCCAGGCTGCCTTCTTACTTAGTCTAGGGGGTGACGCTGCTTGTCAGTTCCTCCTCCTCAGTCTTCTTGTTGCACTTGTAGAGCACAGCAGGGAAGAGGGTGGGCACAAAACTAGAATTGGTTCCATCTGTCATTGGCCTCCCTGTATTCTGCCCTAACAGTCCCAATGGACACCAGTGACCACTGTAGTTAAGCAGAACAAGCAAATTGAATAATAGTCCTTGGTTGAAGGAGAAAGGCAGTATGTGCAGGGATTTAGTGTGTATCGAACCTTCTAGTGTACAAGTCTTCAGCTTCTGCAGGTTCCTGCTCCATCTACATTGTGGGCAGGGACAATTGGGCAACTAGTGCAGACTGTTCCCTGGATGGCCCCACACCTGGGTTGTTGTTTTTTAATAAAACTTCTCATGCTTCCAATTTAGCTCTGGTACCAGGCAGAAAGCTCTCTTGGCTAGGGCCATGGGACACATTCTGAGAGTATGGAGAGTAGAAAACAAACTGCAAAAATAAGAGAGGAAAGGCAGTAGGGGCAAAGGCAGGTACAGCCAGATAATGAGGATCCACACCTGATAGTTTTCGCCTTGTGAATTGCCACTTTTCTACCTTAGGCTGACTTACCTCTGTCATTTGCCTTGGATTGCTGAGCAGATGTAAAACTAGTTTTCCCCTTCCTGGTTTTTTCCTCTCTCTCTCCAGACCGATCAAACCAAATGAAATTCTCCCCCCAGAGAAGGGGCGAGAGGTGGCCAAAGAGCTGGGGATCCCTTATTATGAGACCAGCGTAGTAGCCCAATTTGGCATTAAGGATGTCTTCGACAATGCCATTCGAGCTGCCCTCATCTCCCGCCGGCATCTCCAGTTCTGGAAGTCTCACCTGCGTAATGTCCAGAGGCCGTTGCTCCAGGCCCCTTTCTTGCCCCCCAAGCCACCCCCACCCATCATCATTGTTCCTGACCCTCCTTCCAACAATGAGGAGCGTCCAGCCAACCTGCTGGAGGACCCCTTGTGTGCGGATGTCATCCTGGTGTTGCAAGAGAGAATCAAAATCTACGCGCATAAGATCTACCTCTCCACCTCCTCCTCTAAGTTCTACGACTTGTTCTTGATGGACCTGAGTGAGGAGAGCCAGCAGGGGATGACAGGAAGCGGCACCGGGGCTGGTGTTGCTGAGCGGACCCTCCATCAGGAGGAGAGGCATCACCACGGCCGGGAATTCCTCCTGAGAGCTGCTAGTTTTGATATCTGTGAGAGTGCTGAGGAAGCTGGCTCTGGCCAGCAAAAACCGTGCCTTAGAGCCTCCACCAGCGATGGGATATTGCGGGGCAAGAACTATGGGGAGCGAGGGCTAAAACGGGGGCGGATCCTCTCCTCTTGGAGCCGTGCCTTTGTCAGCATCCAGGAGGAGATGGCAGATGACCCCATGACATACAAGCCCCGACTTATGGTGGTGGTGAAGATGGACCCTTCTATCCAACTGGGGCCCTTCAGGGCTGTGCTCAAATATCTGTACACAGGGGAGCTGGATGAGAACGAGAGGGACCTGATGCATATTGCCCACATTGCTGAGCTGCTAGAAGTCTTTGACCTCAGGATGATGGTGGCCAACATCCTGAACAATGAGGCATTCATGAACCAGGAGATCACCAAAGCCTTCCACGTCAGGAGAACCAACCGGGTTAAGGAGTGTCTGGCCAAGGGGACTTTTTCTGGTACGCTCTAGAGCACTGGGTAGCCTTGTGGGGCATGGCTATTGGGACCAATGTCGTTTGATTTCCAGGATGCGGGGGACTCAGATGAATTTGGGTAATGAGCTAAAGTAACAGGGTGGGACAAGACATTGTTCTCACCCTGGCTTAAGTGTTGCTTTGGAAGCCCTTTAGGAGCCACCTTCGTTAGGAAGAATGAATTAGTAGAATTTTTGATTGCACTACTTCAAATGTTTCTGGATGTCCAAGTTGGGTTGTTTTTTTTTTAGTGTTCTGCCATGTAATCAAACTCCTTGCATGTGGTAAATACTATGTCAGAAAGAAGATGGTTCGTTTTTTGAATAGCATTAGCTTTTTCTAAGCTCACCCATCTAAATGAATCCTACTTAATAGAAAAAAACATAGGGAAAATGACTAGGGGAAACCCAATATAAATAATAAAATTATTATTAGTATTATTTAAATTATTATTAAATTATTCTTAGGTCTTTCTTCTCTGTTTTGAATAAACACGAGCTCTTTTTTATTTTTAGACTGGAGAGCAGATACACACACACTTTAAAGTGGTAATGTCTAAACAAGCTTTGGCCCTTGGTTCTGCTGAATATAGGAGCTGGCCCTCATATAGCTCTTCTGAATAAATACGAAGGCTGCTTTCACCACCAGATGGTTGTCTGTTCCATTACTCAGGGCTCCTTGCTGTTTCCTGTGCAGGAGCCAATTTAATTGTATTTTTGCTTGCCAGTCATAGTGCAGAAAATTCTGTTGCATTGTCCAGTTTCCTGCTCTTCCTGTCATCCATATAGTTATGTTGCTATGAAGGCCTGGTGATTGTTACGGGTGCTATTATTTGGGCTACAATCACTAACATTCAATGAAATTTCCCTTCTGATTAATCCTGTAGATCAGGGGTGGGGGACCTATAGTCCTCCAGATGTTGTTGAGCTCCAACTCTCACCAGCATGACCAGTAATAAGGGATTATGGGAGCTGTAGTTCATCAACATCTGGAGGGCCACAGGTTCCTCACCTCTGCTGTAGAATAAACACAAAGGCCAGGAAGATTCATTCCCTCCTGTCCTGGCCATTTCTGGGTTATGTGAAATATCATCATTATCCTACGCCTCACCCAGTTCCTGTTTGTGGGATGTCTGAATTGCCTTTTTAAGCCTTAGAAGCCTTTGCATCATATTTACAGAGCAATTCTCAACATGTTTACTCAAATATCTCATTATTGTTTCATGTGATAACTTCCTAGTAAATGTGTTTAGGATTGTGCTGTTGGTTTTGGCTAGCTTTGGCACAACTTGCTAGCCATTGAGGTTGTAGATGAGCTTTGCTGCATAGCTAAATTAGGGCATGATATGGAAATTTCATTGAATGTTAATGATTGTAGCCCCAAATAATAGCTCCCAGAAAAAGATCAAATAGATATAGAAACCCAAAACTCACAGCTCAAAGCTAATCTGCACAATTACTTTGTAGATGGGGGAAATTGCTGTAGGTGACTTTATTCCTTCAGTATTTTTTTTTTTTTGGGGGGGGGGGATATGTTCTTGTGGAAGTGCCATCTTCTAGCCTGTAGTATCTCATTAGTTTTCTCTGAGTTGTATACGGTGCTAGTCCTATTCGGAGTAGAGCCATTGAAGTTAATGGCCATGACTAGCTTAGGTTGGGCCTACTCTGAGTAGAACTCAAGTTGGCTACAACTCCCTGTTACTATGTGATGGTAAAGCACAGTCCACAAACATAAAAACATTTGCTTATGTTTCTTTCCTTGTTTGCAGATGTCACCTTTATGCTGGATGATGGTGCTATCAGTGCCCACAAGCCCTTGCTAATCTCCAGTTGTGACTGGATGGCTGCTATGTTTGGGGGTCCGTTTGTGGAGAGCTCAACCCAAGAGGTGAGGCCACCATGAGCATGAAAAGCTCCAGACTGAATTATCATCTCTCTAGTTTTTCAACTTAGACATAGCTCCAACTAATACTTGGACCCCATTTCATACTGTGTGCAACTTCAATTTTTTTGTCCACACTACACCTGAGCAGATCTTTTGATGAGCAAATGTTTTCATTTCTTTCAGCTGCTGAGCTAAGATCCCTGGGGTTCGGGAGGGAGTAGAGCCTGCGTTTTGCTTTTTACACAGTACTCTCAGCATCCAGGCGAAAGGGAAGAAAAGGGGAGATGGTAGGGAAGGGTTTTAGGGCAAGTCCCATTATGTGGGGCTTGGAGGGGAAGATGCTATATGTTTTATACAGTAATAAGGGATGGACTGGGGGCAGTGCTCAGATTACAGGGTATCCAGCTCCCTGACCTTTTGTGGTTTTTAGAAGGCTTTGGGGACACAGTTTGGCTAAAAGGAGTCAAGACTTATAGTTTTTACTGAGGACCTTCTACCTTTTCTCCCACAATTTGAGCACGCTTCAAGCAGGGGGGCATTGTATTGAAAGCCAACCCTATGATGAGGTGGCCATTTCAAGCAATAGATTTTAGGTGCCAGTAAAGGTGGCAGAGTGGGAAACAGCCAGGACCCACCAAGAAGTCCTTTTATACAAGCTCCATGAAAATAAATGGAAGCTATGCAGATTATGTCCCATTTTAATGAGCGAGGAGGAGAAATACTGCTTGAATTTTCCAACTTCAGAAAGAAACTGTCCTTGGCCAGCAGTGTGGTCAGCACTTTGGAAAGGTCCTTTCCCTTCTGAAACCGTTGCAAACGGCAGACAATCTGTGCAAGACTACCTATGTTATGTCAACCTTGAAACAACATACAAAGGGACTTTTAGGACCCTGATTTGCCTATTGCATTTTCATATGGCAAATTCACACCCATTTGCAAAAATACATAAATTTGGTAACCTGGGAATGGTGGTGCCCATGTATCTTTTTCACCAGGATGTAAACATTGTAAACCAGATGCAGAGAAGGAGCTGGTACCTTACTAGGTATGCTGATGTGTGTGAAAAATATGCAACTTCCTGATGCCCTGCTGTATATTATTGAGGAAATAAAATGATCACAAACTCTGCAGTTTCAATGTCTTGTCCCTCTTGGGGCTCAACCAAAAGATATGGTAGGAACTGACTGTGGCTGCTTTCAGAGTGGTGTGAGTGTCTTCTGGACAGGCTCCATTCTGACCTAAAAGTATAAGAAGATCCTGCAGAGAAGAGATGAGGAGTCTGTAGCCCTCTAGATGTTGTTGGACTCAAAATTCTATCAGCTGCAATCAGCATTGCCAGTGGGCTAGTATGATGGGAGTTGTAGTCCAGGGGCACCTGGAAAGCTGCAGGTTCCCTATCTCTATTGTGAAAGCAACAACAATCCATCCCAGTGAGTAGGGGGGAAACCCAGTAGCCTATTCTCAGGGCAAGCTTTTATAGGGCTCAAGCAATATCACATGATCCACTCTAGTCTATTAAGTGCTAGGCTGCCTGAACACTCTATAATTCCCCTCATTAGCCAGAGCAAATGAGGTGGTACACAGGCTGGACTCCCTGCCCTCAACCATTGGGTTGAATAAAAGGGCAAATAGAAGTGAAGAGTTGTTGTATGCAGTTTTTCTGTATCTCAGTATGTTGTGAAATTAACCCCTCTTGTGTGCATGTCCTTGCTCTTACAGGTGGTTTTACCTTACACCAGCAAGAGTTGCATGAGGGCAGTGCTGGAGTACCTGTACACGGGGCAGTTTTGTTCCACATCAGACCTTGATTACATGAAGCTTATCATTCTTGCCAACCGCCTGTGTCTGCCACACCTAGTTGCACTGACAGGTAATACTGGGGAGCTGCAGGCACAGTTCTGACTTCATAGCTGTGATCAGGCATAATATGGGGCAATGAAGGAGCTTATGCCTTCTGCTTAACAGCGTGAAAGTACTGTGCTTTGATCCTTCTCCTCACCTTTTGGAGTGGCATTAGCTTAGGAAGCGGTGATGTCGTTAGGTGTCATTGTATGATATGGAGAACCTTCCCTGAAGGCACTGATGGGATGATAGGGTTTGAGGCAAGCCATGATAGGGTTTGAGGCAGTGTTCAAAGTAGGCTTACATGGAGATAGACAACAAGGGTGTGACTTTCTGGCTGACCCACTGCTTGTCTTGGTCTGGCCGGCAGGTGGCGCACTGTGCCCCTCTTCTGCCCTCTCTCAGGCCCCAGAATGAGGAGAGGCTGAGCTGGGAGAATGAACTGTTCTGCTTAAGAGAGGAGTGGAGTATCACATTTGTGAATGCTCCACAGTTTAAAAAGTTTCCTTTTTAAACAAAAGTAGAGTGGGCTGACCTAGAACCTCTCCCCTTGATTGAGAAGCTCGATGTTTACTTGCAAGGTTTAAAACAAAAACAAAAACATTTTTAAAAAATGGCAGGCCCTACCTGACCCTGAAGGGGTCTGTGTCTTATTCAGTGGAGTGGTGGGCTGCAGATGCTGAGCTCTGATGATGTTGTTGTGGAGCACATCAAGGGTGAGTCCAAACCCACTTAGCATTTATTGACATACTGTGGCACCAAATACATAAGCAATTCACTACTGTCCACAGGATTGCTTTCCTCTGGAGTTGCCTATTTTATTTTATGTAGAAAAAAAAATTCATGTAGAAAAGCAGGCCCATGTGCTTGTTAGAACAGGATTCAGTTTTGTCTCAACAAATACAAAGTGAATATGGATTTCTTCTCAAACTGGGTAATTTAAAAACAAACAAACGAACTCCACAGCAATAACCCCACAGCTGTGTTAGAAAACTTAGAATCCAGTTTCTTCCTTGCTTAAAAACTGAAAGAAAAAGATTGGTCTTTACCTATTCTGCCCTATTAGTCAGGAGGTCACACTGATGCACTCTGACCTTATTGTATGTGTGTGTTTTTACAGAACAGTTCACGGTGTCTGGTCTGATGGAAGCAACTCAGATGTTAGTGGATATTGATGGTGACGTCCTTGTGTTCCTGGAGCTGGCTCAGGTATAATAAACGGCTTGGTCATAGTGAATCCGTAGTGATCCCTTGAGATCAGTCACATTGAACTCTGAGACTTGCTTCCCAGTCATCTTGTACAGCAGTTGGCTCAAGGGGCCAAATCTGGCAGATTGCCACCAGGGACTCACCTGTCAGTTACACGTCACATGACTGACAGGTGGGCAGGGTCCACCCCCACCCCCCTGCTTCAAAGAGCATTTGCTCTTTGAAGCAGCTCAGCTTTTCCTTTAAGCAAGAGGGTAGGAGTAGCAGTGGCAGTGGGGTCCCCCCACGCACGCACCTCCCACTAAGGAAAGAAGTGAGATCAACTGATGAATAGGGATTAAATTCCACTGCCTTGGCTGTGTGATCCTGTTCCCTGTTGGGAACAGGGCACACAGCCAGTGCAAGATTAAATCCTGCCCTTCTGCCCATCAGCGGACGTTACCAGTGGTAGGTGTGTTTTGGGGGAAATGTTCTTGTGGGTCAAGCTGGACCCTCTGGTGGGCCAAGATTGGCCCATATGCTGAAGGTTCCCTACCCATTCTGTACAGGATTGCACTGTTGGTAGCCCCAGTCATTTCCTTAGCAGTACTGGCTAAATTACCCTGTGGTGTTGTGCTGTGACTCATGTCAATATCTTATTTCCCCCCTCCCACAGTTCCATGGTGCCTACCAGCTAGCCGACTGGTGCCTCCATCATATCTGCACCAACTACAACAACATCTGCCGCAAATTTCCTCGAGAGATGAAAGCAATGTCAGCAGGTCAGCATGGAAGAATTATGAGTTGTGCATTGCCTTGGGTGTCCATGAAGAAAAGCAACAAATAAGATTTTTATAGCCGTTTCTTAAACATGCACAAGAGTATCAGTTTCAGCTTAGAGCCAATTTGTAACCCTTGTAATCTCAGAAAAACCCTTAAAAATGGTTTAGAACACATGAGGCCTGTTCCCATCCCATTCCTTCTAGTAGGATTCCTCACTGCAGTTGCTGATCCTCAGGGTTGGCTCCTGTCTGCGCCTCTCTTCCACTGAAAGCTGTTCTAACCCTTTCAGGTCAATGGCTGATGCCATCTAGTTTTGCTTCAAATAAATTGCACATTGACAGTTCAGAGCTTTGCAAACCATCCACGTCTCCCCAGATTGCTTTTCCCACAAACTTCAGCTGCATGTTTGCAATTCTGACTTTACTTTTTTAACTGTACTAGCAGGCTTTTAAAGTTCCTTCCTTCCTCCCATTGCAGAGAACCAGGACTATTTTGAGAAGCATCGGTGGCCCCCAGTTTGGTACCTGAAGGAGGAGGACCACTATCAGAGGGCCAGGAAGGAGCGTGAGAAGGAAGACTACCTCCATCAGAAACGGCAGCCTAAGAGGAGGTGGCTCTTCTGGAATGCCTCCTCCCCTGCCCAGTCACCTTCCTCATCAGCAGCCACAGCTTCATCTTCATCTTCCTCCTCCTCCTCTGCTGTGGTCTGAGAGATGCACTGCCCCTACACACACACACTCCTCTGTCTCTCTTGAGAGAAGGGAGCCTGCCACCCTGACCAACATCTGGCTTGACAGGCTTAGAGAGGACACCACCAGCTAAAACCCTCAGTGGAGAAAACAAGCATGAATGTCCCTGGGAGGTTAGCAAGAACCTGTGCAGGTGGAGCTCAGGGTCTGGAGCATCCTACATCTTCACCCAGAGCTCTCTCCATAGGGTCCCAGTCCTTGCTCAGCCAGTGTTGGCGCACAGCCGTTGGAGGTTGCCTGGGTGGAATGGCAGGCGAGCCAGTTTTCTTTAGAAGGGGGCTCACTCATCTAACAGGACACACCTCATGTTTACAGGAATGCAAGAGGTTTACTTTGAAAATCTGCTACAAGGAAAATGCAGTAGTTCTTCATTGATTTAATGAGAGTTCCCGCACCTTTGCAAAAAAGAAATTATGGGGTGCCTCACACTGTCCGCCCCTCTGCACCATGTCATTTCAAGCTGCTGAAGACAGGCGCTGTGCCCCAGAATTTTTTTTCTGGGCTTCTTTTCATGACAAGGTGATCATTTTTCTGTTGCACGTCCACCCCTGGGGCCTAGCTCTAGGATGTTTGCTAGCAGCAAGGCACAGATCCTGGGAGCATCAAACAGCTGTGGACCCTCCTCATGAGAGGCAGGCCCTGCTAGAGGAGGCATAGGCCAACAGATGCTTCAGCTCTGCACTGAGACTGAATTGCAACAGGAAAAAAGTCCTAGAACACAGAACATGCCTGCTGTGGCTGGAAAGATGCTGTTTTCTTTCTTTCTCTCATTGCTTGCACACTACAAGTTACCAGGTTGGCTAGCCCAATGAGACCAAGTTAAGAAAGTTGGCGAGGGAGTCTCTTCCATCCTGGCCTGTGCTGGCCACGATGTTTGGGAATGTGCCGCTTCTGAAAGAATTGGAAACTCCAGCAGTTGACACCGTTTTTAATGAAGCAAACCAATACACCAACTTGGATTTTAGTGTGCAAGGTTGTGTTGTAATAAATGGTATTTTGAAAAGATGCTTGTGGCCTCCGTCTCTGATTTGGAGTGGAGGATCTCCTTTCTGGGAAACCTCTGGTGCTGTGAAAGTGGGTGGAGTGATTATGTAAATTCTATCATTGTACAGTAGCCTGGTCCTCCGTCCAGGCAGGGAAGAGGCATACTTTCGAGGAGGGTGTGTGTCTGGGGGCAGACCCAAGGGACAGTTGGAAAGGTTGGAAAGCCACACTTGGCCCCGAGGTCCCGTCCCACCCCCAAAAGTAGACAGAGACCTAGCTGAATAGTATGGGCTCTGATTCATGACCAAAACTGTTACAAACTCCTGACAGTTGACAAGCTTTATTTAAATTGTAAAAGGAAGTTTGAAAATATTTCATATCACTGATCCACCATATCCTGGAGAATCCTGCTTTTCTCCCAAGCAGTCTCCCACCTAGGTCTGGCTCAGCCCCACTGACCCTGGTTGCTGCCTTCAAAGTGTCACCTGAGACCCAAGCCTAGGCGTACATGAAATCTACCTTGAGAATATGTGTACAGACTGCAAGACAATGTATACCATTTTTAAAAATCGTTTAATTGCTTTGTACAGCTCCAGTTCGGACACTTTACATAGCTTCATAAACAAGGTAAAAAGCTTCTGCCTTCAAATAAGTTGTTTTTGACTTCCAACAGTAAGAAATGGCAAGGGCAAAGCACTAAGTTATTTTATATATTCGCATATCAAACTTGGCTTTTTCAATCTGTAGTATCAAAAGAATGAAATCACTAAAAACAGAACACCTGAATATAAAGACATTAATATACCATATCTAGAAATAAATACAAACTTCAAGTAATTTTTGCCAAACAGGCTACATAATTTATCAAGCATATTCTGCTTGTTCCATTAACCCATAGGTAAGTATGGCATAGCGTTGCATTTGGAACAGCTAAACCCAGGTCAAAGGACTCACCTGTTCACTAAAGCTTAACCAGTCTCTGTCTCTCTGCCTTACCCAAGTTGGGTGGATAAGATGGGTCACCTACTTGCGCATGCTTGAACTGCTGGAAGCATGCCAGTTTCCAGTCTGTGCATGCTTAAGCCACACTCAGCAAAGTAGCTATATACCAAACACTTTCAAATGCTTCTGCAATGATGTCCCTTCTTCCCCATAATACATGTTTCTCCAAAACAGTGCTATGTGCAAAAGAACCATAGCACACTTCTACATAGACGCTTTCTGCATATTTGCCACAATTCACTCCTTCCCATCAGCTTCTGCGGTCAGGTAGTTCAAACAGGCCAAGGGACTATGCCCACTTACCTAAGAACAGGTGGCATTAAATGCAGTAGGATCTACAGTACTTAAAGAGTATTTTTCCTTAGCCATTCGTCCAAAAATATGGAGGCACTGCACACAGAAATCTCAGCAGCAAGAGAGCATTCAACAAGATAAGCTACCTTCCTCCATGAATTTGTCCAATCTCACTGTAAAGCCCGAGGGCAAGGATAGCCTTGTCGTTAAGTGTCTGTACAGCACTTGGAAAAAGCATTAAACAATACTCAAAGCCAGCAGCATGTCCTTGTGCAAGCAAATTCCATCAGCGTGATGTACAAAGGTATTTTTGCTTGATGGTCAAAGTTCTACTATACAGGAGTGGGGAGGGAAGAATCTCATTCCACTTTTTGCACATCATCTATTTTGTTTTTCACAAAATTTATATACCGCCTGCTTGTAATAAAACCTCAAAGTAGTTTACAAAATAGATAGGGACAATCTTTAATCATGTGCCTCTTTTGTCATCTGGCCCGAAATTAAAAAGCAGCTGACATTTCAGTCTTTTGTTGTAGGGAAGTTTCTCAGATTCTATCATTTCTGTTCTTCCTTTTTCCTGTACCCCAACCATTCCAGTCTGTGACACCCTCTTTGAGACTTGGAAACCTGGAACAATATACTGCTGAAGAGATCTAGCACCTAGAGTACTGTAACAATCAATCCCTCTTCCCTGGAAACTGAGAATTGCAGCTCTAACAACTCTCAGCACCCTTATAGTTTCCAGGATTCTTTTGGGGAAGCTATGACGTTTAAAGTGTATAATACTGTAGAAGGAGCCAGTCACAATACCTTCATAGCAACTGGCACAGATCATTACTGGGCCATTTTGGACCAATTGAGTTAATGCATAACTAGTTCCTTACTTCCTTCCAGGAGCAAGTTCATTTTGCACACACACCTCAAAACAATAACCTGCAAAAAGCAGGTTAGGCAGAGGTTACAACACTAGTACATCACACTGGCTCTCCAGTGTGTCAAGATAGCAAGGCAAAGTGAGAGAACAGAAAACTAAAAAATGAGGTATCATAGTGTTCAACCTACTATAAAAAACAGTCATCGACTTACAGCTACTCAATATCTAGTTTTACTTCATGGTAACACATACAGGGTTCTGCCTTATTCATAACTTTCTACAGCTGGAAGCAGGTGGGGATGAGAAAGCAGATGGGCAGAGGCCCCAGGAACAGAATCAACATCATGGTCTGGGGAGAACCTGTTGCTTTCCAGGTGTGGTTGGTGGACTCCAGCTGCCATCAGCCCCAGCCAGCATGGTCAATGATCAGGGATTCTGGGAATTATAGTCCAACACCATCTGGAGGTCAAAGGTGTCCCACCCCTTTTCTAAATAGTTGTTCACATGTGAGTGGACCAATTATGGCATGTTGACTCATGAAGTATAATACATTTTATTAGTTAATAGCCACAGGCCTTGGCAAACCTCACATCCATTCATGCCACAAATCAATAATTTACAAAAGAAAACTCTGTGGCAGCATTCACAAATAAAAACCACAGTCATTGTATTTACTGCACACATAACTTGTTCAAAATCGTTAACAAAACACGTGCCTGATTTTCCCAGCAGCTGTGACCAATAATGCCACATCAATAATGCAGCACTTGATTATCTCATTATCGCTGTTAATAGATAGCCAGTTTTGTGGTGTGCAAATCTGGATAAAGTTTAATAGCTTCCCCCCACCCACCCGCAAGGGAAGTTGTGGGGCCCACCCAATAGAAGTGAGCACTGGGAGATTGAGAATAATAGAAACCCTGTGTTTTTTGCATGGCTGGAATGTCTCCTTTTATAGATGTGTCCACTTTTTCTCTTGGGCCCTGCCCATCACTAGAAAGTGACTCCAGGTTAGCCATGAGGGCATGCAGCCCATGGACTGAAAAAGGCTCCCTGCACGATTCCAGCTGAACAATGAGCTGCAAAGGTGCAGCACCCAGTGCAGGTGACTGCAAGAATGACCACAGGAGGAACTTCAGGTACAGGAAAGCAACCTGTCCTCATAATGTAAAAAAAAAACAAAAACAAAAACAACCCACACAAATGTTTGACACACAACATACATTTAAAAAGTATAAATACATTAACAACTTACCTAAAAATGCTTCACACCTTGTACAGGGACTGTGTCTGCACAAAGGCACTATTTAACACAAACCATTGTTACATTGTAAACTGGAGGCAGAAAAATCATTTGATACCAAACAAAAGAGGTTCCTGGATACCTCCAAAGTGTATAAAAAACAATGGCTTCTAAAAAGACTAGCTGAGTGCAGGTTGTGATTCCTATGGACTTCCAGTAAAGTCTTGAACTAAAGTACTGGTTACAGAATCAAATTTCCTGAGGCTTTCAAGAACGTTTCTTGTTCTTGCAGTTGGGACGAGCAATGGATATCACCCATAGATTATTGTCCTCTCCCATGAGTAGCAAAACCAACTTTCTGGGGGGAAGCAGAATAATTCTGCATAAGCTTCAGTGTACTGCAGCCCACTTCATCAGATGAACCATGAATTATAGTCCACAGAGCCGTAAGCTATAACATTTGTTAGCTTTTAATGCACCACAAGACATATTTTTGCTGCAACAGCTACCCCTTTGAAAAATGTTTGTGGAAGTACTCAATCTGCATAACAGGAATGAGAATTCTGTGCCCAGAAAAGCTGGATTCTGCAATTTGCTAAATGTTTATACCGGGGCTGGCATTGTTTCAAGATGGAGAATTGTTCATATTCTTGGGGGGAAAGTCTTTCAGACATGTAGCAATGAGATTTGATGGCAAACAACATTTTACATCCACACCTCCTGAAGACATTGGTCAAAGTAGACTTTAGCAGCACCAGAAACCATTCACAGCAAATACAAAAGGCATACTGGGTACCCATTTTATAATAAAAAGAAATGGGAGCCACAATGTTCATTGAAAAGACTCAGTTTGGCAGGATGTTTTAAACTGCAGCCTGCGCACCAAGTGAGATAACAATGTAGTTTGGTGGCAAGCACCTGGATCCATGAGCTTGTCAACATCCATGATCAACAAGAGAAATTCATCCCTTGTCCCTCTCTAAAAACACACACAGACTTTCCCCTCAGGTGGAAACACTGCATGGCTGACGAAGTAGGGGAGCAGCAAAGGCAGCCTCATGCTGGTCTTCAGACTTCTACCTAGGCAGTTCTTTCCACAAGGGCCAACATTGATGCCGAAATCCGGCATTGCCTGAGCTCTGCGAGTGCGGCTTTCTCCCAACTGAAGGGCTGAGTGTTTGAGGACCGGGACATTCGCAGGAAAACCAAAATGCTTGTTTACAAAGCTACTGTACTTCCAACTTTACTGTATGCTTCTGAAACATGGACCACTTATAAACGCCATCTCCGACTCCTCAAAAGGTTCCATCGACGGTGTCTCCAAAAATTTTTACACATCACTTGGGAAGACAGGTGAACCAATATCAGTGTACTGGAAGAAACAAAGATCATGAGTATCAAAGCGATGATTCTTCAACATCAGCTTTGTTGGACTGGTCATGTTGTGCGGATGCCTGATCGTCTTCCAAAGCAACTACTCTATTCCGAACTTAAAAATGGAGGTTTAAAGACTGTCTCAAGGCAAATCTAAAAAATGTAGTATAAACACTGACAACTGGGAAACACTGGTCTGCGAGTGCTCCAGTTGGAGAACAGCCTTTACCAAATGTCATACCATGGGCTTTGAAGACACTTGAACTCAGGACACAAGGGAGAAACGTGCTAAGAGGAAGGTACGCTTGGCAAATCCACACCATGATCAACTCCCACCCAGAGTCTTTTCACAAGTAAACTGTATATAGCTTTAAAGAAGAATAACACTCTCCTCCAGGCTGAAAACCCTAAGCCAACTGTTTTTAGAGAGGCTTCACAAGAACAGCTTGCAAGGAGGAAGCTTCGCATGACTATCGAAGTCACTCTTCAAGGACATACAGGCCCTGGGTAATCAGGGCAGCTCTTATTTTATCCTCAATGCCTTTGAGGTCCATGTTACAGAGCGCCTCCAGCAAAGAGTCCAAAGACGCCCCCTTCCCATTCATGTCGTGCCAGGTCCGTAGCATCTGGAAGTGCTGCTCTTTCATATCTCCGACATGCATCAAAGCAATAGCATCTATATCGTTATCCAGCAACCCGAGGGCCCTCATGAATCTCTTCCAGTCCTTCAAGGGAACCTCTTTAATAAAGATGTCGAAAGACAGGCGCAAAGCTGGAAGGAAAGGAAAAAAATCAGGAGCTTTGTGTCTACAGGAGTTTGACAAAAGACAGAATGCTATGGCACCAAGCTCAAAGTTTAGTTTCCCTGTGGGCTTCTCCTTTAAGGTAACAATGAACTAAAAACACAAGTTGCTTAACCCTTATTAGTTCTGGGAAGGTAAATTGGAAATGTGCATGTAATGACTTGTGAATTTCAGAAGATGAACTGGAATCTAGCATCATCACCATCACTTATTAGTCAAAAGCGGCTCAATGCACCTTATTGGGGGGGGGAACATTAGAATCAATGATAAAAGGAGTAAACTACAAACAACTTTACTGTGTGTGCACGCACACATGCACACACAGATCCAACTGAACCCACATGATGATCAGAAGAGAAGGCCACATACACACTTAAATACCCTCCAAATTAAGGTCCAAAAGATTGGTTGCAAAAGAAAATTCACTGCATACAATGTCCTGCACACTTTTCGTGCCCCAGTATAGTGGCACCACTAGCCTGGAACAATGTTCCCAATAAAATCATGTAATCGGCCAAAGTCCTGATATCTTGCCACCTGCTGAAAATGTTAGTTCTGCCAAGCATTTATGGTGTTCTAGTGATTCTGCTGTATACCAACACACGTAAATGTGTATGTGTTTTGGGGGTACAAACTTGTAACCCAATCCCCAATCCCTTGTCTTATTTTCAAAAATTGGGGAACTGTTTGGTCTCATTCAGCTACTTTAGGTCTTTGTGTAAACTCCTAACATTCCTGGATGCTTAATTTCTATTTATAGTCTGACAGGGCAGAATCAATTCTATGCCAAACTGACAAAGAACCATTTAGATGTTGTCCTCTGTCCCTGGGATCTTGTGCCAGTTATTCTCTGTCTATGGAAAGGGCTGCAGCTGCCTGGTGAAGCATGTTTTGCATGCAGATATTCCCAGGTTTAGTCCCTGGCATCCTCAGGTAGGGCTGGGATGGAAGTGCCTGGATCTCTGGAGAGATGCTGCTGGCTGCTGTAGTTCAGGGGTTGCCAACATGGTGCCCTCTAGATGTTGTTGAACTCCAATTCTCATCAGTCCCAGCTAGTATTGCCAATGGGCAGAGATGAAGGGAGTTGTAGTCCACCGACATGTGGAACATACCATGCAGGCTGTTACTGTTAGACAGATCAATGGTTTGAGACAGCTGTTGTTGGCATCCATCTACCTTGAGAGACAATGGACTGCACCTCCAGGGGTGAAGTCAAACCACTGTTAGCAGCACCAAAGTGACCTCCCAGGGGCACAAGCCTGGGCCATTTGTATGGAAGTCCTGGACTGCCCAGAAGACAAGACCTTCTGGGCCTTGCTAATGTGGTCCAAAGGAAAGCAGAGCAAGACATTTGGCAGCAGCTTGGCTGGAAGGAGACATACAAGGTGCCATCCAACTGCCTTAGGGACTCCACTCTGGATTTTGTAGGGTTTAATGCTTAGCCTTCTCTTCTCCCCAAGATCTCCCACAAGACAGCAGAGGTTTAGGATCAGAATCTTCCTTCTCCTAAACGGACTACCTTCCCAGGTTGACAAGCCCCATCTGCCCTTCACTCCCCTCTACAGCAGAAACCGCCTTCTTGACTCTTGGGCCCACTATTGGTCTCGTCTGCTCAATCCGCTGGAGCCTGTCTTCACATGCAGGGGACGTTCACAGAAGGAACCCTCACCTGGTTTAGCCAGCCAGTCGAGGTCATTCCCAGGGTGTGGCAGCTGCCACATGCTGACAGCTTCTAGGAGCTACAGGTGAGAGCTGAGTGCAAGGAGGGGACTTGGCATAAGGTAAATCAGCAGCACTGGTTCCCACTATTCCGTTATTCAAGCACTCATATTTCTTTCTTCCTGCACTGAAAATGCTATCTGAACTAAGGAAGTTATATTTAGGGTGGTATTCAACCATGTTTTACTCAGAGTAGACTCAATGAAATTAATGAACATGATTGAGTTAGGTCCATTAACTTCAGTGGGTCTATTGGTCCAAAAAAGCTTGGAGACCCCTGATTTAGCAATATATTTTAAATGACTGTGCAGGCTAAGAATGTAAGGACATTTACCAGTCATTTGATCCTTCCCATTTGCAGGAACCAGATACCTTCTCTGCTCTGTAGAGACCTGAACCTGCAATGGGTCAGAACAGAAACAAACCAAACGTATTACTAAAATGATTGATGGAAGAGTACTGAAAGGATATTCCAGCTGTAGGTAAAGTTGCTTTCTATCTCTAAATGAAACAAGCTTTAGATAGAGAATATTCTTTTCAGCTGCTGGCTGATAGGCAAGAGATATCCACCAGCCTCTTTGCAGTCTGAATTAGCACTGTGCACCAGCCTCCTTTGTTCCAAGGAGCTTTAGAGGCATCCCAAGACAGGTAATGCTAGAAGTGTAATAGCAGAGATCATTCTGGGTACAACTTCAGGGTTAATTCTGTTATCAGTAAGTAAGCAAGCTGGGGGGGTGTTGCTTAGCAACCAAGTAGAGTGGCAAGATGCTTGCTGAGGTAGCACATGCACTGATCGGCTGATTAGTTCTGAGAGTGTAAGTAGGGTTGAATGTCTCTGATCTGTACAAGGTCTGAAATAAGAAATACCTCTGTTCCTTTCTCAAATTATACTGTTTTTGTTCATCTTTCCTCAATAAAGTGTTACCAGATTTGTCTTCTCTCTGAACTTTGAGTTATTTATGTGACTTGGCTAACAGGCAATACCTTGTGCTTTTTCATCCTGCTTACCTCCTCTGAAGAGCCAGTTGTTTGCAGAGGTGTGGTTTCAGACTCTCTTGCATTGGAATTGACATGTTCAAGTGAAGATGATTGGATCCTCTGGTTAACCTGTACATCCCACAAGACCTCTACTTCCTGTGGTCTACGAGTACATTTTCGCCGCAGTCTTCGGAAAATCTTGCAATAAAACGCAATGCAATTTTAGTCCACCAAAATGTTACTTGCCTCTGCATGGGTAGATTTTGCCTTTTTTTAAAAAGATACCTAACCTACCACCTTTACAAGTCATATCTATCAGAATCCTGTCCCACCAAGTTAAATGAAATGTATTATTGATTATGTTTGCATAGGCTTTCAGTCTAATCTATCCCTATGGGCCACGTTGGCCAGGGCTGACGGGAATTGGCAGTTCAGTCACAAGTGAAGGGCCACAGACTTATCACCCTTGATTTAAGGGGAAATTCTTGTTCCAGTACATGTCTTTTCTATGGATCCAAAATATGAACTGCCCTGAGACCTGCAAGTATAGGGCAGTATATATTTTCAATAAACAATAAATAATTTTACAATTTTATAAGAAGGACTGCTGTGAATAGGAATGCCCCCTTCTAAAAAAGCAAGTTATGTTTTGAGGAATGAGGCACTCCAACTTGATAGAAACCAAAGTGCTATTTCTACAATACACAAAGAAATGTCACTAAATTTACACATGACCATTTAGTCTGGATACACAATTTGGAGAGGAGGGATTCACACCCAGATTTTGACATTCTGCTATACTGAATAGATTTAATGGCTTAAAATCAAAATTATGCAATCCACTATATTCTGTGGGAGGAAATCTTTCTGGAATTTTGTGAGCTAGAAGTGGGACTTAGGTTCCCTGTTCTGCCTCTTTGAAAATGAAGTAATAGTAAAAAATAAAAACAATAAGGCCTTCCAACTGAGAAAGGAATCCTGGTATTTTTGTGCAGTAATGCAATAGTGAAGTCGCAATGTTATAACTAATATTGTGAAATAGGGGAAGGGGCATAGCTTTATGGTAGGGGACTTGGTTTGTATGCCAAAGGTCCCAAGTTCAACACCCAGATATCTCCAGGAAGATCCCACCCAGATACCCTGGAGAGCGGCTGCCAGTCAGTGTACACAATACTGAGCTAGGAAGAACAGAGGTCTAAACTTGGTATAAAAACAGCTTCCCGTGTAACTTTTTAAAGATGTCATAATCTTGCAACAACAAAAAAATAAATAAAAATCCACTTATCCCTAATGATTTTACCCTCTCTAAAGAAGGAAGCAGGCCTCACCTTGGAGTCCCACACACTTGTTACAGATCCTTTTCTGCTGTCTGTAAGAGAAAATAGGATGCCATTACTATTTATTTAGAAGCATTTATGTACTGCTTAATATTTTAGCAAGCTTCCATCTGTAGGGTCCTGACCCGGCCTTGGCTTGCCCCGACGTTCATCCATTAAAATGACTAGCCAAGACCAGAAGTTTCCCCATCAGCTTCAGGCCTTACATTTCAAAAGGGAAAACCCAGGACTACAGTGGCCAGACCTCCTGAATCCCTACACCACACACAATGGGGGAAGCATGTTAATCAGTGAGGCAGTGGTGAGAAGCCAGCCCCTGGCCACCTCCTGGCTGCCCTGGAACTGCTCATGGCAAAAGAGATGCAGGAAGTCAAGGGCAGGCTTTGCACTTCTGTCAATGACCAAAACAATAAGCACAACTTCGCATTTCTCCCTTGGCAGGAGGATTATTACTGCAAATAAATCCTACCCAAACTCATGCCTTTCAAGTGTTTGTTGGGTTACAGCTCCCATTCTTCCTCACCAATGGCCATGTTAGCTGGGGCAAATGGTTATTGTAGTCTGTCCATCACCACTGTCATCAGGGTGTGGAGAAAAGACTTGATCTCTTGCCCTCTGTTTCACCTGAGCAAGTCAGGAATATCCAAATACTTCCCAAATACATGGGCATAGGATGAGTATTGTCTGCCAGCAACATTGAGAAAGGTGATCAGGTTCCAAGTTGAAGATCTTGCAGTTAGCCACCAAAAAACCTTCTTTGTGCCATGATCACCAAACCTGATGCCGCAGTGATATCAATAAGATAAAGGTGGAAGGAGGTCCTGGGGATTGTGGTGGGACACAAATGGGTGGGTGGGGGAGCAGAAAATAAGGTGTGTAAATCATATGAGCAACTTAAATTGGGCCTGGAAGAGAACAGGGAGACAGTAACATAATACTGGCATCAACAACTGTTATTGACCCTCAAGATAAAAAAGGTGAATTCCATAAATGCAAGATCAATTTGTTGTTTCCATGGCAACTTTTGTTCCTTTGATCCACATTAGTGGATTCTGAGCTATTCATAACTCCAACAGAAATAGTATTATCAGCATGTGGATAATCTCAACTTTGATGCAACAGAATCCCCCCCCCCCAGCTATGTGTGCAGAAATCTCATGCGCCCAAGCAATGGCTGGGTATGATTTTCAGTTGTTGGCAGGGCAGGCTTTATTGTCCCTTCTCTCCATTGCATGTCTAGAAAAGCAAATTAATGGGGTGGGGGGCAAAACCTGTAGAATTAGGCAGATATGGATTTAATTCAGATTGACTAGGTGAAGAATTCTAGTTTTTTTCAGTTTAGAGGAGACTCGGAAACCCTCATCTTAGGACACAGAAAAAGGATAGAATCATAGAATCATAGAGTTGGAAGAGACCACAAGAGCCATCGAGTCCAACCCCCTGCCAAGCAGGAAACACCATCAGAGCACTCCTGACATATGGTTGTCAAGCCTCTGCTTAAAGACCTCCAAAGAAGGAGACTCCACCACACTCCTTGGCAGCAAATTCCACTGTCAAACAGCTCTTACTGTCAGGAAGTTCTTCCTAATGTTTAGGTGGAATCTTCTTTCTTGTAGTTTGGATCCATTGCTCCGTGTCCGCTTCTCTGGAGCAGCAGAAAACAACCTTTCTCCCTCCTCTATGTGACATCCTTTTATATATTTGAACATGGCTATCATATCACCCCTTAACCTCCTCTTCTCCAGGCTAAACATGCCCAGCTCCCTTAGCCGTTCCTCATAAGGCATCGTTTCCAGGCCTTTGGCCATTTTTGTTGCCCTCCTCTGGACACGTTCCAGTTTGTCAGTGTCCTCCTTGAACTGTGGTGCCCAGAACTGGACACAGTACTCCAGGTGAGGTCTGACCAGAGCAGAATACAGTGGCACTATTACTTGCCTTGATCTAGATGCTATACTCCTCTTGATGCAGCCCAGAATTGCATTGGCTTTTTTAGCTGCCGCGTCACACTGTTGGCTCATGTCAAGTTTGTGGTCAACCAAGACTCCTAGATCCTTTTCACATGTACTGCTCTCAAGACAGCAGATATGGACCATGTTGGCAATCTGGATGGATGGCCACAAAATCCCCATTTAGCAGCACAATATACAATGCCCTGGTCTTTCTATGCTTTCCATGCCCATTTGCAACCTCACCCATAAAGGAGGCCAGAAAGATTTCTTACCTTTAGTACGGCACTTGCAAATTCCAACAGCAACAGCAACAACCAGAGCGACACAAGCCAGAATACCCAAAATCAAAAGTATATGTCCACTGGAACCTCAAGAGAATAAAAACAGCAAGTTCCGTTACATATACAGTACAAAGTGATAATTTGGATTTTATGTGGGAAACCCAAAATAGCTGAAACAAGGACTATATACACTCAGTGGGAGGAAATAGGCAGAAAGCTAGTGGGGAAGATATGGAATGGGAAAGGGCTGCCTGGAAACCTGAACAATATTCTACACTAAAGTTTGGTTGCAAGTCCCGCTTGTTCTGTTTGAAAATCCTTGGCTAAACAGAATACTGCCTACTGCATTAACTCTGCACACACATACAGAATCTACTAGTCTTACCTGCTGCAGGAGTTTGAGAGGTTGCATCAGCAGGACCTGGGGCCTTTACACACTGCATGTCACTTTCAGGGGTACAAGGCTGAACCATCGTTTCTCCATCAGGACACCTGCCAGGCAAAAGAGGAAAACCAGTGTAGATGGAACTAAACATTTTCTTGACTTAAAGGAAGCTGGAATTTCAGGTGCTTCCCTTAGAGATGGAAACAGTTTCAAAATAATCATGTGTGTGGACAAATTAGGGATGTTTTCATGCAGCAACCAAGAATCAAACTGAAACAGTCACTGGACTTTTGAATCTTGCAATGAGGTTGTCCTTTGCTGTTATGATAGTTCTACTTTTTTGCACCCTGCTGCCTGGTGATGGGCAGCTCAATTTTAGCCCTGTAGAGGATGCATATTTAGGAAGGTGTACCTAATCTATGTCACCCTGGACAATTTAGGGAAAGAGGATAGGATATAAATAAATGTAAGGTAAAGGTAAAGGGACCCCTGACCATTAGGTCCAGTCGTGACAGACTCTGGGGTTGCAGCGCTCATCTCGCTTTACTGGCCAAGGGAGCCTGCCTACAGCTTCCGGGTCATGTGGCCAGCATGACGAAGCCACTTCTGGCGAACCAGAGCAGCGCACGGAATTGCCGTTTACCTTCCCGCTGGAGCGGTACCTATTTATCTACTTGCAGATTGGCGTGCTTTTGAACTGCTAGGTTGGCAGGAGCAGGGACTGAGCAACGGGAGCTCACCCCGTCACGGGGATTCGAACCGCCGACCTTCTGATCAGCAAGTCCTAGGCTCTGTGGTTTAACCCACAGCACCACCCGTGTCCCTAAAAAAATGTAGTAAATACATAATAAATAATAATCTGCCTTCAGTCATTGTTTAGCTCTCCCAGGACTGCATTATTTCAAAATGTGGATGAGGTAGTCTATAGGTTTGGAATCATCTATAATGCCCTGTGATAGTATTATATAGTATTATATAATTATAGTCATGCCTTCATCTTGAAAGGCTAGGTTTCAGTATAAAAGGGACCCCTCCCTACCCAACGTGGGAGTAAAGAAAGGATTCGAGCAGGTAACTTCTAGCCTGCATCCTGAAGAGACAGTCTTAGGTACCATCATGCTCACAAATAAAATCTCAACTTATAGTACTGTTGTATACATGTCTGCCCCTCAAGTAAGCCTATCTGTGTTTAATGGAGCTTACTCCCAGGGAAGTGAGTACAGGATGGCAGCCTAAGCTTTGTTTTAGGGTTAGGAGGCATTTCTATGAAATAATTTATATGACAAAATGGGTCCCATGCAGTTTACAAGTATAAAATCCATACAATTAAAATCCATAAGTAAACAATCCTCTCAAAGTATTAAAACATTCACAATTTAAAAATACAATAAAAGTAGCCAGTTAAAAATGTAACAATTAAAGAAAAGTTCAAGCAAATCCTCGCCTGAACAGGCATGCTGCCAAGAGCCAAGAGCCAGGATGCCAATACAGTGGTGCCTCACAAGACGAAAAGAATCCGTTCCGCGAGTCTCTTCGTCTTGCGGATTTTTTCGTCTTGCGAAGCAAGCCCATTAGAGGTTTAGCGCTTAGCGCTACAGTATTAGCTGATAAGCGGCTTAGTATCAGCTGTTAAGCGGCTTAAAGATCAGCTGATAAGCGGCTTAGCATCAGCTGTTAAGCGGCTTAAAGATCAGCTGATAAGTGGCTTAGCATCAGCTGTTAAGCGGCTTAAAGATCAGCTGATAAGTGGCTTAGCATCAGCTGTTAAGCGGCTTAAAGATCAGCTGATAAGCGGCTTAGCATCAGCTGTTAAGCGGCTAAAGATCAGTTGATATGCGGTTTAGATGCAGCTGTTAAGCGGTTAAAGATCAGCTGATAAGCGGCTTAGCCATCAGCTGATAAGCGGTTTAGCAGCTTGGGAAAAAGGGGGGGCGACAAAACCCTGCAGGAACTCGCAAGACATTTTCGTCTTGCGAAGCAAGCACATAGGAAATTCGTTTTGCAAAGCACCTCCAAAACGGAAAACCCTTTCGTCTAGCGGGTTTTCCGTCTTGCGAGGCATTCGTCTTGCGGGGCACCACTGTACTGATAGGGTCTTCCATATTTCAGCAGGGAGGTCATTCTACAATACTGGTACCACCAGTAAAAAAGTCGGCCCTTGTGCTGCCACAGGCTGATAATCAGGTTGTGGCAAGAGTAACTGGGTTCCATTTGCTTATCTTAATGCCTTTACCTGGTTGTGCATGTATGGCATGTTTCACATGGAAGGCTAGGGGAGCAGAAGGTGCCGCTCTTACAAGCACACTGGGTATCACTGGTTGTGGTGCATGGCTGAAGCACCACCTCATCTGGAAAGACAATGGAACTCAAGTAAGTGGATCACCTTTTCTCCAGAACAAGGAATCCTGGGAGAATTGGTGAAATGTGCCAGATTGATTACAGCATCATAGTAGTTGCTTTGATGCAAGTGGAGCGATGCATGAAGTGAGATTTTTCAGTAACAACAAAAACACACTCAGCTTTCATAAAAGAAAAAGAAAAGCAAGCTTCCAGCAGGCATTATTACTGTGAAGAACCTTGAAAACATGTGGGAAGTATCTGGTGGATCTCAGAAATCTGCTCTGGAATTGTAATAAATTAAAGGCAAGATGGTTTATCAGCAAAGTATTCTAAAAAATTAACAAGACTTTTTGATACAACCGCTGAAGAATGTAATGAATGAAATATTAAATACAGGAAAAATACCAGATTCATGGAAAGAGGTGTATATAACATTACTTTCAAAACAAGACACAGACCTGCTCTCAGTTAAAAATTATAGGCCGATTTCTCTGCTTAATAATGATTATTATAATGGCAAATTGTTTGAAACTGGTGTTAAAGAGTTAATTCATCAAGCTCAATCTCGCTTTCTTCCTGGCCGACAGATGAAGAATAATATAAGAAATGTAACTGATATAATAGAATATCTGGATGTGAGGAATGAAAAGCAAGCAGCCTTGATGTTTGTGGATGCAGAGAAGGCCTTTGACAGCATTGTCATGGACCTTTATGAAAAGAACTATGGAGATAATGAATTTTGGAAATTTATTTCTAAAGGGAATTGATGCAATTTATACAGACCAGCAGGCAATGTTGATAGTGAATAATGTAGTATCAGAAAAATGTAAAATTACAAAAGGGACAAGACCCCTGTCATCATTAATTTATTTTAGTATTAAAGAATCTGATGAACAAACAAAAGGTATAACAGTTGGGTGCAAAGCATACAAGCTAAAAGCATTTGCCAATGGCTTTGTATTATGTGACAACCTGGAAAGAAATAAAGAAAAATATGGATGTTTGGGGAAGGATGAATTTATCACTATGGGGAAGAATTTCAGTAATGGAAATGTATTGCCAAGAATGCTATTCTTATTTCAAACAATACCCATAGTCAGAAGAGCGGGACACTACAAACAATAGCAAGAGATGTTTCCAGATTTATCTGGCAGGGGAAGAATCCAAGGATTAACTATAAATTATTAACAGGTGCTAAAGAAAGAAGCGTTTTTTCTCTGCCGGACTTGAAATTATATTATGAAGCGTCCTGTCTCTGCTGGCTGCGGGAGTGGATAACCTCAAAAAATACTGATTATCTTAGACCTTGAGGGTCATGATAATAAATTTTGTTGGCATGCATATTTATGGTATGAGAAGACCAAAGTGCATAAAGGGTTTCTGAATCACCTGGTAAGAAAATCAATTTATGATGTATGGGGAAAATATAAAAACCTGTTAGAGCAGAAGACACCATGGTGGCTTTCTCCATTGGAAGTGATATCCCTGAAAAAGACTAATGCAAAAAGTGAATGGGCAACCTATGGAAGTAGAACAACAATTGAAATTGAAAAGTTTTGAGGACATAAGACATTTGGTAACAGACTGGCTGCAATATCACCAGTTAAATAATGTGTTTAATATGGATAAGAAAAATGGATATAGTAAGGAAATTTCAAGGTTTGAAAAAGATTTATTGGAAAATAATATGAAGTTACTTTCTAAAATGTCTAAGTTGTTGCTAGAGTGGCATATTAAGGATGAAGAAGTTAAATCAGTAATGATACAATGGGCACAAGATATTGCACACAATATCGAATTTTCATCTTGTGAAAAGTTATGGAGGGATGACTTAAAATTTACAGTATTCTGTGTGTTGAAGGAAAATTATATGAAAATGATGTTTCTGTGGTATTTAACACCTATTAAACTAGCTAAGATGTATAGAACTGCTTCAAAGTTATGTTGGAAATGTAAGGAGAAGGAAGGCACGTTCTACCACATGTGGTGGACGTGCAAGATAAAAGCATTCTGGGAAATTATATATAATGAGTTGAAAAAAATGTTTAAAACAACATTTGTGAAAAAACCAGCGGCTTTTTTACTAGGAATTTTAGGTGCAGAGATACCAAAGGAGCAGAGACTATTATTTATGTATGCAACGACAGCAGCGCACATACTACCGGGAAGATCAGAAACCAGGAAGAGAAGAACTTTAAGAAAGAATGGGGGAAATTTACATTGTACTTAAGAGAACACTGTAAACAATTAAAAACTGGCAGGATTCAAGCAACGTTTGTAATGTACTAAAAACTGAGGTAAAATTGGATTATATAAGAAAAACAAAAACAAGTGAAGCAATGGAAAAAGATTGAAAATGGTAACCATGAAAGGGTGGAGGGGAATCAAAAGATTCAGGGAATCCTAAATGATGGTGGTGTTGTTTATTGTTTGAATTTAGATTTGCAATGTAAAACTCAATAAAAAAAATTCTAAAACATAAATTATGAAGTACACATTACCACTGTCTAATGTAAACTGCCTGCAAGTTTCGACCAACTTGGTTCTGCAGTACCTACGTAGTAACTGCAGAGAAAATCCTTTCGCTCTCATGCGCAGCTCATAACCATTGGTTCAGCTGTGAAGGCAGTGCAAGGCTGTGCTCTGCCTCTAGGCCAAAAGAGCCCCCAAGCTGCCCCCACTCAGTACCTAGAGGTCTGCACTCCGTGCAGGGGAGGCATCTTTCAAAATCATTCAAGTATTTGGAAAATGTATTATTTTCACAGGGGTGGCAAACCCCTTCAGTTCCTGAACTCTTGCAATGTTGGAAGACATAATGACCTGCAAAAGAAAAGAAAGAAGTGTATTAGAAAAAGAGCATAGAAACCGTCTCACAGGCCAGGAACTGCTCACTGACTATTCATGTAAGAAAACTCAGTCTCTATGCACACAACAAATGCACACTGGGCTCTGTGTGTTTTTGATTGTGTGCATAGGTGTTTGTGTGGCGAGAATGTTCACAGAACCATAGAACTGAATCTTAGAATTGTAGGGTTGGAAGGAATCCCAGGGATCATCTAGTCCAGCCCTGCAACTTTTATACAACTGTATATTGTATTTATAGCTTCAAATGTACGTTGCTTTAAGACCTTGGTAACAAGCAACTACCGGTAAATATTACCAACTACTACTACACATAATTTGTGAGCATGCCTGCAATAGTATTTTAAGGCAGCACATCACTTCACTGAGGGGCCCCAAACATTTCTTTTCTTGAAGGCGGGTGGGAATGGCGACCCTCCAATATCCCCTTCTATCTCATCAAGAAAACTGGCAGCTTTCTCCGCAGCTTTTTATCCCTCAAAAACCAACTACAGTATGAGGGAGAATGGTAATCAACCTGCTCCAAGCCTATCAATTGTTTTAGTTCTTCAAATTTCTGAACTTTACTTCCTTCATCTATTCAAGGCTCTATTTAGACAGCAAGCCAATTGGGCAAAAGTTTCACCAGATTTCCTTTTAATCTCTTTAGAAGTTTTTCTGCACTATTCAGCAGTAAGCCCAACATGGGCTCTCGCCCTTTTCTCAAAGAGCAAATAATCTGAGGTTTCTTCATCCCTCATTTCTGAGCAAACCTCAAGGAGAATTCCACAAATCTCTGGATGCAAATATGTTATTCTGGCTTCATCTGGAACCCAGTGGCGTAGCGTGGGTTGTCAGCACCCGGAGCAAGGCAAGTAATTTGCGCCCCCTAACCCGTAGATTTGCGCCCCCTCACCCTAACCCCCAGATGTTGCGCCCGGTGCGGCCGGCCCCCCCTGCACCCCCACGCTACGCCACTGCTGGAACCTTGAAATCATTACAAGTTCTCTCAAAACTAAAGTCTCCACATCACCCACTTTTTCATAACATGGAAATTTCTTTTGTTTCACTGAGGCAATTTCCTCACTTCTCTGTGGACTTGGTAAATCTGCTCTTAGTTGTATTTCTTTTATATTTTTATATATTTCGTTTTCTCTGACTGTATTTTGGCTAATTGAACCTGCTGTTCTGCTTGAAGTCTGTCTTTTCCCTTTTCTACTTCTAACTTGGCCATCTCAAGTCTTATTTTCATAAATTCTAACTACTGACTAGAACTTCCCTCAGAAGTCACTCCTTCTGATTTTGCTCTGTTCGTGACTCTTGAGTTTTATAAGGGAGTGCCATTTTCTGCCAGTAGTTTTCCTTTATTCCTTCACAAAAATATAAAATACTTTATTGTATCCTTGTATTTTACTTGTGGGACTACTGTACTTAGTTATGAGTTTTAGTTTCAGATCCCACTGCAACCACCACTGTAGTGTGCCCACCCCACCCCCCTTTTTCTGGCTTTTTCAAAAAAGTAAACTGTCACTTAGAACCTCTGGGAAGTTAAACAGAAAAAGGATTTATTTCACAATGAGAATAGGAAACAGAAATATTTCAGAGCTGGAAGTCTTCCAATAATCTTTCTCTGTGTGTAGATGTCACAGGCTTCTCAATCAGATGGTACATTTACAGCTTTGATTTTCTTCAGTTACTTAAACTTGCCCCAAGTGTTAGAGAGCTGAGGTTTCCAATAACGTGAGGGTCCTGGAAGAGGCTGGGACTTTGTCCTTTGTCTTTCCGTTTCCCAGCCTTTAGAAACCTCACACCTGAGGCTCCTCTGTTAGTCTATCAGAGCAGGGGAGCAGCACATACTCCCTTTCTAACTGGTTTCGGATTATTCTCCTCTCACTAGATCTCTCTCCTTCCTATTGAATTGGGATTTAAGTGGAGAATTCCTTCACTTCTCCTCTCCCAAAATTCAGCTTCCCAGTTCTCCTGTGTCTGTATACCTTCGAAAGAAATAGCCACTGTCTTTCAATCTAACCCCCAGCTCAGACTGCCTTCTCTGGCTCTAAATAGTTCCTCAGGGCAGATGTCACACAGAGTTTATACTGCTATCCAGTTTAATGCCAGCAACCAAAAATGTGGTGTCTCCCCCCGCCTGAGTGAAGCTCCAGCTCAGCACAGAGCCACATCCCTCAGGTGGGATTCTGCCTGCGCTGCACCAACAAACTCCGCTTGGTCTGAACCTTCTGTCACAGAAACATTTACTCCTCACCTTTCCTTCCTGATGGCACCAAAGGCAAAGTACATAAGAAGCAGGTACACTGGGTTCCCACCCTGACCCTGACCAGACCTAAACTGGCTTCGGTTTGCTAGGTGGCGCATCACCTGAGGCCATTTCCCTGAAAATCAGGAATGGATGATGCAGGAAAAATAGTGGCAAGTTATTTGTGGTATTTGTGCTCTTTTTAAAATTCTGTTATACTGGAAGTAGACCCTAGTGAAGGAGGAATATCTGACGTGACGTACCAGACTAGCCTCACTCAGAAGCAAGAGCAGAATGAGATTGAAGATTATTTTTTGGTCACAGAATGTATTTTAATTTTTGAACCAGAAGGAGGATCAAAAACCTCCGAGTCACTTCCTTAACTACAGTAGGTTGAATTCGGCGGCAGCATTTTTCTCTCAAGTAGACCTATTTTTTCCAGTCCTCACTTATAGCTAAATGTGGATTCCAGGACTCCTAGACATGGTTTTCCTTCTGGATTATGAAGCTGGGTTATTTTTAAGTTCTAAACTGCTGTTACATGGACCTCCTAGCAGGTATAACAGGACCACACCTGCTCAGCTTCAGCAACGTCAGGTGCTCCTAAGCCTTATGCATTTCTAAAAGCTAGTTAAAACAATCAGTTTTTTTGCTTGTATATGCTATATGAAAACTCCTTTTGCATTCTTACGCAGCTATTCATCAGTTACTCTGGTAAATGTTTTTCAGTGTCACAAAGATCAGGGGGCGAAAACCCAAATGGAGCCAAGTAGGCAGGCATGCAGGGGAGACTGAGTCAGATCAATTTGAGGATACAGTACCTGCAGGGCATTTCTTACAAATATGCCCTTTGTGTTCATAGAACTCATCATTCTGTTTCAAGGCCACAGATACGGCGTCTTCTGGGTTCTGTGTTGCACCAAGGCTTGTTGCCTTGGCTTCAAGCTGATAGCAAAGACAAGAGGGGACAGGAGTTACCTTAGACTGCCTCTGTCCTAAGACTTTCTGCTGAACTGGCAAAGTTTATGATCAATGCCGCCATGGTGTCCACACTTGTTAACACCCCAATTCGCCTGTGGTTTTGGAGGGATGATGGGGACACTTTGAAAAATTCTTGCCATGCCTGGAATGTTTCAGACTTCTGCTCCCTCCAAGGAATGAATCTTACATCCAGACTTAGCTAACCAGACTCATTTTAACAGGAGTTCATAGATCTTCCAGCTGTTCTCAGTGCCAGATGTACAAATGTCCCCCGCCTAGAAAGCAAAGGTCTTCACTGCTGCTGCTCTGGTCTCTGCTTACCCCTCCTGCATCAGACTATCTAGCACAGGACTATCTACGCGGCAGTGGAGATCTGGGATTTCAGGAGGAAGTCCTTCCACCCCTACCTGGAGATACCAGAAATTTAAACTGGGACCTTTTACACATAAATGGGAAGAGTCTGGCTTTTCTTTAACAATGCAGACATCAATGGGACATCTCAGTTCCTTTCTCTCCCCTACTGATTGGTGAATCCCAATCTTCTCTGTATTGCAAAAAAGTCAAGTCTTCTGTACTGAAAAACACACACACAGACAACCACCCACCCCACACTTTTCGGCACCAAAATTCCATTCTATCCCCCTTCGTGATTTTGCACCCTACCATTGGTGCTGGGCCTTTGGGGTGCCCCACCACCACCACCACCACACAGAAGCACCTGGCTTAGAAGCTGATCTGCCTGCCCCAGAGTACCAACCAGCCTCAAAAGTTGGGAGATTGAATCCAACATATTTCCTCCTCTCAACCTCCACCACCCTGCCCAGCATGCCCCCCCCCTCCAGGCTCCTTACTTCAAAGATAAGCAGCGCAGCCCAAAGCACCCAGCTTGATGAGCCCTCTCTCAAGGGCACCTCAAACAGCGACCAAAAGCGCTTCCATTGCCTACTGGCTGCCCCAAGCCCAGCTCAAGTCCACCCCCAGGGGCACCAGGTGGCTTAGCTCTGCAGCTGGGCTCTGGTGCTCTGGAGCCCCAGCAGCCTGCAGAAGGCAGCCATGCTCCAAGCAGCCCCAAGAGCTCAGCCTGCTCGGACTCTATAATGGCTAACACACACTTCTGGATTTTTTTATATACTCATATTAAACATTTCCCCAAACACCCTCACTTTCTTGCAAGTCCACCACATGTGAAAAAAGATCCACCTACCTGTTTACACTTTCAGCAATTACAGTGGTACCTCAGGTTATGAACTTAATTCATTTTGGAGGTCCGTTCTTAACCTGAAACTGTTCTTAACCTGAAGCACCACTTTAGCTAATGGGGCCTCTCGCCGCCGCCACATGATTTCTGTTCTTATCCTGAAGCAAAGTTCTTAACCCAAGGTACTATTTCTGGGTTAGCGGAGTCTGTAACCTGAAGCGTATGTAACCTGAGGTACCACTGTATTAGGAACCTTCTTAAACATTTTTGATAATTTGTTAGGTGTTAAGTACCATCTACGTATCATCCTCATATAGTTTTTTTGTTTTTTGAAAAAGCATAGCAAGTGGGAAAAACAAACTTCTCGTGGTAGAAGAAATTATGCAAGATCATTCCACACCCCTCCCCAACTGGCCACATTTTAGACAAATAAGAATAATACAGGAGCTATAGAGAAGTGTTCTCTCCACTGGTGCTGTAAGCCTATCACCCCCTCCAACTACTTTCTGGGGGCGAAGCATTACATCATCCTCTCCTTGTCTACACATTTCAGAACTGCTTCTTTCAAACACTGATAAGCTGCTGCTGATTGCTCAGAATTGAACTCCACACACCCTTGTCAGCCTCCTTGTTCAGACAGCAGATAAGATATCCAAGAAGCTTATCTAAAAGTAGAAAACAAGCACAAATAGCAGAAAATAAAGCTCTCAGTCAAATGGACTAATGCTGAAAACCTAAACAAACTTGCTATGAGTAAGTCTGTGTACACACTTTAATGGCTTAAAATGCAGTGAGGTTCAAGTTGCATTTGTACATCGCTTTACACACCAGAGGGGGCAAGGATGTGTTCACCTGATGCACATTACCCATCTGGTTTCCCCACACTTGCAACACCCCCCATTGTTATCTGTGCATATGCAACAACCATGTCTCATGTCCATGCCTCAGCTTAACTGAATGAGGCTAAGTTTTCAAATTGAATGGATACCAATTTGAGGGGGAATGCATCAAGCAGCAGTATTTGTTAAGAAACTACACAACAAATATAGATTGTGGCTAATGTCATGTATACATGTCTTCAAACACCCGCAATGGGACACCAGCTATGCTCAGTGGTGTTTATTACTGTTTTAAGAACATGCAAAACAGAAGTGCTAAATGCCAACCAGTTATCCCAGTGGCTTTGGATCTACCAGCTAGAATATTGCTTATTAATAGGCAATATTGGGGAGAATACTGGCTGGACAATGTTTCCTTAAACTGCACTAAGTAAAATACTTTAAAATAAATAAATGCTAAAAATTTGAGGAAACTCTCTGAGGAGGCTTCAGAAAGGAAGGTCATAACCTTGCCTTGATTTGATCTAGTATCTGTTTTGAAAAGTGCTTTGTCTGCCTAACCATCTGTTTGCTATGGGTTTGGCAGTCACTCAGAATATCTTCACCAAACTTGGCACAATGATTCCCAAGGTGGGGACTGTGGTTTTCACTGGTGTTGGGATGCCAGCCACCATATTATCACTTCATCAGCAACGCTGTTTTTAACTGAAAGGGGAACAAGTTAACCAGCAGCAAACCGTACTGCCTAGAACCATTTCAGCTTAACCCTCCGACTCCTGCTGATTAGGTACAGCCACAATAGCCACAGAATCTGGTCTACTAACCATACATAAAAGCTTCTTCCTACAACAGTAATGTAGATAAGAACACCGCCTGTAAGAAAAGCCTTGCTGCATCTGGCCAAAGGCTCATCTAGGCCAGAAGCTGTCCCTCAAAGTGGCCAACCTGCTGCATGTGGAAAGTCAACATACAAGACCAAAGCACAACAACTTTCTCTTCACTTGTGATTCTGAGAACTTATCCAGAGGCACACTGCCTCCGACAGATGAGGCAGAATAGGAAGGCCTGCGTTTCCATTAAGCCATAAGCATCAAAAGGTAACTGTTGGTCCATAGGAAAAACTCCAAAATACTCAGTTGGATAATGTCTATTAAAGGTAAAGGGACCTCTGACCATTAGGTCCAGTCGCGACCGACTCTGGGGTTGCGGTGCTCATCTCGCTTTATTGGCCGAGGGAGCCGGCATACAGCTTCTGGGTCATGTGGCCAGCAGGACTAAGCCGCTTCTGGCAAACCAGAGCAGCGCACGGAAACGCCGTCTACCTTCCCGCCGGAGCGGTACCTATTTATCTACTTGCACTTTGACGTGCTTTCAAACTGCTAGGTTGGCAGGAGAAAGTCTATTAGGAGCAACCAAAATGTCACAGAACTATGGCAACCTTTGAGTTTTCCAGAACGCTTAATCAGGCATTAAGTTGCTACACCAAGCAGGCAGAAAGGGGTGCAGGAAACCACAAAAACATACAAAAATTAGAAAGGATGTTGCAGTCATGAGGTCAGCTTATCCTTTAGGCTAATTTTCAGAAATAGGTAACGATCCCTGTTTAATTCCAAAATCCTAGGTGTTTAACTCAATACCTGTAATCCCTGTGAGAAAAGTATCCCCAGTGCAATCTCCATCTTGGAAGCAAGTCTGCAAGTTGATGTCCTCGCAGTAACAATCAGCCTAATATTTGTACATCCACATAAACCGCACCAATCTCTTGCCTGATGAAGACTTATCGAGCTCTCCAAAGTTTGCACAATTGTATGACATTTTGGTTAGAACTAATGAAGCTACTACCCAACTATACATTTTGGAACTTTTCCACTAGAAAAGTTAACTGCTTCTATTCACCAGTCTGTTTTATTTTTAATTCTAGAATTTATGCACCACATAGCTTACAACTATTAAAAAATGATGCCAATATCGCAAGATTACGATATTAGATTTAAAAATAAATTGCAGAACAGCAAAGCAGTAAACACACTAACCTTTTAAAAGGCCCTAACGGGGGAAAAACATTTTGTATGTGATCCAAAACACAATGACTCACCCTCTATGAAGTTTTCAAATAGTGTCTTGAAAGGAAACCACATTTTAAAATGTATTACTAGAATGCAGCCTCTACATCTTTAATTCCAACCACTCTCACAAAACCTTCATCTTCTCCCTCAAAGAACTGTTTTAGCAGAAATAGAGCAAGAAATATAGAAGTTTATAAAATGTATTTTACAGTATTTCCATGATGAGGAAACATGAGACCAACTGTCTTAACTCAAAACTACCATCCTGAAAAAGCTTACACCAAAGTAGGCCCATCAGCTCATAAGTGCCTGTAAATAATTTCCTTTTATGCACCTCAGAATCAAAATTAAGGAAATCATTTGAGAATTTAATTTTGCCAAAAGTCAGCAGGAAAATCTAGGATTAAACCCCACTGGCATTTGCTGCTGCTAAACTTATGCACCATAAATCTAGTGTTTCGTTCACCGTTATTTAAATAGGGCTGGCAAGTTGATGAATTAACTTTCTGCCAGCTTCACACCAGGCCAGCACAGCAAATGATAAAATACTGAACTATTATGTGGCAACCAAAACTGTGGGAAAAGGAGCGGTCACACGAAGTCACATCACTGTAAACCTGGATGCTGTCTATGCCTGCTTTACCTAGGAGAAAGCCCCAGCAAGAAGTGCATGAATATTGCCAAGTATTGCATCAGAAATAGGTATGTGCTGGCTGGGCTGCGCAAGGGAGCTGTCTCCCCCAATAGGAGGGGAAGAGCGGCTTGGCCAAGATGGGAAGCCTTAACCCATCCGGAGTCCTTCCTCCGGGGGTTTCCAGTATTTCCAGAATCCAGCCTTCTCCCTCCCCCTTTTACATCCGTTATTTAAAAACCGGGTCTGGCTTCCAAGGGGTTGTTCATTCAAAGACCTAGCTAGAGAGTTTTCAAGGCAGTCAACACATCCTACCTGCCGCGCTTGGCCATCTTTGTCTCAACGTTTCTTGCGCGACCTAACCAGGTCTACTCGAGAGCAAGTCCCACCGAGTTCTCGATAGGGACTTTCACCTAAGCGCTGAGCTCTGCTAAACAACGCAGCACCAAGCAGCAAAATCCTCGACGGTAAATAGCCCCCCTCCACCCCCCACTTTAAGGCACCGAGACTTGCCTCTCGAGTAAACCCACGGAATACCGGCAGGAGGCAAAGAAGCGCAAAAGCACTTTTCTTGGTTACCTGCGAATGCTATCAACTCGGGACAAAAATTCAGAAGCGGGACAAGGTACAGGCCTTTAAAAGAGGCCCAGAGAACACGTGTTCCACGCGGCCTCTTTAAAGTCTCACCCTGTATATCTATGCCAAATTAAGCACCGATTTAAGTCTCCAGTGTGAACACTAAACTTTCTTCACCCGCACGCCAACGGTCCAAATCTGCAACCCGCTCCGACGCCTGTTTCTAGAAAGACGCCCCCCCCCCCGGGGGCCAGTCCCGCTGCAAATTCCCCGATTTCCCTCGTCTGCTCCCCAAATGGGGAGGAGAGCAGACAGGACTTGCCCGGGCATGTTCTGGGTGAAAAAAGGGACTTACGAAGCGCGCGACTATCTGAACTGCTCGATTACGCGCCCCCCAAACTGCGAGAGGGGATGGGGCTGCCCGCCCCTAGACAAGTTCATATCTAAACCCACCCCCGCCCCGGACTCCTTTCCCTCCAAGGCCAGGTTTCTTCTGCGAATCTTTCCCAGCCCCTCTTCCCGACTCGGCACGAGGGCATGTCCGAGACGAAAGTGGGGCACCACGCCCAGCGCGCACACGCGCACCCACTAATCGGGGGCCACTTCTGTTCTGCAACAAGAAGCAGCGTCCGGAGAGCCACAGGGCGCATTTGAGGTCTAGTTTGCAAAGAGCTGAAGCTCTTCTCGCGCAGTCGCCAAGAGCGAAGGAACCCAAAGAGGAGCTCAGCGGAGTCGGGGAAGTTCGCTACTCACCGGAACGCACAAAATCACCCAAAGCGCAAGAAGCCGCTTGGCTGCCATGGCAGATCTGTGGCGATGGCGGAGCTCGCTTTCCAAGGGACAGGAGCACATCCCGGGCGGGCAGAGAGGATCGCCGTAATGAAATGTCTGAGCGACAACGGCGACAGACTTGAGCCCAGCGCGACACCTCCGCCAGCCAGAGACGCACTGCCAGCCCGACCCGCGCCGAGCGCACTTTAAGGGCCCCGAGGCGCCGCCCATCACCTGACGTCGCGTCAAGGCTCCGGGGGATTCCCGACACGGCGCTCCTTAGTTCGCACTGCTAAAGAGGGGTTGCGTTATCGCCCCGAAAGGTGCCAAAAGACTCCGTGGGGCTTTTTGCCGCAAAAACGAGTGAATTAATTTCAATTTTAGCTCTTTTTCTTTGTTTGCCATTTCACCAAATGGTCCCAGGATATCACCTATCACATTTAAAATGAATACAAAACATAGTTAAAGTCATAAACTGAAATCACACACAAAAGCAACCGCTATTCGGGGGGCGGGGACAGCACAGAACAAGGCTATTATTATTATTATTATTATTATTATTATTATTATTATTTTGTACCCTGCCCATCTGGCTGGATTTTCCCCACCACTCTGGGCGGCTTCTAACAAGGATTAAAACTACATCAAAATGTCACACATTAAAAACTTCCTTGAACAGGGCTGCCTTCAGGCAAGAGGATCCCCGCTTGGCCGAAGGCCTGAATAAAGTGGTGCGTCTTGACTAACTGTCGCAAAGGATACAGTAGCACAAAGGAGACGCACAGCCCTAGAAGTCACTTCTCCAGGTGCACAAACCTGTCGTGGGAAAAACAAAGGGACATGGGGCACCTGAGGACATAATGAGGTTGTGGTCCTTGCCCAGTTTTATTTGACTTACTGCTGAGTAGACATGGTTAGGATGATGCTGCACATTTGTTAGTCTTTTGAAAAATACCACAAGAATCTTTACTGGTCATTTGGAAGCTGCTCTGGGAGCCTCTTTAGCAGAAGAAAAGGGAAAGAATGGTTTCCAATCAATTAAACAGTTGCTGCAAAAACAACATAGTCCAGTAGCACCTTAATTTGCAACTCTTAGCAGAGTTGAAGTGACCTATCCCTCTGGGTCATTGTTACAGAACCAGGAACCAAGCATGCCCAGGCCTCAAATCTACAATCCAGAAGATATGACAGGATTGTATTGACACACAAAGAGGAAGGGGAAGAGGAGCGGAAAAACCAAAAACAAATCCAGGCATTTACTCTTAAAGTTACAGTCTATAGCCAGCTGGGTAGGAGTGCATTTGTGTTGGCACCATCACAGATTTGAGCTGTTGAGACTTTTGTGCTGCCAGCATTTTCTCCTCTGTATCCTGTCACCTGCCTGACTGGCAAGTGAAGGTAAGTATGGAAAAAGTGCCAGGCCTCATCTAGCACCCAGGTGGTCTCCTAACCAGGTACCAGTGATCCTGACTCTGCTTAGCTTCCTTGATTGGACAGGATGGGGTCTAGGGATGAGCAGCAAGCTGGGCTATGGGCCTTCGCAAATGCCCAAGGATGCTAAACTCCAAGGCTAGATGGTGGTGGTAGGGAGTTTGATTGGAAACTGCTTTACAGTCATGAAAACGAATTTTAAAGTCATGATAGCTCTCATATCACACTAATTTTGGCCTCACTAAATTCAAGTACACAAAAATAAACTTAGTAGGTTTTGTTTTATTTTGAAAAATAAAATTTTATTTTACAGTTTATTATTGTTTATATTTTGAATATTTTGTCTTCACAAAAAGTTTCAGTAGCAAATTTCAACAGATGTAGCAATAATTGGCCATGTTCCCAAGCATACTGACTGCAATGTAAACTTTATTTAAATTTCATATTTAGCCTTAGTAGGACTTCTAGAGGACTGTATCTGCCCTTGGTGTTCCTAAATGCTGGTGGATCTAAATCTGCAAAGAGAAATTAGCATTATAACACAACTGAAAGTCAATTAACCCCTGATAGTTACTCTAATTTTCTTACCATTCTCCTACCTGTGTCCTGTATATTTAAAGCATATATTGTCTGTGTGATGTTTTGCCTTAATTCCAGTATGTTTTCTCTTTTTTGCATTGTTTATATTGTTATTATTTCATTGTTATCAGATCATTTCTGTACCCTTTAACATATGTTGTGAATCACACTTTTTATACTGTAAACTGCCTGTGATCTTCGGGTGAAGGGTGGTATATAATTAAATTGTTAGTAATAATTGAAAATAAAAAATTGGGGAGGGGCTGGAGAGCCCAGAAAATCCTGTTGCCACCCCATACCTCAAAGTAAGCCCCAACAGCAAGAGTCAGAGTTTGTGTCCCCTCCCCTTTGAAATTCCACCTAAAATTGCATCTACAGTGGTACCTCAGGTTAAGTACTTAATTTGTTCCGGAGGTCCGTACTTAACCTGAAACTGTTCTTAACCTGAAGCACCACTTTAGCTAATGGGGCCTCCTGCTGCTGCCACGTCACCGGAGCACGATTTCTGTTCTCAACCTGAAGCAAAGTTCTTAACCTGAAGCACTATTTCTGGGTTAGCAGAGTATGTAACCTGAAGCGTATGTAACCTGGGGTACCACTGTATACAGATAAAGTAGCATATGCAATTTTCTAAAGGGTATTTGTTGCTGCCATTTATTCCTTTATGGTTTTAACTAACTATATCTGAGTAGTTTTAAAACGCCTATCTTTTGTTTGCACCTATATGTTTAGAGTTTCATACTTTAAGCATGACTCGTACATTAAGGTGACTCATACATTTCTATATACCAGTAAATGAATAGCCACGTTCCTTGAGGTGTTCCTTGAGGTGTTGTGCTGGGCAAAACTCCAGCTTGGAATTGTAATGCAGCCCGCATTACATTGATAGACATTTTTGCAGATGGGCAGGGCTGGGATTAGGTTGGCAGTGGTTCCACAGGTATGTGGTTTGATTTGGGGGGAACTGATGCTGCTTTGAAGGCTAGCACTATCTGACTGGATGCCAGCTCGCTCCACCCTGCTCAACATGTACATTTGTGAATAAACAGGTACCATAAAATGACACAAATCTGCTAGCTGCTCTAACCAAAAATGAAACTGAACTCTGGTGCAGGGGTAGCCAACCTGGTACCCCCAGATGTTGTGGATTGCAGCAGCCTTTCTCCACCTGATAACCTCCAGATGTTCTGCTCTACAGCTCCTATCAGTCTCAGCTAGCATGGCCCATGGTCAGGGATGGTGAGTCTCAGTCTCAAAACATCTGGAGGGAACTATGTTGGCTGGCCTACTGTGGTACAACCTTTCCCAAGCTGGTGCCTTCCACATGTTGGCTGGAGCAGGTGGGAATTATACCCAAAACATCTGGAGGGCATCAGGTTGAGGAAGATCGCAATGGTGGCTCAAAAACCCTGCAGCAGGCATGCATTTTAAGAGCATTGCCAGGAAGTTGCATATAATTGTGTTACCAACATCTGTTTGGTGCTTGAATCAATAACCAAGGATCACCAAGAGCTTTATAAAACATCTATGGTTGTTTTCTTAAAGGAAAGCTGGCCCAGAAATATGTTTAAATACAGCCAAAAGCAAACCATTTCTTGTGTTTTAGGCCGTAGGCAAGCAAAAAACTTTTTATTTGTATGTGAAACTCGGCTTCTTTATTATATTATATCCTATCTTTCCTCCATGGAACTCAAAGCAGAGAGTGATTCCCCCGCCCGCCACTGTTTAGTTTCACAATTCTGTGAGGTAGGGTAGGCTGAGAAATAGTGGCTGTGTTCAGATAGCACATTTATGTAGTTATTAATTTATCTGGCCAAATTATATACCACTTAATTAGACCAGTCTCTAAATACTGTACAAGTAACCAATAAAATAAAATAAAAACCATTTTAAACCATAAAATTGGAATTCATTTAAAATGCCTGTTGGCATTTCAAAGTCTTCAGTAGGCGTACTGATGATGACAAACCATTGCTTGTTGTGATGGGAATGCGTCTAGCTTCTCTCCAGGCTCATACACTCCTCTTCCTCCTTCAGTGCAGCCATAAGGAAGAGCTTAAAGAATAGCTTGTGGTGCTGTTTAATAATTACTATAGCTTGTCACCTTGCCGACAAAGGTCTGTATTGTTAAAGCTATGGTTTTCCCAGTAGTGATGTATGGAAATGAGAGCTGGACCATAAAGAAGGCTGATTGCCGAAGAATTGATGCTTTTGAATTATGGTCCTGGAGGAGACTCTTGAGAGTCCCATGGACTGCAAGAAGATCAAACCTATCCGTTCTGAAGGAACTCAGCCCTGAGTGTTCACTGGAAGGACAGGTCGTGAAGCTGAGGCTCCAATACTTTGGCCACCTCATGAGAAGAGAAGACTCCCTGGAAAAGACCCTGGTGTTGGGAAAGATGGAGGGCACAAGGAGAACGAGATGGTTGGACAGTGTTCTCGAAGGTACCAGCATGACTTTGACCAAACTGCAGGAGGCAGTGGAAGACAGGAGTGCCTGGTGTGCTCTGGTCCATGGGATCATGAAGAGTCAGTCACGACTAAACGACTAAACAACAAATACAGTGGTACCTCAGGTTCAGTACTTAATTCGTTCCGGAGGTCTGTTCTTCACCTGAAACTGTTCTTAACCTGAAGCACCACTTTAGCTAATGGGGCCTCCTGCTGCCGCTGCGCCACCGGAGCACGATTTCTGTTCTCAACCTGAAGCAAAGTTCTTAACCTGAAGAACTATTTCTGGGTTAGCCGAGTCTGTAACCTGAAGCGTATGTAACCCGAGGTACCACTGTAGCTTGTTTAAAACTAGCCTTCTCAGTAGTGGTGCCTTCCCATCAGATGTCAAACAGATAAGTAACTACAGTATTCAACCTTTAGAAAACATCTGAAGGTAGCTCTGTACAGTATAGGGAAGGTTTTTTTATGTTTAATGTTTTATTATGTTTTAATATGTGTTGGAAGTTGTCCAGAATGGCTGGGGCAACCCAGACAGATGGATGGGGTACAAATAATAAAATTATTAATAATTATTATTAAGACAACTTAAAACCATTGTTTATTAAGCTGGGTGGTTTTCAACAAACCACTGTTTACAATTAAGAAGAGTGTATGGTTCAGATCCAGCATTGAACTCCGTTTAATCAAATCAGAAGTGAAAACTCCCCATCTTATCCTTGTGGCCATGCAGCAGGAGGAGAGTGCAAGTGTGGGGAGAACACATCGGCCCAGGGGGAAACTGGGCTTGTTTTCATCACAATAAAAACACACTATGTCTGGATGTGGTGACTGGTCCAAGGTCACCCATGAGCTTCACTGCAGAAATGTACCGTATTTTTCACTCTATAAGACACACTTTTTCCCTCCTAAAAAGTAAGGGGAAATGTTTGTGCATCTTATGGAGCAAATGCAGGCTGCGCAGCTGTTGCTGAAGCCAGAACAGCAAGAGGGATCGTTGTGCAGCGATCCTTCTTGCTGTTTTGGCTTCTATATTTTTTTTGTTTTCCTCCTCCCAAAACTAGCTGCGTCTTATGGTCGGGTGCATCTTATAGACTGAAAAATATGGTAAATTGAATCTGGAGCACTCTCACCACTACAACACATTATCACCAACAATCCTGCAAGGGAGCCTTATATTGTAGCTCTATAACACAACTGATGTTTCTTTCTGTTCCCTTCATTTCTTTGCTTCCCTTTCTGCAAGGAATTTAACTCATTAGTGTGATCTGTTTGAATTATGTATATTAGCTCAGTGGCAGGGTGCCTATACTGGCCTGGGCAGTATAGAAACAGTTTGTTTGTTTTTTAAAGCCAGAGGTTTATTATTTATCATGTCGATTCAGCTCTTTACTCAGTACAGCCTACCATATACAGCCATGACGTTGCTGAGCTGAGTCATTCTCTTGACTGGAATTTCCAGCTTCCCAAAGGCCTGTATCAGAGCTTTCCAAACTTTTCATGTTAGTGACACACTTTTTAGACATGCATCATTTTGCAACACAGTACAGTAATTCAGTTTTACTAGCAAACCAGAGCTTAAACTAACCCCTTTCCAGCCCTGGCAAGGAGCGTTCATGCAACACACCTACACATTGCAGCCGACACACTAACGTGTCATGACACACAGTTTGGAAAGCTCTGGTTTATACGCTCAAACCTCTACAGGCAATGAATACCAGCAATTTTACATCCCAGGGTCCGGCTGCTGGACAAAACTTATCTCTCAGATGCAGGCTGGCTGTGCTCCTCACAACTCTCCTAACGGAAACCGTGCAACTGGCTCTCAGCAAGCAAGAGGCATGGGCAAATGAGGCCCAAGCATGGCCGTAGGAAGGATTTATTTTAGGTGGGGCAGGCTTTGTGTTAGAGGGGCTGCAGAACCGAGTTATCAGTGATGCAATTGGTTAGTTAAGTATTATTATTTATTTATTTGCTTTAAAGGGGGCACCTGCCCCCCCCGCCTACGCCCATGGGCCCATCTGTTTTCATCTGGTGTCAGTGGGGTTTGTTATGCGGGCCTCAAAAACAGGCAGTGTCCCAGCTCTCTCTGGGCCTGTGAGAGAGCCTATATTTTTAGCTTCATTAACTAGGAAATCCGAAATTTTGGGTCCCGTCCAAACAAGTGCCAAAGTTTTGTAGTTGTTTTGTCAGGAGTTGTAATGGGGACCCTGCATTTAGTAATGAGTAATTGATACATCCTACAAAACTGTGGCACTGGTTTCGGAGGGGATCCAAAATTTCAGGGTTTGTAGTTACTGAAACTCATTTTCCTGAAACATTGGGGAACTTTTTTGTTTCTGTTGGTTTAGAATTCAAGAGAGACAATGGTTTCCCCTCCTAATGGTCTGTTAAAATTAGCATGGCAATTCTAGAGTTTTGTCACCACTAAATATGTAGTGCAATTGTGAATCACCACTTGTACACTTTTGCGTTTTGTATAGCAATGCACACTACTTCTTAGGTTAGACTGTTTCAGAAGTGTTTTTCTCCATTTGTGTGTGTGTGTGTGTGTGTAGAATGAACGAATTTACAAAAGTAGGGCGCATTTCACGGCTCTGCAAAAGCTTATGCCGCTAGTCCTCTTGAAAGCCTAAGGTTGAGATGCTCCCATTAAACACGGGGCTGGAGGGAAGCGCGCACTTCTGAAACTTCCAGCTGCAGCTTTTTTCTCTGGCGGTGCGCTTGTCAAGCGTTATTCTGGCGCAGGCGCCGCCCGCCTGCCTGGTTCACTTTTGGAGAGCTATTTTGGGCGATTCCCAGGGCGAAGTGAGAAAACTATGGAGGAATCCGCCTTTAGCATAGCTGCGCGAGTGTGTTGTTCACACGCCCACACACACACAGCATGTAGCAGTAAAGGCAGGAATTATTATTCCGGCTAACTCAGTTCTTATTTCCCTTTTAAAAAGTCTTACTTTTTTACGATTGCTCAGAAATAAATGACCCTGTGGATCCAAAGGGACTTTGCAGGATCCAAAGGGTGCAGGATCAAACCCGGGGCGCGCTGATTCAGTTAATCATTTACTACCCGCGCTTCACCCTAAGGTCTCAGCACAGGGCAGCTACCAACATTAAAACATGTTATTTAAAACAGTGCAAAACAATTTGCAATCACAAAAAACAAGGCGGGTCCTAAATATGTGTCCGTGGGGGGTTGTGCATCTTCGGGTGATACATGACATCATCTGCCGCTGAAGAGGCGCGTCTTTGGCTTGGACGGCTCAGAGAACAGGGCTGCTTCAGCGGCTGGGCTTTCTGTCGTAACCTGCAAACGTTGTATGAGGTTTTTAAAAAATTATTATTATTGGCCAAGGATCTCCCCTCCCCTCTGCCTGCTGGGCTGTTGTTGTGAGCCGCGCAGTCGCAGCCCCTTGGCGCTGCGCCACGTGGAAATCCGCGCAGACACACTTCGCGCGTGCAAGTTGCGCCCGGACCCGTCCTTGCCTCGACCTTTTTCGTCTCTGCACCCGAAAGGCGGACGGGCAGCGCCGGCGGGAGGGCAGTTTTCGCCCCTTTAAAGCATCTCCCGCTCCCCCCCCCCCGAAAAAGGCCCGTGATCGCTTTCTTCCAGCGCTCACTCTCAGAGGGAGAATTCCCCGCTCACATGGTGGGTTTCATTATTCCCTGCTCCGCCTCGCCCGGGAACCCGGAGGCTCCCGCCGCCTCCCCCGAGGGGCGCCTCTGGCCTTTTCTTTTCTCCGCCTTTGGGTTCCCGCCAAGCGCCTCGCCCCTCTGTGCGCATGCCGGGCGGCGTGGAAAGGCGCATGCGCCGTCCCACCGACGAGGAAACGTTTGGCCAAGCGAGAGGAGGTAGGCCGCGCCCGAAGCCGGGGGCTCGCCTAGATGTCTTCGCCGGAGGAGGCGCCGGTTGCGCCGGCCGCGGAGGGCGAGCTGCCCCCGGAGTGGGAGGCGGACGAAGAGCGCATGGCTTTCCTGTTCTCGGCCTTCAAGCAGAGCCGGGAGGTCAACGCCACCGAGTGGGACAGCAAGATGCTCTTCTGGAGCGAGCTGGTGCTGAAGTGGGGGCGGCGCCGCGGAGGCGTCCGGACCTGCCTGCGGGAGCTGCAGCAGGCCTTCGAGCGGCGGGGCAGCGTCCCCCTGGGCCTGGGCACCGTCCTGAGAGAGCTGCTCAGGTACCGCCCGGCGGCGGGGGGGGGAAGAAGGGCTTCTCTCTCTCTCTCTCTCTCTCTCTCTCTCTCGGCCCCCCTCGCTTAGCCCCCTTCCAGGCTGCAGCTGTGCCTCTGAGCGCGGGCAGAGGGAAGGTCTTGCCCTGCTGGGCGAGGGGGTGCTGGGGGGAGGACGAAGAAAGGAGGGGGCAAGAGAAGACTTGTTGTTGTTGTTGTTTGTTTACACCCTGACTTCGCCCTTGACAGGGACTCAAGGCGGTTTGCAGATAAAAACAACAGCTAAAGAACATGGGGGAAATCCCACAATTATTAAATAACATGATTAAAACTATCAATAGCTATAGTTCTCTATGTATCTGTCTAAGCTCTTAAAATATACAGATAAGTACAATAAAAACAGCACAGCACCAGCTGTTTCATTAAAAGCAGTCAGTTCCCAAAAGCTTGTTGGAACAAGAAAAGCTTCACCTGCTGGCAAAAGGACCATAATTTGTGATCTAGTAACCTATTAGTTCAGTTCTATTTAAACATCCATCAAGGCATGACTGCATATTGATGTCAACCAAAATATTTATGTTGACAGCTAGCAACTCCGTTCAGCTCAACTTTGTGTCAAATAAAATAAAAAAATTCCTTCCAGTAGCACCTTAGAGACCAACTAAGTTTGTTACTGGTATGAGCTTTCTTGTGCATGCACACTTCTTCGTTTTGTTTTGACTACGGCAGACCAACACGGCTACCTACCTGTAACTAGATCTGTTAGTTAGTTAGTCAAATGATACTGATATTCAGTACTCTCTTGCTTTTTTGTTCTTCTGTAAGGTACTTAGGGAGTCCTTTGCCTAAAGAATGTGGTTAATAAATAAAATTAAGTCTGCTGTTGTGAATAAAATTAGCACAGATTTCTGGCCATATAAGAATTTTACTGGTCTTTAACATCATTATCTTCTTATTATTATTACTGGTCTTTAACATTCTTGTTTTCCTGCCACTGCTACTCTTCCGGAGGCTGGTGTGCTTATCTTGTATGCATTTGAGTGACCTTTGCATAAAAATTTCCCCAGGTAGGGAATGCACATAACATGTTGGCTAAACAAGTGAAAGGAGAGGTTGTGGATAACTCAGCTCTGCCCCCCCCTACAGGGTCCCCAGTAGCTTTCAACACCCTCTAACTATTTTAAGGGCAACTATAAGGCTTTAAGGTGGCACAACATTTACTTACTTACTTTCCCATTCTTTTAGGGCCAGCCGTTGCAAAACATTTTATAATATATATATTTTTAAGAAAACAAAGTAATTAACAAACATAACAAAACTCGGCATATTTAGGGAGCTATAATATCCTGGTCCCAAACTGTTCTGAGCTTTGTTCACATCTGGCACCAGAAGTCACCTGTGTGATACCTTCCATATATTACGGGGCTACCACAATTTTTTCTCAAGTTTTAGATAGTCAGTAGGGAACCTCTGGCTCATGGTCTCACCAGGGCTCCCCATTTGGCCCACTAGGCTATTCTGGCTAAGCCACGCACACCAGCCCAGTGGCGCTAGCGAAATTCTGTGAGTAGTGTGTTGGGAGGCTCTCTACAAGCACTGACAATCAGCTGGTTGAACATGCTTGCAGGGAGCTTTGTGCTGTGCTTTGAAGGTCTTATGAGGAACGGTTGAAGGAGCTGGGTATGTTTAGCTTGGAAAAAGGTGTTTGAGAGGAGGTAAGATAGCCATCTTCAAATATTGGGCTCAAACCAATGGCTTCAAGACAAGAAAAGAGATTCCGACTAAATATCAGGAAGAACTTCTGACAGTATGAGCTGTTTGACAGTGGAATGGACTCCCTAAGGAGGTTGTGGAATCTCCTTCCTTGGAGGTTTTTAAGCAGAGCTTGGATGGCCATCTGCCATGGATGCTTTAGCTGTGCTTCCTGCATTGCAGGGGATTGGACTAGATGACCCTTGGGGTCCCTTCCAACTCTACAATTCTGTAATTTTACAAAGCCCTGACAATCAGCTGTTTGTCAGAGCTTCAAAGCATTGCATCTCCGCTGTCAGAGTTGTCTGTGGGGGTGGGGAAGGGGAGATAACATTCCAACATGCCAGCCAGATCCAGTTCCCCACCCTGTCCTGGAGAGTGATCTGTCTTAGCATGTTTATTTTACAAGCTGAAAACTTGGACTCCCATGTTTGCCTAACGTTTGGAGTTGGCATCTATTAATTGTTTCTAATGAGCTTATGAAATGGAAAATTTTCTGTGGGGAAAATAAAGCACTGGAAAATGTTCTGTTCCGCATTACTTCTTTTCAGCCATTTCCAATAATAATAAACTCTGCATTGAGATTGCTTTTAGTATACTAACCTGCTCCGTCAAAAAAAGTTCTGCTGTTATTTTAAAGTTCAACCTTATTTTACAGGACTAAACTTAAATCCCCATGCACTCACTTTCCTCATCATCTTTCTTTGCGGGTGCAATGGGGGCATGCCCAGTATTCTCTTGTGACCCTGATATTTTGTCCCTTATTGCTTCCTGCATTTGTTCCCACTTGTTGTTCTTACATTTTGATAATTCAAAGGTAAATTACAAATATCAGGAAGTAAAGTAAGATACTCATGTTAATATTGCGTACATTATTTGTATACATAAATTGTTTTAAATAATTTAATAAATAATAACTTAATTGACTATAGGTTGATAGGTGTAATATCTCAACCTTCTTCGATGTGAAAGAATAAAATGCATAGTCTGTTAAAAGTTAAAGTTTCACTGTGTTTTCTATGTCTCCCATTGATAAGAAAGGGTTTCTGTTCCTCCATTTCATTATTCTAATAAAATGTAAACAAGTTCCATTGTTCCAACTGTTAAATACCTGATATTAGTTTTTCCAGCCCCCACAGCAACACAGTTTCAGTATATTTAGCACTTTTCCAATGGCATATGTACTGCAGACCTATACTTAACTCCGAAGTCCCTATAGTACAGGGTGAGTCTTTTAAAAGAGGCCCCATGGAACATGTGTACTCTGTATCCACGGGGCCTCTTTTAAAGGACTCACCCCGTATCAACCTTTTACAGTGGTAGTCTCGCTTTTTAAAGACCTGGAGCCCACCTTTAATCCAAACATGTACTTGGAGACCCATTCCTTATTATTATTATTACAATATATTTGCATAGTGATAGTGCTGCTGTTGCCCATCTTGAAGACTACTGCTTTACAGTATCCTCTGCATTTATCATACCCATACTTCTTCAGTACAAGATAGCAGTAGCATGGCATTCACAGAAGGCTGATTTTTGTCAATTTAGATAAGTATTCCCTTTGGCTTTGCTGAAATTTACAGCGTTTATATATTGCTCTTCCTTCAGACGTGGCAAGTTGCAGAGGGAATCTGACTTCATGACCAGCGTAGACAGCAGCTGGATCTCCTGGGGCGTTGGGGTCTTTATTCTGAAGCCACTGAAGTGGACCCTGTCTAGTGTATTAGGTGACAGCAAAGTGCCAGAGGAGGAGGAAATTCTGATCTATGTGGAGTTACTTCAGGTAGGCTTTCTGATGCTTGGCGATCACATATCATGAGGATGTTGGGGAGAGCTGATGGTTTCTGTTATGCAATGATAAAAAATATTGTTGAGTGTTTGGGAAACACTTGAAGAGACCTGTAGCTGAAGAGACCTGTACAGTGGTACCTCGGGTTAAGTACTTAATTCGTTCCGGAGGTCCGTTCTTCACCTGAAACTGTTCTTAACCTGAAGCACCACTTTAGCTAATGGGGCCTCCCGCTGCTGCCGCGCCGCCGGAGCACAATTTCTGTTCTCATCCTGAAGCAAAGTTCTTAAACCGAAGTAATATTTCTGGGTTAGCGGAGTCTGTAACCTGAAGCGTATGTAACCCGAGGTACCACTGTAGTTGTTTTGATATACAGTGTTACCTTGGTTTTCGAGCGTCTTGAAAGCCAAATGTTTCAGAACCTGAACGCCGAAAACCCGGAAGTAATTGCTTCCGTTTCTGAACGCGCCTTAGAAGTTGAATGGCTTCTGCTGTGTTTTTTCCTTTTTTCTCCATTGAGTTTGCAGACTGCCCTTTGCGCCTCGGTTGTCAAACGTTTCGAAGGTTGAACGGTCTTCCGGAATGAATTATGTTCAACAACCAAAGTACCACTGTATGTTCAGGAAATCACTCAGAGGATCCCTCATGCACACATACCCAACAGTTCATAGAGCTGTTGTGGATTACCAGGAACATGGATATTTAATGAATGTGTACTGCAAATTCTCCTCACGCTTTTTCAGAGCTCTCTACCATACTTGCAAGGGATTTCCATCTTTATACCTTAATGTATTTCTTGTTTAGTTTTAAGTTCAGATATCTGCTCCCTGTGGTGCAACTTGAACCATGTAAATATAGTTTGGAGTGGCGCTTTCCATAATTCCAGGATGTCTTCAGTCAAGTGTAATTTACAGTAACCCAGCCAATCACTACGGCTTTAACTCTGCACTGCGCTGCACTAAGAACAGCATATATCTTTCCCATTCAGTATCATCTTGCTTAAATATTCAAGTAACTAATTTTTGAAAGAAGCCTATTTTCTCACCCATGTAGGTTGAGAATAGAATAGAATTATTGAATAGAATTATTGCATTGCAATTTGTGATCATATTCTGACTGGGAATCAGTAGGAATCCTTCAGAAAGGGAAGGAAGAGCTGTAGGCCAGCTCACTTCCATAAACACGTTCCATTATATATTTGAGGAAGCAGAGAAATCTGACCAGATTAGCAGTTCTCCTTCTCACCCTACGACCCTCAAGTGTTATTGTATCTCTGCTTTAATATTTAAAAGTTTCTCCTTTGCTCTTCACACCCAGAAACCTTAAAGATGAAGGTAATCTTAGGGAGTAGCAGAGTGAAGATTAATACTATTTTTAAAAAGCATTTTTATATTGTTCTGCTGCTGAAAAAACTCCCCCAGGTTGTTGTTTTTTGAGATCAGTAGTAAACAAGATAGTCCCTGTTCTCAGGCTTTCAACCTAAAAGACATGATACAGTAGGGGAAAGGGACGAAGATGTAAAACAGGTGAACCCAGCCACTCTTTTTATAGTCAAAAGGCTCTTATAATTGCCAGTTTGAATGGAAACAGGGAGCCAAAGTGAGCTGGCCGCTTAGCAGAGTGGCCTTGCTTCTGGTCTTTCCCTGTGCTGCCCATAGTTGTTCTTTAACTGCATACCTTAATTAGACATGTGTGCTGACTTATACTGACTGTTTATTTGCTGCAAGCTAGAGACCAGAAACAGGTGGGCTACCGATTATCTAATGATACTCAAATCTAGTCTGTAGCTGAACAGTAAAAACCACTTATCTAAACTGTGGTGTGCTCTGTACTGTATTGTGAATGAGGTTTGAATGTCATCTGTAGCAATGCCTTGCCATTTCTGAGTCAGGTTAGGATATTAAGCAATTCTGGTTTAGTTTGTGCATGGTACCCACAACAGAGGCAAGGAATAAAGAGTTCAGTGCAAATGGTTATTTTCTTTAGGAAAAGGCAGAAGAAGTGTATCATCTCTACCAGAATTCCACACTTTCTTCACACCCTGTGGTTGGCCTGTCAGAGCTGCGTTCCCTGTGCACTAGCATTTGTTCAGACGAAAGGACGTTCTGTCTGGTACTGCTGCAGCTGCAGAAGGAAAAAAGGGTCACAGTGCTGGAGCAGAATGGCAATAAGGTAGGGTTTTCATATTTTGAAGAGCAAGAAAGAGGACACATTTGCCAACTTCTACTTTTAACTATGGATCGCTAGGATGAAACTCATTTTACATACCCATGAAAAAGAAGACATGTCCTGGAAAAAGAGGATATATGGCAACCCTAATAAAGAGTTAAAATGTGAGTTGCATTTCTGGGAGTTGTGCCGTCTCTAAACGGAAATAAGTTGGGCCAAATAAAGCCAGTCTTCCATTTGCCCTGTGCTCACTCATTCAGCAAAAGGTTCCCCCTCTAAAATGAAAACCCAAAGTGGCAATGAAGATATCTGCAGCATTTAAGTGAGATAAGGCAGCATTAAGCTGAATTTGTCATTTCATAATTAAGAAGGGAAACATGGGCTTCTGGGCAAGAGAAGGGTTGGTCATATCCTCATCTATAATATACTGTCATCCCACCTCCTCCAAATAATTCTGAGGTTGTGGGAATTTGAACTTTTTTGGCTATGACGTATGGAGTGAACATAATAGTTGAAAAGGCTTGGTTAGCTCTGGATTGCAGAAATGCCGTGGAGGTCTGCTATTTTCTTGTAATTGTACTTCAGGCAATATCTTGTACTGCCCTGAAAGTATAAGATAGCTGATTGAGGAGGGATGGTGGGGTCTACTGTATAGACTTTAAAATGTGGTTCATAATTTTACAGAACTTGGTTAATGCAAGATATTCAGTGTTTCACAAATGAAGATAGAGACATGCTTATAACAGCGTTGGTGCAAAAATCATTGACTCCCCAAATCTATGTTGCTGAAATGTCTTCTCTGACGGCTGTATTCATCACTTACTCTTCAGTAGACTTCCCACTTTAGATACCAAGAGGATGTTTGTTCTTTTGGTTAAATATAGGCTAGAAAAAACACATGTTACCTCATAACATGGGTAGGCAAACTAAGTCCCGGGGGCTAGATCCGGCCCAATCGCCTGTGGACGGTCCAGGAATCAGCATGTTTTTACATGAGTAGAAGGTGTCCTTTTATTTAAAATGCATCTCTGGGTTATTTGTGGGGCCTGCCTGGTGTTTTTACATGAGTAGAATGTGTGCTTTTATTTAAAATGCACCTCAGGTTATTTGTGGGGCATAGGAATTTGTTAATTTTTTTTACCTTTCAAAATACAGTCCAGCTCCCCACAAGGTCTGAGGGACAGTGGACCGGCCTCCTGCTGAAAAAGTTTGCTGACCCATGTCCTACAATTTGTTAACAACATATTCAAATAGGGTATGTGTGGAATGGCAGCTTGAGCACTACATCATGCCTGTGCTTTTACATATTTGCATTAGAGATAAGATGCATCCACCTCACAGCTCAAATTTTAATTTCTGTCAACCAGGGAAAAAGATGTTGAAACCTGAAGAAGTCCAGCAACTCTAATAAAGTATCTCTAAAATACAAAAATAGGGATGTATACTGGAAAGCAGAAAGTCTCCCTGGGAAATAAGAGACAATTGGACCTTAAGATGATGGGATGAGATCTTATGTCATAATGAAATTCTCTTTCAGATAATGAAATTTGCTCGAGGTCTTCATACCAAAGTATCTCCAGTGAATGATGTTGACATTGGGGTTTATCAGCTCATGCAAAGTGAACAGCTGCTGTCTCAGAAAGTGGAGTCCCTGGCACAAGAAGCAGAGAGGTAATATGGGTGTGTGTCCTTTACATCCTTAAAGCTGTCAGTTATGTCACAACTCATGCATTGCTGAGCTGTGGTCCTTCAGGCAAGGGGCATCTTTTAATCAATTTTTATTAAAAGTTTTCCACATAAAATACAATAAAAGCCAAACTAATCTAGAGAAAAGAGATAAGAAAAAAGGAACAATAAGAATATAAAGAAGAAGAAAGAGAAGGAAAAAAAGAGAAAGTGAATACAAAGCCCTCTATCAGAATTATATCTTAACCCTTTAACCTCACACAGAAGAGTGAACCCTCCCAGCTCTCACCTGCGTGCTTCTCCTTCTTTCTCCAGCCTCTCTACCCTGCTCTTCACACAGGGCCCCCCATCTTCCGCCCACCACCTTCCTGTGTGTATCTTCATTAATCCAAAATAGGGAACTTCAAAAAGCAAAGCATAAATGTAGATAGAATTAACCAAAGAAAAACAAGAATTGGAGATCATAGAAAAGAAAAGAAAAGAAAAGAAAAGAAAAGAGAAGGGCAATTGGGTATATGACAGTTATTCAAAGTATGCACTCCAGGATAACAATCTAACTGTATTATACAGCTGTTTCTCAATCTGCTAGGTGTTGTTTTTTCAATCTTCCATCCTGTTCATCTCAAATTCACCTTTTCCTACTCAAAAGTCAAGAAGCAGCTCTTCAATTATTATAATTAAATGTCTTAAATAGTCCTCTAATCCAGTATGATGAATTTCTCCCCAACGGTTCTGAGAAATCTAAAAAGCATAATAGTCCATATTTATTTGCTTGTTGTGTCTTCATTGCTTTGTACAGTGGTACTTATAGATGCGAACGGGATCTGTTCCGGAGTCCCATTCGCATCTAGAAGCAAACGTAACCCGTGTCTGCGTGTGCGCGGGTCACATTTCGGCGCTTCTGCGCATGCGCACGACGTCATTTTGAGCATCTGCGCATGCGCAAGCGGCGAAACCTGTTACTTCCGGGTTGCCGCGGAGCGCAATTTGAACGCGCTCATCCCGAAGCACATTCAACCCAAGGTATGACTGTACTTGGTTCCATATATTTCAGTCCCATTTCCTGTTGACCATGCTTACTCTTAACTTAAAGGAAAAAGGAAAAATCCTTCTACTTTTTCCATTTTTCATCGAAACCAATTGTCAAGAGCTTTATTCACTTCAATTTGTGCACATGGCCCTTTCTCTCTCAGTTCCATCTTTGCTATCTTTGGTTCTCTCTTAACGTCCATATTCATAAATCCATTCATTTCTTCCGGCATCACAACAACATCTTTCAATTCATCATCTGCTGTTATCCATTTTGCCTTTACCTTCTCATATTCCATCAGAAGAGGATCCATCTCTTTTTCCACAGGTCCTGTGTGTTCTTTAGTCAGATGCATCTCTGATCCAATCTCTTTGAATGTTCAATGCATCTCAGCTCTTAATTTTGTCAGCTGTTCATCCAGCAGCCGCTGCATGACACCAACAATAGATGAGGCATTTAGCGTTGCCTTTGCCATATTGGGTTCTATTCATCTCCCCCTTTGGCAGTCTCTGCATCCAGGAACTTGTGCATGTTCAGGCAAGGGGCATCTTCACTGCTGAACTACAGTTAAGGCATTTGGTAAATCATGACCTTGTTTTTATAAAGCTTCTTTATAAAAGGGTACAAAAAATATGAGCGGAGCAGATCTACAAATGCTTCAGTAGTGATACTGAGATGCACCACATGTGTGGGGCTACAATCTCCCATCAGTCTAAGAATGACCACCTAATACGTAATAAATAAGAAACTGAGCTGCTTACACTTTGCTTTTGTAGATGTAAAGAGGAGGCCCGGAGTGCATGTAGAGCTGGGAAAAAGCAGCTGGTAAGTCCTGTGTTTTCTTAACTAGGCAACCAAAAGTTGTGTGGGAAGTGTACGTCCAAAGCCAACCTGCTTCAAAGGTCATGTGTTTTCGTGAGTTTAGCACATGGGTAGGCAAACTAAGGCCTGGGGGCCAGATCCGACCCAATTGCCTTCTAAATCTGGCCTGTGGACAGTCTGGGAATCAGCGTGTTTTTACATGAGTCTTAAGGACATTCATTCACTTAGCTGGATAAGCTTTGAGGGGAAGACAACCACTGTGCATGTCCTCCTGCACTGAGATGACTGTTTTAAATAGGGAGTTATTTCAGGCTGCTCTTGATGGTTCATCAAAACTGTGCCTTTATGTTCTTAGGCACTTAGGTCTTTGAAATCAAAACGAAGAACAGAAAGACGTATTGCAGAACTTCACTCGAAGCTGGACGTAGTACAAGGCATCCTGGACCGGATCTACGCCTCTCAGACAGATCAGATGGTATTCCTTTACTGATGTGTCGCCATTGACTCCGCTTTGCTCTGTTTAATTCTTCTGTCTAAGATTTCTGCTTGAAGATCTGCTTTATGTTGGAAATACACATTCTTTTCACTGCAGTCTGGGGCTTGTTCACACACTTCTTACCCCTTGCAGCTATAATGGAGGTAGCCAATGTGGTACTGTCCAGGTATTACAGTCCAAGTCAGCATGACAGATAGTCAGGCCTGATGGGAACTGTACTCTAGCAGCATCTAGAAGGCATCAAATGGTCTTTCCTGTACTCAAATATTTCTTCCTTTCTATCTCTCAGCTTCTCTTCCTGACACAGAGCATGCATTGGCTTTGGTGCATCTATGGCCGGTTGATCCCCATTTGCCTGTTGTTGTGTGTCACTGCTGTTAGCAAGATGCCTCAGTAGACATGTGTTTCATTCTAGAAGCTTTATAAATTATAAACTTTAGACATTGGCAGTAGTACTTCTTGGCAGATTTACCCAGTAACTTAAACTCACATAGTATTTAATTTATAGGGTAGGATATTTATTGATGTACATACACATCATCAGTGAGGAATTGCTCAGTAATGATAAACATTTTCTTGATGTGGGAGAATTAGCTGATTAATTCTAACCAAGCAGAAGCATGCAAAGCGTAAAAGGAAATGGAATTGTGTTTATAAAGCGCAGCTTGGAAGGCATGCTAACCTGCTCTCTCACTGGGCTCACTTTGCATACTAAGCCTCAGTCTAGGCCTAATCAGGCCTGCGGCAGGGAGGACCAGTGAGTGGCTTCTGAAATACGGACACATGTCAAGATAGGAAAAAGGAGCAGATGTGGAGGCCACAATTTGTAGTGAAAGTACCTGTGGAAGACAGGATAGGGAGCAAGCTTGGTGGAGAATCCTGAAGTAGAAAGAACTGGGTGCATTGAAACTCCTGAGTCTTTCAGAAAAATGTTGAAGAAAGTAAGGGGTCCTGAAAGTGGCTCCTCTGCAAAAGTTCACTGTCCCAAGCATATGGCTTGCAAAATATTTCAGTTGAGATTACAACTTTAACTCCCTCATCTACTTTTCCCTCAGAACTCAAGTGGCCTCCTGACAAAGTAAATCCAACTGAAGCCATTTTAAAAATCATATAGGCAATATTGAGGTGGAATGCCTGCCAGAATCAGTATTATTTATTATTTATTTAGAGCATTTATATCCTGTTCTTCAGCCCAAAAGGCTCCCTGAGCAGCTAACATGAAATTAAAACAAGACACTCCCTAACCACAGACTAACTTACTTACAAATAAATAAATAAATAAATAAATAGGCTATTTAGAAAGGTGAAGAACTGCAACAGATTACTGAAAATACTTGTAAAATAACAGGCTATTCTCTTTCCTCCCAATAAGGTATTTAATGCTTACCAGGCTGGAGTTGGAGCTCTGAAGTTATCCATGAAAGATGTCACCGTGGAAAAGGCAGAGAACCTGGTGGATCAGATTCAAGAGGTACTATAAAGAGGAAAAACAAATAATCTCTATGCAAGTGTTAGTTAAATGAGAATCACATTCGTGCTGCAGGCTGCTTCTTAGCTGTCTGTTAAGTGGTTTCCATGTCTGCCTTTGCTTAGCCCTTCTTAGCAGGCTTTATTTCAGAAGCCAGGGTGGTGTAGTGGTTAGAGCAGGGGCCAATGATCTCCCTCCAGTCCTCTGTCTGGCCCTTCAGACTTTCCTCGGTCTATACCCCTCACTGGCTCTGCTGCACATCGTCCTGCAGTTATTTTGGAATCTGTCCTTGTACTGCAATAATGGAGAGACGTAAGTGTAGAACCCTCTGAACTGTTTGTGACTAGACTGTAGTCATTGGAAGGTTGCCCATGAGGGGATGCATCCCTCAGGCTTGAAAAATGTTCCCTAGCCCTGAACTAGAGTGTGGTAGTCAGCTAGGGAGATCCAAATACTTGCTCACCCATGAAGCATGCTGAATTGCTGTGGACAAATCACTATGGTCTAGCTTAGCCTGCCTTGCAGGATCATTGTGGGATTAAAATGAAGGATTTGATGTGTGCCAACTGAGCTCCTTGGAAGGTGGATTAAAAGTGTAATAAATGGCAGTATCTGCTGCTTTTTTCAGCTTTGTGACACCCAGGATGAAGTAGCGCAAACCTTAGCAGGAGTTGGAATCAATGGCTTAGGTGAGTCCAAACTCTTAAGCCACCAAACCCTTGTTGTTAGGTTTTCTAGCTTACAACCTCATATTCAGACATTTGAACAGAATCTTCCTCAAATGGTGGTGCTGGTCAGCATGATGGGAATTGTAGTCCAAAATATCTGGAGGACAGTGGCCTAGCATGGGTTGCCAGTGCCCTAGGCAAGGCAAGTATTGCGCCCCCTAACCTGTGAGAAGAAGCAATCCTACATCGCAGTTTGGGGAGCCCCACCATGCGAGAGTCTGTCCCTACTCTGCACTTGAGGGATATGGGGCATCTAGCACCAACTGCTGACATCACAGGTTATGGTGAGCACAGAGTAACCCTTCAGATGGGAGCAGCACTCCAGTGGTGCAAACCTTTCCCTTGTCGGCATGCACTCTGCGCAAGCGCTGTGGCTCCTTCCTTTTCGTGCACCCGAGGAGAGCCCCACACTTGGAGAAAAGGTGGTGGTGACGGTGGATTTGGTTTCAAAGAGCGGCACGTGGCAGCGGAGTGCGGGCCACCAGGGCTGTCCTTGAGTGGGCTGGGCAGCACTATCCCCACTGGAGTGGGCTGAAGCGAGTGGGAGTGTCTCTGCCAAGGCGCAGGACAATGGGCGGAGGAAGCTGGCAGCAGGCAGGACGGAGGTGCTGGCTGCCCCTTGACCATCAAAGCGTCTTCATGCAGCACTGCTGCTGTTGCCAAGCAGAGCCATGGAGCAGCGGTAGGACATGCATCCATGCCTCCTCAGGCTGGGGTGCCGCCACCACCCTAAGTCTTGCTGCTCGCCTGCCTCCCCCACAAGGTGCTCGCACCCAGCCTGGTGCTGCCTGGCCGTGAGTTGAGGTGACCCACTTGTAGCTTGCGCTGGTGCAGCAGACCTGGGCTTGAATGGGAGAAAAAAGTGAACGAAAATTCCAAGGGTCCAGTGCCTAGTGGTGGCGAGGATCAGTTTTGTGAGCAGAAAGAAAACTTCGAGAAAGGAGCTGAGCCGCCACAGCAGCAGAGGCTTGGAGGTGGGGAAGCATCCCTTACCCAACTTGCCACCCTCCACATACTTGCTTGAGGAGACCTAGTTGGGACAGGCTGACATAGTGCCCCTTGTGGTCTGTAAAAGGCATGAGTGAGGTGGGTCCCATTTCCAACTGTAATATGTTGCCACTAATTGACGATTTTTTTGTTAGGAAAAACAACAAGAGCACATTCTCAGTAGGGCTGAGCAGAATAAGAGAACCTTCTTCAAGCTCTTGCCCTTCTTACAGATCTTAAGAAGGTTATAGTACATCTTACAGCTATGTGTCCTGGAGCTAATCTCTCTTGCTGAGCATGTCTTCTAATCCTATGTGCAGTTAGTAGGGCATAGGCACTGTTGAACTCTGTGGGACTTGATTCTGAGTCAATTCACCAGGAGCCCAAGCTGTATGTCACACTGGAATGTATTTGTTCTCCAGTATCAGAAGCTGATGCCGAGGAGCTGGAAAAGGAGCTGGACACTCTTCTCCTGGACTCCTCAAAAGATCTTCTGGACCTGCCTTCCGTTCCACAGAAGCCACTGTTTCCTACGTCCGTAGTGCTTCCTAGCATCTCAGATGCTGAGCTTGAAGCAGAGCTGGAAAAGCTCACTCATTCAGTTGGAGGTATGTTTCTGTTATATTGTTTTCCAGAGTCTAATGTTGCCTCTTAAAGACCCAGTTTACTATAGCTAATTGACCACCATGAATGTGCTACTTGGCTTCTTAATTAATGCATTAATTCCATGCATTAATGCATGGAAGAAAGACGCCACGATTTCTTGCTTTGCATTATGTCCAGACTGGAGGTTGTGGTTGGTTTTGCTAACAAACCACAATCTGTAGCCATGATTTATTCTTGGCTTACTGAAAGTGATTTGTTTGAGCAAAACAAGCCACAGTCCCTGGTTTGGACATGATGCACAACCAGGGATTGTCGTTTGCTTTCCCTTCAGCCTAGTGGGGAAAAGCAAAGGTGGCACAGTCAGCATGTTTGTGGTAATCTACAGTGGTACCTCAGGTTACATACACTTCAGGTTACATACGCTTCAGGTTACAGACTCCGCTAACCCAGAAATAATGCTTCGGGTTAAGAACTTTGCTTCAGGATGAGAACGGAAATCATGCTCCGGCGGCGCGGCGGCAGCGGGAGGCCCCATTAGCTAAAGTGATGCTTCAGGTTAAGAACAGTTTCAGGTTAAGAACAGACCTCCGGAACGAATTAAGTACTTAACCCGAGGTACCACTGTATTGTGGCATGCAAACAAGGCCAAAACTTGTAGAGATCCCACTAGCAGGCTCCCTGCAGGGTTATGCTCTCTTTCTTCCCAAGTGTGTTACTCTGGGCTTCTTAGCTAAGTCGATTGCATGCCAGTACAGAATTCTTTTTCTAGAGGACAGTTAAAAGGACCTGAATCTTGTTCAGTTCCACGCCTCTCTCTAGCTGCCCTGGCAGTGTCCCTCCAACTCCTATAGCTCCTTGTGCTACACAGTCATCTCATTTACCCTCTGAGAATAAAAATGGCTGCTTCTCTGTTGCCCTTCTTAGGATTTAAATCTGAGCTTGGATGCAAAGGTGCATGAAGGCTGGTAGGCCAGACATTCCCTGGCCACAGGAGGGAGGCCTACCCGAAGACTTGGGTGTGTAGTAGACGTGGCCTATTGCCATAGATCCATAGGGGCAGACCTTCCTGCTTTCTAGTTTTGAAAATCTCCTATATCCAACTAAGGAGCAAGAGCTGTTTAGCAGGGGATATGCACATACTTTCTTATTTATGTAATTGTCAGTGGAAATGGTGCTTTACAAAATAATAAAAAAGACAGGCCTCTTCCCCACAAGCTTAACAATGTAAATTTTAATTGAGTGTAGGCATGTCATTATGCATACTTAAATTTGCTTCTACCGCAGTTGCAAGTGTGTTTGACCTTCTTCCTTTTTGCACCATTTACAGGATTGGCACTAAAGACTGACTCAAAGGCCTCTGAGCCCAAAGGAGCTCTGGAACTGCATCTCTAATGACTCAATACCACCTTCGTGCTATGATGATGTCTTAAATTTTGGTGATCGTAACTACAAAAGTAACTTGTGGAATGTGGGCTTATGTCCCCTCCTTGCTAGATGGCACTTTTGTAAGAGACAGGATGTACCTGCCATGACAATCCATCATCTTTCAAACAGATCTCAACTGCTGTTGCTGTTGTCTTTTCAGTGCCAAACTACAGTGTCTCCGGTTGACATGTTCACCTGTGTTGCCAGTCATGGTTGCCCTTCCCTGGCAAGTTGACACTCCTGCTGAGATTTTAACTTGTCACACGACACTCTGAAGGCCCTCTTTCCACTACGTGAAACTGAACCTAGTTGTGCCAGCTTTGGGGAGAATCAGAAATGCAATAGGATCACCGCATTCCTGGCATCCAGCTGTTCTGTGTGTCTGTGCAAAACACTTGCTGCACATGAGAAAGATACTGACTCTGGTAGCTCTCGCTGGGCAACAGGCACACACACACACACACACACATGTTGATGGTCTTTCTGTTCTTCCTTATCTGTGTTTGCACGTTGTGGACAACATAGATGTGTGACAGTTTTATTGTAGGAGACTTTTTGTTGCTGTTTCCACAAGGGGGTAGTATCTGCAAGCACAAAATGCCACGTAACCCTTTTTCAACAATAGTAGTGTAGCCTTAAATGGGACCTGCAAAGGATTCTAAAATGTAGGGGTTTAGGGCTTTTTGTTGCTGCTTGACGATTATAATCTTTTGATGTTTAAGAAAGTACTTTTTGGTTTATCTGTAGGAAGAGCAAGTAACATTTATCTTCTGCTTTGGTGGAATGCTCCCTTTAATACTTCTGAGAGATTTAGGGTGAGCTTTTTAGCCAGAAATTTACAGATGATGGCTTCATATCTTCTGGGAGGCTATTCAATCATGTATGTTGGAAGACCTTTAAAAATGGCAGAGCTTTGGATTGATTTCTCTGCATCTGATGTATTTCTTGGGGAGAGTTGCTGTTTCCTTTTAACACAAAAAATGTTGATGGAATGCAGGATGGAAAAGCTAGTGGGCAAGTGCCAGTTAGCCTATTGAGATGACTTTTATTCATCTGGGGGGAAATGCAGTTCTTGCCCTCTGCAGAACACCTTTTACAAAGTAAATTATATTCTGAGTAGAGCCATTGAAGTGAATTAACCAGAGTTAGTCATGTCCTTTAACTTCACTGGGTTTACTCTCTGTATGTAGGAGTAGCATTGGATGCAATGCTGTGAGACAGGCCTGCGCTTTTTCTGGATGGAAGTTGTTTTCCAGCCACATTAACTGCAAAAGGAAAAAGTGGCACTTTGCTTGTGTGTCAGTGCACTGCATGAAGCACACAGGTGGTGGGAACCATTTATATAATGAGAAACTGTGGGTCAGTAGTGGCTGTTGGTAAACTTGCAGCCTATTCCAAGACTGAGTGTACACTCAAAAGCACAATGGTCTGGATGGTGTTTGCTGCTGAGTGAGCTGTGATTCAGGAAAAGTGAAGCAAAATGTTTTTTTCAAGGAAGAGATCTGCCTAAATTGGAGGTGGGAGAAACAGCTGGCCTTGTCTCCTCAGTGTGCTGTGCTAGAATCAATACTTTGCTGATTCCCTGCAAGACACTTTTTCTGAAGGCAGATGGCAAATGGGAGTTGCATTGAATAATTTTAACGCCATAATCATTTGTTAGAAAAACGGTTAAGAGAGGGAGGAAAGGTAATCAATCTTTAAAAGAACCAATGATGTAATAAAGGGGAGGAAAGTCTTCAGTTCCTCTCTATTGTTGTTTAACTTGCTTCACTTTGCATATTATTCTCCCTTCATGGTTTTGTTTATTTGAAGCAGACTGTCCATTTAGATACATTGAACAGGGCTTGGAGAACGCAGCCCTTTGAACAATCAGCATATTGGATTCCATGATGCATCTAAACCTTTTCTTGTCTCGTAATGAGATCTTCACTGTTGCCTCTAACTGGAGTTGCTATTTACACTTTATAAGGTGTGCTTTTTCCTTTGCTACTTTTGGACAGTGATCCTCATTACAGATGTAGCTTGATTTTTTTGTACAAAACTAAAGGAAAAAATGGTGCCTCAAAATTGTGGAAATGCCAGCTATAGGAATGTTGAGTCTTGCTGTGAATCACAGAAATGTCTGGGTTTAGGTGTGCTGAAAAGAGTTAGAAAGCTGACAGCATTCCTGGTTTCTAGAGCTGAACTAAATGTGATGTGTGGTCCATAGTTCAGCATTACATAGCTTCTCTTTCACAGATAGCTGAAGTGGGGACCTCTGAACTGAAGTGGGGTCCTAGTGGGGGCGAGAGATTTTATTAACCCTTTGCTCCTGCTCTTGTTGACCTGATTGGAATTGTGTCTCCTCTCTTGCAACCTGCTGTTTGCAGTGGAAGGAAAGCATAAATTCCTTCCATTGCAAATAGTAAGCTTGGAGCAGGGGTGTGGGTGGGTGTGGGGGTGTAGTTTTTGATTGGGACGATTGGCAAGAGCAAAGGGTTAACCCCCACTCGTACCACAGTCTCAGTCCACTTCCCCCCCTGCACTGGCCACTGTGAAATAAGAATGAGATTTGCAATGTCAAAAATATGTCAAAGGTCACATCTCATTTGCCTCTATGCCTGCCTTTTTAGTACTCTGTGGCAGCTTTACTCCTCCCCTGGAGCACTATCCCAGCCTAGTTTGGATAAATGGAAAATAATAGGTACCCAATCTTTTTAGCAATTTCATTAGGCTTGCTGTGAGGTTGACCTGCAATGCCAGTTTGGAACCAAGGAAGCCCAGTGAATTCTCATTGAAGCAATAAACCTCTGCAGACCCCTCGTTCACCTGCATGGAAACCCTGGTTGCCTGTTGCTGCTGGGCTAGTGCGTAAACACACAAAGCTATCCTTTTGTGCACTGTCCTTAAAAACAAACCACAATCCTGTACCTCGGCAGTCCAAATTCTACTTTCAGGTGGGGAGTTGAATTATGTGACCCAATTAAGCAAATTCACACAATTCTGCAGTCTGTGTGTTTGTGTAATAGTTACTTTTTTGCTACTCGTGGGAGGAGGAAGGATACTGAAGTCCTGTTGCCATCTACTAGAAATCCGAGTCAGCCAGGTTTCTGCCTTGTGAGACTTGTAAGGTGTCAGTGCCTGGACCCTTTTAAACCCTGTTTTAAAAATCAAACCAAAAAACAGATTCCAAGAATGCTGAATTATTTGCCCACCACAACAAAATGGCATACATTTCATGCACAGCCCTTTCAATAGGCAATAGTTTTAAGAGGATTTGAGTTCCAAATGCATTGTAAACAGCTCTATTCTGTAGTTCTCTTAGCAATTTACTCTAAAGGAATGTGCTAGGAATGTACTTTCCATGCCTAGCCTCAAATCCTAGATCATTGGGATCAGTACTGTTTTTCTGCTGCTTTCAGAACCAGGTCCTGCTTCTCCCTCTAATCTGTACAACATGCAAGAAGTGGAGGTTTTATTGTATGTGTCCCTAATGTGTCCGTATCTAAAATATTGCTGCTCAGAGGGCTGGAAGAGGCATTCAACAGTTAATATTGAACAGCTTGTTCCTTTCTAGAAGTGGCTTGTAATTTTCATTCTCCGGCACCAAGCGGGAATGTAATCAAGATGAATGAAGAGAAAGGAAATCTAAAGTCTCAATTGTTTAAAAGTGGGCAATTTGTAGAGAAGGCAGTTCTGTTGGACGTGAGAGAGAGATTAAAGAAACTGCAAATTTAAAGAGTGTCCTGGTGATGGGTGAAATGTAAAGTGTACTGCATTGTAGTTATGCAACCACACAGAGATTAGAACTTTGTGTATGCTTCTACTCTCACCCTAATCCAAATTCTGTACCAAAATATCTCCAGCTTCATTCTCCAAATGTATGCAAACATTTTAATTTTCTTTGTAGCTAACTGGAACCATAGAATAGTGGAGTTTAGAAGGACCACAGATCTTTTGCCCAATGTGGAGTTCGAACCCACAACCTTGAGATTAAGAGTATCATGCATTAGCAACTCAGCTAATTGGCATGTGTGTTGTGTGAATTTGAACTTTTTGGGAGAATATATTTCAACTAAGAAACAAATGGGAAGGATAAGAACAATACATGGGAAGCACTGATGGGTGAGGGGTCAGTAAGGAATGTATGAGGAAGGAAATGTGCCTTAGTGATTGAATGGGCAGTATCAGTCGCCCAAGAGTTCACAGCTTTGCTGCCCCTTGGGGGCACGAGCCCTTTGCAGGCACTGCTTTGCGTTGTTTTTTACAACCTTGAGAGCTCCCATCAGCCCCATCCAGGTGACACTAGTGAGGGATGGTGGGAGTTGTAGTTCAACAAAAGTTTGAGGGCCTCAGGTTCCCCATCCCTCCTCTAGAGAGTTCATGGCAAGCTGTCCCTCTCTCTCAGCCCTGCCCCAGACTCTGTAATATGGGGATAAGGCTAGTGTACTTTACATAAGAATCTTGTAAGGATGACAACCAGAGAATGCATTCAAAGTGCACGGAACCTTTTAGCCTCTCTTACTGACTTTGGGTTATTGCAAGGATATGATGATAATAATAAATATTTGCATACTATCTAACATCACCACCATGTTATACTTGCAATAATCCAAATAAACTAAGAGGCTTAAAAGATAAGTGACCAGCACAAGAACACCCGCAAAGAGTTGAAGCCAGTTCCCCCTGCTCCAGTACTCCTTGCACTCCTTGCACATTGTCTTTGTCTTTATTTCTGGCCTGAGATGGACTATCCATGAGCTCTCTTGTCTAAAGCTGGTTAAATTGGAAACCATGTGCCCTTTTGCCATTTTCTTTTTTAAAACGATCTTGTCTGCTGTTGACAAAAACGTCTCCGGAAATGGATCTATAATTGTGCTTTAGTCAAACTCCAATTTAACCAGCAGTTGTTACCTTTTCTCGTTGGATGTGAAAATGGTGTTTTGATTCCCCCCCCCCCCCCGGATTTCAAAAGAAATCTGTGGCTGGATGCACATTCCTCCCCACTATGACAGAGGCATTATTGCCTGTGCTCTAGACCCCCAATTCACTGTAATCTCTCCTACACGTGTTTCTGTGGGTGTTTCATTGTGCTTAAGACCTGCTTGATCAGAGAGGATTGTGGGCACAGCGTCTGCACACCAGAGGGAAGGACGCCTGTATGGCAGCTTTCACAGCTTTCCTAAACTACAGCCTTTGATGTGCCATCCCTGTATATTAAAGGCAACACATCAGATGTAGAAGCTTTCTTTTTTAAAAAGAAAAAAAAGAAAAACTCTTCAGATGGTTTGGTTTCAAGCCTTTGGCATAACATCATTGCAAGATGCCCAAGTCGGTATACCTGTTACAGAGAGATCGTGCCCACAGCTGGGTTCAGTTCTTCAACATTCTTCTTTTTGTCTGCAAAGTAACCTGCATTCCAGAACCAAATCACCTTGTTCTCACTTTAAAGAATCTAGCCACTCTTTCAGATCACTGGGAAGGAAGATGTACAGTTTTGCAGCTGAAAAGAGGTCTGGCTGAGAGGTTGTTTTCATGCATGGGGGGGGGCTGTGTGGGTTGTCATTGGAGGACTGCTGTTTCCTTTGGAAGAGGGCACACGTTACAAGCTCAGATTAAGGTCACCGTGAAGAGTTGCGGCAAAAGCCAGGGTAATTAGAGCAAGGATAGCACTGCAATCTTTTTCTTGGGGCTGGTTTCCAAGGGAAAGCTTCCACCGTGTCACTATTTTTCTAAAGGAACTTGCCAAAGTACGGGAACTGCCAAGCCTCAGAAGTTATTTTTCCTTACAGGAACAATGAGCAAGTTGCTTCCTATAGGGTAGGCGCAATATGGCTTAGCTGTTGAGCTATGTGTTAACATGGCACACTTAACATGGTCCCCCTTCCTTTTTTTTTTTTAAGTATAATGAGTATGGAGAGGTGGTTTTCTTAGGTAAAAAAGCCACCAATTTTCAGGGAAGACGGAAACAAATGCCTCCACAAGACATCATTAACTTCTGAAATTAAGTGCTCCGCAGTGTGATGTGGGGCGCAATATTTATTATTATATAAAGGGTTAGACAAGTTAGGAAGCTGGCCTTCAGTTGTTCATCTACCGCAGAACAGTCTGAGCAGCAGCAGCAGCACCAGGCTCTCTGGTACGAATCTCCCATATCTGCTATGTCGGGAGTGGGGCTAACCTTGGGGGGCTGTTTGCCAGCAGTGAATGTGGCCACCCCACAGAGACCTGGAAGGAATTTACTGTAACCAACAATCTGCAGGTTATGTGTTAAAGCGAACCTCTTGAAAAGCCAGCTCCCAGCACCAAAAGCATGTCTGTGAATTATAGCAGCGTTCAAGCACCTGAGAACTGTAGAATTGGAAGGGACCCTGGCGATCATCTAGCCCAACCACCAACCTGATTAACAGCCAGACACTATAGAGTTGTCCCAACGGGTTGGCCCACCCACCTGCCAAGTAAGGCATGCTCACTCATGACACCCTCTTGCCTTGCAAGACTGCCAAATGTGCAGGGAGAAGGCGTCTGTTCAGCAACAGGAGCACCACTGGGTCTTGGGTGACCCTGCTGTGCCCTCTGTTTGTGACTCTAGTTCCTCCACTCCTAGCAGTGGGTTGACACCTGCCCCCCCCCATCCTGCTGCTATGCTTCTTTCCCTGGGAGAGAAGAAGAGAGGTGGGAATCCTGCTTCCCCAGCCATGGAGGGGGAAGTACCTGTGTCTCTCCACCCCCCAGCCTCTGTTCTCCAGTCTCCCCACCCCATATCATGCTCCTGTCCCCCCTCCTCATCTGCCAGCCTGCCACGCTACTCCTGAGCCTGGCGAAACCTCAAGATTTTTGACATGAAAACTCTTCCATGTTGAAAACGACTCACTGCACATAGAAAACTAAGCTAACATTTAAGCAAGAGACTCTCTAGCACTCTGTCTGTTGTGATCTCACCCACAAGTTATAAATAGTTTTGGGGAATATTTAAAAATGGGGTCTTTACCCCAACCCTGGGTCTGCTGTCTCAAGTGGCAAGTCTATTCTTCTGCCTCTTTCTGCTCTGCATGTAGACTCAGCGTAGCTGTTAACAGTTCTTATGTAGAAGGTGATCTAGAAAATATCTGAAGTTCTACCCCAAAACAAACTTAATTCACATCCAATTCACCCAGCAATAATGGGAACTACTTTCGGGTGTAGTTCATATGTTTTTGAACTAATTCAGTGAACATTGTTAGTTCATTCCAAGCTCTGATATTAGTTAATGGGCTGGGAGGGGGTGGGAAGAGGCTCTGTATTCAGCTGGTAGAAACAAGCTGAGTATATGGGGGACATTATATATGTAGCTGAATAAATTATTCAAGAGCCATTGTTTGAGGCTAAAACTTATTAAATAGACACTCATGTTCTCACTGATAACAGTTCCCTGCACTTAAAGATACGTTTATTTTTTTAACATTTGTATACTGTAGTTTCCAGGGCATATTGTGACATAAAGCACAATAAAATAAAATTAGGAAATTTTATATGCTGAAATTGCCAGTAGCAATCAATAGTAAAAAAGAGGTTTAAACAATTTATACTTTAAAAAGCCTGGGAGATTAAAGCAGGTTTTGCATGGCTCTGAATTCTTATTATCTTTTATTTGTACTTTGTATCTAAGGTGAACTTTGTAACTCACACTTTCACAAAATAATGCCTGGACTGAAATGCTTCAAAATAAGCACTTCTTTGAAATTTTCAAGTAATGTGTAGGAAGTGCAGATAGTAGGTTGAAGTATACCTAAAAATTCATATATTGGTGAAGATAACATAACACAAATGCATTGGATGTGGGGAAAGAGGCTTTTAAAAAAATGGGTGTATGATTCAACATTGTATACAAAAATACATATACAATATTATAAATTTGCACTAAGATGCTGGTGAATTTTCATAAGGACTTTTTAAAAAATCACAAAGTGGCATAGAAATGTGGAAAACCGAGCTTAAGACTAGAAAAAGGAGAAACTGACACTGACAGATTTGCCCCTCACTCAAAAGGAAGAAACGCAAAGTGTTGGCACCTCGGAAGGGCTGAGAATGGAAGGCTGACAGGAGAGGAGAGGCTTCTGCAGCTGCCTTGGCTCCAGGCCTGGATGTCCACCGGTTTGGGTAGTGACTCGCACCTTTTCCTACCTTTTTTCTTCTACTGTGTAATAACATCCAAGCCTTGTGGGTCACATCGAGCCCTGCAGGAACCCAAGTGAAATTAGGACAGAATATGGGCCATTAATTTGAAGACTAACCTGAACTTAAATGAGGTCAGTGCTGCTGATTCCCAGCCTTGTTTTAAAGTGCTGCTGGCAGACTAGTGGAAGAGAATCACTTCGGACTAGTAAATTGTGCTCTGGAACTTCAGTCCGGCAGATCTTGCAAAAACACCTGATTAACCTTGAATTCCGACCAATCTTCATAGAATCATAGCGCTGGAAGGGACCCACAACCCCCCTTCAATTATTCTATTGTTAATTTCACCTCAGGTGGATGGTCCTGCATACCTGACATAGTTGGCCCTCAGGGGTGGGGAAGGGAGATATGTCCTGAACCGTATTGAACCCACCATGCTCACCACTTCCTGCAGGTTTCGGGAACTGGCTGGTGCACCAAAACGGAGCAGGATAGAACTTCCTGTGTCTCAGCTGATGTGCAGAGGGTTCAATCCTGCTTTCTGCAGGATCAGTCATGCCAGCCAGTTGCTTCCTGGCGCACCCAAACCAATCAGGATTGAAATCGCTGCACATCATCTGATGCATGGGGAGCTATCCTACTTTATACAAACGCATCTGTACCTGCCCTGGTGCCACATATCACATCTGGTGTGAGGCATGTGGGCATGGTTGTGGGAAAGCAGCCCTGTGGGACAACTGGGAAATTCTGGTGGGCAAAGTCTGGCTCACAAGTCAGAAGATCCCCATCCCTGCTTTGGAGTCCAGCTAAATTATTGTAGTCTGGCCTTTTTGCTGGGTGTCATCTCTCCTTGTAGGGAATAAACTGTAGGAAGAGGCTGTGGGATTTCTTGCTTTAAAAGTTGCTTATGTTCACGTTCATAAAAAAAAAGAGAAGGATCAGATTATTCAGTACTGAGGGAGATTATAAAAAGATATTTAAACTGAGTATACAAAAAGCCACACACAAAAACCCCACAAAACCCACATACCTGAAGCTTTTCTGCTAGGGATTATAGGTATAGAAATAATAATAGTAAAAAAAGATGGTCAAGTTGTTTATGTATGTAACTACAGCAGCTAGGTTCCTTTATGCTCAGAAATGGAAAGATGAAGAAGTTCCCACTAAAGAAGAATGGATAAGTAAAGTAATAGACTATGTTAAATCAGTGAAGCTGACAGCTAATGATTTTTTAAAAACATAAAAAGAATGGAAGCTTTTCTCAGATTATTTAAAGAAATACTACAACATGAAGAACCTGCAAGCAGGTTTGGAACTATGAGCAACAGAACACTTAAAGATTATTGTGTTATGACTATGCTAAAAAAAGAGATAAGACAGGCTGCAGCAAAGGGGGAGATAAGAAAAACATCACAGAAAATGGGATAATTTAAATATAATATAAAGTCGGTAATATAAATGAAATTTTAAAAAAATACTGAGGAAAGCAAATACCTACCACAGCAGCAGCAGCAGCAACAATCAATCCATTTCCCAATACTGTACATGTAAGGAATCCAAAGTACCACTTGGAAGAATATTCTTATTGGAAGTAATTGACTGGAGTTTATAGGAAATTGGGGGACCACAAACCAGAGCAGAGATTATGGGGCAAAAGGGAAGGGGAGTCTGTAACCAAATTATTGTAATCATCCCTGTACTGACGGTAGCTAAGGGGACTTGTATTCTGCAAGGAATGGGGCCCCGGCTGCCTCTGTTCCCTCCCTTAATTCACACACTGAACACAAACCTCTTCTGACTGCCCTGTTCTGCTTCCTCTCCCTGCCGCCTCCAAGAGTCTCTTTTACTGAATTTGAATTTCCACCCTTGACTGCATTTTGCTCATTCTCTTGCTCCTCGCACTACTCTTCCTGAGAGCCTGTCTGTCTGCTAAAATGCACCTTGCCTAAGGTCCCAGAGCAAAGAGTGCACAGAGATAAGGAAGGATTCTCACCAAAGCCTAGCAGGAACAGGAGCAACAGCAGCCACAGTGAGCTCAAAGGCAGAAAGAGCATCCAGCAGCAGCAGCAGCAGCAGCAACAGCGGAGAAATCCCAGGTCTTGTATTCATCCCATATAAAGCCTCATCCAAATCCTAGCCAGCACAAAAGGGTCTTGTGCTTGGGGGGTAGCATAGAGAAGCTGATGAGCTCCTAAAAAATAGAGGGGAGGGGAGGTAGGCTTGTTATATTAGAGTCCACTTGGCAAAAAGTGTAGTAGGTGAGAACTGGCTGGCTTTGAGTGGCAGCCAGAAAAGCAAAGGGGGTGGGGGAAATGCCAGGCTGCCGGTAGGAATCTTGGAAAGGAGTGAAAGGTTGAGCATTGCTCCTTTGAGCTGAAGATCTGGCGGAGATCCTGGGGGTTGGGGAGCCAACAGCGTTTGCTTCTGAGTTTCAAGCAAAGAAGGAGAGGAGCAGGGATATGATGGGCTGGTGGTGATGTAGCAGAAGGTGAACACTCTGGACGCTTGAGGACTGCAGGTGGGCATGGATGAGCTTTACCTGCGAAGAGGAGGACGTGTTGGTGCATCGGCCATGACTAATGATACCCTCAATAAAGAAGGCCGAGCAGAGGAAGAGCACTCAGAGATGTCCCTACAAGTGGTGTTGGCCACTTTGCTCCTCCTCCTCATCCTCTCCACCCTACTGGGAAACACCCTTGTATGCATGGCAGTGGTCAAATTCAGGCACCTGCGCTCAAAAGTCACCAATTTGTTTGTCATCTCCCTGGCTGTTTCGGACCTCTTGGTAGCCATGCTGGTGATGCCGTGGAAGGCGGTCACGGAAGTGGCTGGCTTCTGGCCCTTTGGCAGCTTCTGTGATGTCTGGGTGGCTTTTGACATCATGTGCTCCACGGCTTCGATCCTCAACCTGTGCATAATCAGTCTGGACCGCTACTGGGCCATCTCCAGCCCCTTCCGCTATGAGCGGAAGATGACCCAGCGAGTGGCTTTTGTCATGATTGGAGTGGCTTGGATGCTCTCCGTCTTGATCTCATTCATCCCCGTCCAGCTGAGATGGCACCAAGCCAAGGAGCTTCCTCCTGCCCACCAGAGAGACTCCAACATCACCTGGAGCTCAGAGGAAAACTGTGACTCCAGCCTCAACAGGACCTATGCTATTTCCTCCTCCCTCATCAGCTTCTACATCCCTGTTGTTATCATGATCGTGACATATACCAGGATCTTCTGCATTGCTCAGCGACAGATAAGGAGGATCTCCTCTCTAGAGAGGGCCGTGGAACACGCCCAGAGCTGCCAGAGCAACGAGTGTCCCCATGAAGTGTCCTTGAAGAATTCCTTCAGAAAAGAAACTAAGGTCCTCAAGACCCTCTCCATTATAATGGGGGTCTTTGTCTTCTGCTGGCTTCCTTTCTTTGTGCTCAACTGCATCATCCCCTTCTGTGACCACAACCTGCATCAGCTGGCAGAACTGCCGTGTGTCAGCGACACAGTTTTCAACATCTTTGTTTGGTTTGGCTGGGCAAACTCTTCTCTCAACCCCATCATCTATGCCTTCAATGCTGACTTCCGAAAGGCCTTTACAACCATCCTGGGCTGTGGCCGCTTCTGCCCCAACAATGCTGTGGAGACGGTGAACTTCAGCAATGAGCTGGTTTCATACCATCACGACACCACCTGCCAGAAAGACCTGGTGGTCTTGAGTGACCCACAGCTTCTACCCCACACCATGACCCTCCAAGGGGAGGATAATGATTTGACTTTTGACAAAGTCTCTGAGATCTCACGTGATACCTCCCATGATAACAAGGGAGCTGCTTTGTCAGCTATAGTGCATGTGGAGTATGAGACTGATACGTCACTTGAGAAGATCGCCTATAACACACTGGATTAAAAAAGGCAGACAGGAGGCTGTGTGAAGGGGAATGGGACACAACAAGAGAGCCTCTTCACATTTAGTCAAAATTCTGTGTCGTGTGATGGGGAGGGGTTGATTGAGAGGGGGGATTTTTTTTTTGGGGGGGTGACAAATAACTGACTCTTTGACCGGAAAGGAATGTGTTTGCAGATGATGCTCTCAGAGCCTGGAGATATATCCAAGAGGGAGACTAAGGTACAGCATGGATGCAGAACATTTGTGAGCCTGAGGGGCAAGGTTCCAAGGGCCACATACCAGTGGTGGGCAGGGCCAGAGGCAGAAGTGGGTGGAGAACTGGATGTGCATTGTACCTTCGTATAGCAGGCTAATTTCTACACATGCTTGCACACCCCTCTATCCTCCATACAGGCAAGCAAGAGACATTATCAAGCAGTCAAGGACACAATCCAGCCAGACAAAAGCACCCAAGGTGGGTGCGTAGTGAAAACAATTTAATACGTTCTACAGTGGAAGTGCAGGCAGTGGCTCACAACTAAAGCATCTTTGATGGAAACAATATCAACTAGATATACTAGAGCCAGGGCTTTCTCTCAGCTAGAGCCAGGGCTTTCTCGGCTGCGGCTCCAATCTGGTGGAACGCTCTGTCACAAGAGACTAGGGCCCTGCGGGACCTGACATCTTTCCACAGGGCCTGCAAGACAGAGTTGTTCCACCAGGCCTTTGGTCAGGGCGCAGCCTGACTCCCTCCTCTGGCAACCTGCACAGAATTTTGCTTAACGGTTGCCATTAATTTGATTTTAATTAATTTTTATAATGAAATGTTTTTAGAATGTTGGATTATTTGATTGTTGTTAGCCACCCTGAGCCCAGCTTCAGCTGGGGAGGGCGGGATATAAATAAAATTTATTATTATTATTTTTAATATGCACAGAAAGCTTGTCTGCAGTACTGAACGGCTTCTATACTTAGAAGATTGTTCTGAAATTTTAACATTGTCTTTTCGTCACCGTGTTGATCATTCTCAAAGCACGCTGTAGTTAAAAATGGCAAAATAGTGACAATGGGACAAAGATGATCAAGCTAAGAACAGTAAGCAAAAGGCCTTTCTGATGTAAGAATCGTGGCGTCCTAAACCATGATGTTGACTTGGATGCTGTGACCCTAGTGACAAAAAACCACGGTTCCTTGTTGCATCCACAACAGGATTCAGTGATTTAACATTGGCTTACTAACCAGAAACAAGCTATGGATTAAGTTCCAGTTTAGTAACCCAACAGTAAACCTCACTTTCTCGATTCTAGTTTTTAGAGGCCAGAACTAAATTGCCATAACTGGTGTGTGACTGAAGGTGGCAGAGATGGAGAAAGGGGCTGCTGTTTGATCCCAGCTTAATAAACTATGTGATTTTATTGCTTTAGAAAGGTTACATGTGAAGTGGCCAAAAGGGTTCCTAAACTGTTATAATTCTATTGCTTTTGAAGTAACAAATTCCTTCTCTTTTTCTAGTGTGAGACATAACTGCTTTCCGTCTTCATTGACGTTTATTAAAATTTTGGGAAACACACACGTTTCCTTTCTTTCTAAGAACCTTTCCCAATGGATGCTGTTTGCAGACAATAAATGGGTCCAAGTTAATAATTTGTTACACAATCCCTCTCCATATATATTTTTCCAAGGTGTTTTACTATGGATGTTTTAATTTTATCTTCACAACAACCTAATCTATCTCACATGTGAACGTCATAGCACAAGGAGGATTTGAACCCAGGTTTCCCTGATCCAACCCCAATATGAGCCACTACATCATGTTGGTTTATGAATTTTCTCTGTGATTCAGCTGTGGTATTTTGTCACCTGTAAAAACCAACTCATCCTGGCATTATGACATCTTTTGGGATTGTATATATGTATATATGTTTTCTTTTCTTGGTGTGTGTGTATATACACACACACACACACACACACACACACACCCTTAAATACACATGAGGAACACATATGTAGGATGAACACGTTTTTATGGTTTCCAGCAACTGGCATTCAGAAGCAGTGTTGCCTCCAACTGTGGAGGGAGATCACAGCCTTCGTGGCTAGTAGCCATTGACAGCAGAATCCTCTATGAATTTGTTTAATCCACTTTTAAAGCCATTCAAATTGGCTTTCCCTCAAAGTCTGATTGTCTCATTGAAATCTGATTTCATATGTTTAACCAATTAATCTTTTTGCATTGTATATCTTGTAAACAGCTCAGAGATTATTGTAGTTAAGCAGTATGTAAATTGCTTAAATAAAGAAAGTATTGTGGAAACTGTAGTTGGTTAAAAGTTGCTGGGGACTGTAACTCTGTGAGGGGTGAACTACAGTGCCCAGGGACTTCTGGCGAGGCAAGATGGCAAGTGCAGAGCTCATAGGAGGATGGAGGGCGGCTAACAGATTGAGGTTGAATCCTGACAAGCCAGAAGTGCTGTTTTGGAGGGACAGGGTGTGGGTGGGTATGGGGGACTCCCTGGTCCTGAATGAGGTAACTTTGCCCTGAAGGACCAGGTGCGCAGCCTGGGGGTTATTTTGGACTCACAGCTGTCCATCAAGGTGCAGGTCAATTCTGTGTCCAGGGCAGCTGTTTATCAGCTCCACCTGGTACGCAGACTGAGACCCTACCTGCCTGCGGACTGTCTCGCCAGAAGCCCTGCCTCAGGTGGTGAAAGCCCCTGAGGTGGCACCCTGCTGCTGGAAGAAGTAGAACTGGCATTGGATCCAATTTCTGGTGAGATCTCATGAGATCTCAGTGCCACTTCTCTGTTGCTGGTGGAGGTGGCTGAGTGGCAGTGGCCGGGCAGCACTTCCCAATTTGCCTCAAGTAGCAAAATGAGAAGCATCACTGGGGCCTTTTTTTCTAGCTGGAACTTACCAAAACTCAGTTCTAGCACCTCTCTCTCTCTCTCTTTTTTAAAATGATATTTATTGAAAATTTTTTAGAATTACAAAAGAGAACAAAGCAGAAAAAGAGAAAGAAAAAGCAAAGAAAAAACAAACCACATCAAACAATACAAATTCAAAAAACAAAAATACACCACAAACACTCAAAAACAAATCCATCATTCTCAAATCCTCAACTGTCATTACCTTCTTTCTTTGACCTCCTCCTCCTCCCTTTTTTTGTATCCTAGTTGTTAATTGTCGCAGCAAATCCTTTCCATATTTCATAATATTCTGTCGTTACATTACCTTAATCTATTTTAATCTTATCTTATTATAAAGAACCTTAAAGCTTAAAACTTAAATCTTATTTTTACCAACTTCTCATAACCATAGTATTCTTACATAATTCTTTAAACATTTTTGCTAAAGCCAAGTAGTTTCGTTCCAACATTTTTCTAACATTCATCAATTTTATAAAACAATCCTAGTAGTAAAAAAAAGAAGAAATAAAAACAATCCAATCTTCATCCAGCGTCCCTTCCTCCTGGTCCCGGGTTTTGTCAGTCCTTATTATCCCATCGATCTAGCGCATTAACCTGGTAACCTTGTATCCGAGGCCCTTA